GAGAGAGACTTTTCCTTGTGCATAATGTGCATCATTTTGGGAGCAAAGGCTATGGTGAGGACAGTGACATATTGATGTCATTAGAAAAACCAAGATGGAACTTGAGACATTTTTGGTTTGATGGTTCAGAAAAAGTTTTTGTGGCTTAAATTATCATTCTTTACTCAATTCAATAACTAGCTGGAAAATGTATGTCTATTATTTAGTGGTTTATGCTGAAAACTCTGGAGATAACAGGTACTGAAATATTAACAATAGCAATTGATGATGACAATGATGAGTTTGAGGCCATAAGAAGGCAGTAGTTTATAATGCCCATATCTAAGCAACTTGTCTCCAACATTTCCAAATTGTCTCCAAATTACAAAGACAAATGGTTCCTTTCATATTCCAAATTATATTCTATTGATGCAACATAAGAACACTGGAAGTGTTGATGTTGGTGTTTGTCTTCATGCATCTATAAAGGTGCTACAATAAATATTGTATGTCTTATGTTTTCCATTGCTTTGCTTTGTTTTAAATCAGCTTATATAAAAACCAACCAGAGCTCCTTTAATTGTCTGTTGTCTCATCTCTTCATAATGGTTCAGTTACTAGCTTTGCTAGGAAGGACTTACATCATTAGACATAGTATAATTGGTGCTGCGGGATTTAAGTAAATTAGATATCAGCTGCATAAACAAGGAAACTTCCTCTGAGGTTAATTATGTGTGAAAACACTAGCTGAAAGTTTGCATGTCACCTTAGAGACAGGACTCTGAAGCAGAGAAGAAACAATGAATGCTCAGCTTTCTTGTCTGCAATATAGTAGTTCATGTTGCCAACAATGCTACACACTCTGCGCAGCTGCAGAACCCTATCCAACCATCCCATAAGCAGTGCAGTGAGATGGAATTCTGCATTCACCATTTGGGACAAAGACTGTCTTCATCTTCATTCGTCATACAAAGTACTCTTTTTCTTTCTTTCTTTGATGTTTAGCCTTGTTGCAAGGCGACTGATGTCTCTGCAATACTCAGATGGGACTCTCATTGCTAAGAGCAAATCAAAGGGGGAAAAGCTTTGATCTCATGTAAGAAGAAATAAGCGCCCCCCCCTTTTTTTTTTTTTGGCAAGGACTGAAAAAAAATAGAGCTGAGATCGTCATGAGGCAATTTTATTTGACCATAGAGGCTCTTCCAAGGATGTTTGTCACACAGATGGTGTGCATCTTCACCATAGCTACCTACTTAAAGACATTCAGCTCTTGAATAGCATGAGAGGAGCCACAAATATTCAAGCAATATTTGACCAGGGCAAAAAATGAGGATATGGGCAACTGAAAAATTTAATTCTATTTAGATTAAATTAAAATCTGAATATAATTAAACTTATTGAATATTATTCTCCTGCATCAAATACTTTTGGATTGCTTGTGTACCTTTACCTTAATGACAATGGCCATGGAGCATAGATACCTAAGAAAAATGTTGTTAAGTCTATGAAACATTGAACAGAAAGTGTAGCATTAATTGCTCAATGGCCTATGTTGTTCTCCTTGCTCATGGCAGCCCCTGCAAAGCTTGGTTTCCCTACAATAGGAGTTCTTTTCTTCCCTTGAATGATGGTTTAATGCATGATACCCTGCTCTGTGCACTCCGAGTCACTACGCCAAATTTTCCTTTTTAGGTAAAGCTTTCTCTTAAGGCAGTGGTTCTCAACCTTTTTAATGCTGCGACCCCCAACTGGTCATAAGTCGAGGACTACTCAACCGGTCGTAAGTCGAGGACTACTCAACTGGTGCAGCACCGTGTGCAGAATGGGACTTTTGGCGGGCTCAGCAGGGCAGAGACAGCCTGGACAATTCCTATTGGCTTTTGAAAGCCAATAGAATTAGACTCTATTCAAGAGAGTCTATTCTATTGGCTTTCAAAAGCCAATAGAATAAAAGGGAGTAGCACAGCTAAGGAAAGGGGGAAAAAAATGGCGGACTGCGTTGTTTGGCGACCCCCGTGAAATGGTCGTTCGACCCCAAATGGGGTCCCGACCCACAGGTTGAAAACCACTGTCTTAAGGCTTGCTAACAGGAAGCAATAGGAATCTCACCAACCCCATTCTTTCCTGGAAGAGCATGGGTCTGATGCTATAGGGAGGGCTACCTCCAGAGAATAAAAAGAGTGGCCAATTAGCACTCTTTGACAGGTTTGATCTGCCTTGCAAAGTTCTAATAGAGCCTGGCACTGAGTTGCATCCCTCTCTCCATTCATGGTGACATCATCTGGAAAATATGAATGAGAGAAATTACACAACAAGATAAAGTCATTTTGGACCCATACATTTTGTTTTATCATTCACAGTGTGTTTAAACCACAGATGGTGAGCTTATGTATTTTAAGAGGCCACAGCGAAGGGCTGAGGAGCAAGATTTTTCAAGCTGACCCTCTCTTCCATAAAAGGAATGCCATGCTCCATAGTTGACTTTAAAGAAGCAGTTGGAGTTAAATGAAATTGCTGATAAAGCAGCCAGCTTGAGCTTGCTGATTTACAGCATGGAAAAGGCAGAGTATATTTTAAAATGCTTAAAATACATTCTTTGTCAGAGTGACTGTTGTAATGTCTATTACCTTCAAAAATAGCACCCATGACCCTTGTTCAATATTCATCATATTTATATAATATCAAAACCATATTTTTTTTAAAAAAATGTCATGGTTTTGTCTCTGATAATGTTCAGTTGCATTTGGAAAAGAGAATGTGTGATTAAAAAGCTTGTGCCATTGATTCTACAGAGTAATTAGTAGGAAAAGAAAGGATAAGAGGTAAAAAAAAGTATTTAAAATATAGTCCATCCTGCAAAGAGCAGAACTTTCTGGAAAATAACAAGGTATACATATACCAAAGATATCTGTTAGACGAGAATAAGCATATGCTTTAGAAAGTGGCTTCAAAACTCAGGTTGCAAGCATTTAGATTTTCAGAATAATTTTATTTAATTTATGCATAATGTAGGTAGAATTAAAACTTGTTTTGAAGGATCAAAATAAATTCTCTGTGTTATGGCAGCAGGTTTAGTCCTTGAAAAAAATGACATATTTTTAACAAATTCATTTGTAATAAAAATTGTGACAATAACCTCTTAAAGAGTAAGTATATTCCGCCATCTTGTGGAGCAATTCAACCTTGCATCTATTTCACCTCCAACCTCAAAAGGTATTTTCACATAATCACCCACCTTTAATCTGTGTATTACCAAATCAGTTCAGTTTTCATATTTGCATTCAATGTGATTAATAGGGGGGAAATACGGCATGACCATTTTGAACAGTAAGTGCAGTGACGTTCAGAATAAGTGCAAACAAAGTTGAAATGGACTCTTAGAAGTTTAATTAGGGCAAACATGGTTTGCCATTAGCTTAACAGCAGCATTTTTTCATCAAGTTGTGTGATTTTGAAAGATGATTATTGTATTTTCTAAAGCACATTGCTGAACCATTCAATTCCTAAAATTGTGCATGAAGATGTTCATTTCAAATGAGTTAATTATTAATCATTATGCATTTCCAAGACCATAAATTGTATCATTGTAAGCCCTTGATGCTTGGTTTACTTTTATGCTTGAAGAAATATTTAGTACTAAGCTGTTGCTTATTAGGAAAAAGTGTTTGGGAGATATCCACTAACTCACTTCAACTATTCAGAACAAATCTACAGAACTACATGCTCTATTCAGAATAATCTTTTATTACAAGGCAGATTTTGAGCCTTTGTTTAGTTTATATAGTCTCTGAGTTATCTTCAGTACTTCACTTTTTATATTTTTCTTTGCAACTTGTTATATTTTTTGTCTCTGAAAAGTAATTAATGTATTTATTAATGAAATTTATAAAAGTCACCTATTTGACAGAAAATAATACAATAAACTGGTTTGGCAAGAACAAATTGCTGGGACATGTTGCAGATTAAAAACTTTTTAATTAATTTGACATAGAAGACTTGACTTCCATTATGAATGGCAGAATAATGGTCTCTGTCCCTACTTGTAGGTTAAAGTAAAATATTTATAAAACATTCCTGAATACTTTGTTTTGTTTTCTTAAAATTCTGCACTATATTTTTATTCCATTTTTGAGTAAATATACATGAATAGTTTGGGTAACACAGTCTTTGGAAAAAGAAGCTGGAGGCCAAAATTAAGATGTATAGTTCTATTCAGGTGAGAGCATTAAATAAAGTGTAAAGATGGAAACCTGAACTATGAAAAAAATTCAGTGTTGTTATTAGCTGTATTTTATATAGTACTCAGCAGGTATATGAAGCAGTCATATTTTCTTCATAGCCATGTTTTCTTGAATTGCAGGAAAGAGCAACAGAGAGCTGGCTGCCAGTGCAATACTTAGTTCCCCAATTTATTTTTTGCCACGTGGCAACAAATTGTGTGACACACCACACAATCATCTTCCAACTTTGTCAACCCTTTCTGTAAGTGTGGCATTACAGAGGCTCTGCTACCCAATCAGAACAGAGCTATATTTTATATATCCATTGAACTGCAAGATTAGCCTGCAACTAACCATCAGGAAATCAGAGTTATTCCCTTAGGAGTTACGTTGAGAAGCTTGCAGCTCTATAGCACAGGCAGTCCCTGCCTACCTTCAGAGACTGCCGTATTCAGCTCAGAAGAGAGTTTGCGAAAAATTATAAGGATGCAGGGTGGTGTACTTGAATTGTTTAATTATGAAGGTGGCTTAAAGACATATCTGAGTGTCCTGTCTTTCACTGTACTGTTGCTAGCTCTCCATGCCTGAATTAAATCCCAAAATAAGACATCAGGAGGACATTGGGCTTCCACTTCCAGATTCAGTAGTGGATTGTTGATTAAAGGGGGTCCTCCCACTGAGAAATTCTTGGAAAATGTATTCTTCCCTTGGAGAAATCATTCATCCAACTTTTGTGTCTACAATACTGGAATTTTAAAAAGTTATTTATGGCTGTTTTGCCTATTCTGTCTTCCCTTACAGGACTGTATGTCCTGATAGGAGCAGGAGTACTGATGATGGCAGTGGGATTTTTTGGATGCTGTGGAGCTGCACGAGAGTCTCAGTGCCTGCTTGGAGCAGTAAGTAATCGACATGTACAGTAAGACGATACGAGGCCTCTCTAGATGCAAACTCATTCTGCATTTAAGTCAATCATGAATATAAGGTCCCTGTTCTAAAGTATTTGTATTTTGCTTTATTCCAAGTCCAAAACAAGAAAATCTGTTTTTTAAATTCAGACATCAAACTGTGAATTAAGATCCTGGATAGCAGACTGGTATTAAAAACAGATTTGTTTCTGACATAACAGAGAACAGATCAAAGCTGGCATAAAAGAGACTTAAAAACAAAAGAGTGGTAGATCTGACATCATATCCCGCTAAATAAATTATAGTTTTTTAAGCCAGGACATCTATATTAAAATCAATCTGTTGTACATTGGAAGAAAGAGGGAAGTGGAACATGTAAACCTTTTGTATAAATACACTAACTTGGAGGTCCATTTATTATCTACCCATTATGACCCTAAAGTCCTAGTCAGAAGTAATTCACAATCAGTTTCACAGGACATATTTCTATCTAAGTGGTTATAAGAATTCATGAAGCATTAATTTGCAATTTAGTATTCATTTTTTAGAATCTGGCTTGTTTCAATGTTGTGAGACTTACCACTTGAGCAAAGCATAAAGAGAACTCTACTACAAAGGCTTTGGATATATTGCAGTGTTAAAAATACTTCTCTGATATTTTTTTATCCCATACTTTCCTTAAAGATTGAAATTATTTTGATTTAAGGAAGGTTGAACTAGAACCTTCCCTTTTGCACCATTAATCTTGTTCTATGTAAAGTATTTCTGTTATTAAAACTATTATTTCTAAATCTCGGAGATTTACATGTTGCTTTCAAATTTCCATAAAAGTTTAATCTCTAATCATATTTCCATTCTTTTGTAGTTTTTTACTTGCTTGTTGGTGATTTTTGCTGCTGAAATCGCTGCAGGGGTTTTTGCTTTTCTGGGCAAGAAAACGGTAAGTGAAATGCTTAACCACATGCTACCCTAAATATCTTAAACTGAAAAATAGTTTAAAACAGTAAAATCTCTTAAAAATTAAACACAAACTCTGGTGATTTCATGAATGTATCTTGGCAAATATACAGAAAAGGGTTTTTATTGTTTTCTTTGGAGAAGGTTTTTCTTGACTTCCTAGACTAATTTATATTTATATTTTCCTAGACTAATTTATATTTCCTAACTGCATATTCGGTCATGGCTGTGGCAATGTTTTTTTATTGCCCAATCTCCCCAATTTCCTTTTGCATCCTATCAACCATGCCCCATCCATCAGTCATGCTGTACCCCAGCCGAAGCCTAGGGCTTGCTTTCTTGTGCTCCCAAATTGCTACAGGTTCACTCTTCGACATGTCTATTTCTGTAAACAGATAAAACTTTCTACCCTAAGGTCGACTGCAGCCCTCTTTGTTGCTACCACATTTTCAACTAGTAGAAGAACCAGAGGACTGGAGGAAAGCCATGAGTTTCCTGTTACTGAAATTCTGCTGGTTTCCTCACTATGCTTCATATCTAATTAGGATGTCTGCTTATTGTGATTGTTATTTCTGCAGGCAGTCAACGAAGTCCAAGCTATCTATGAGAAAGCTTATGAAAACTACATCAGTGATCAAAGCAAAAACAAAACAATCATCAGATTTCATGATGCAGTGAGTAATATGAATTCAGAAATTTTCTCACCAATGTTGCTTTTAGATGATTTCAGAATACGTTGATTTGACAATGAATCCAGTGATTCAGTTTGCATAATGTTTGTCTTTCCCTTTCTGGAATTTTTATTCTTATTGAAATCAAGCTAGATTCTATGTGGTACCTGATTTCTCAGTCATTTCTGTGGTTTCTTAATTTACTATAATGGTCAGCAATCTCTCCAGGCCTTGGTACACACGTCCTTCTAAATCTTCCTAAATATGGAAATTTCCTCTGGAAGACTTTGGTAAAGCACTGAAGTTTCATTAAATCACATGTGATATCTTGAAAACACTGCAGGCATCATTAGCGAGAAGGCATAATAAGAATCTTGGCATAGAGTCTATATTTATTTATTATACTCATCCTGACAGTTAAGATAGCATGTATAAAACTATTTCTACCACCGTTCCTTTAAAAAAAATATTTATTATAATTCTCTTGGTTTTTGAAAGACTATCTGTACCAATATAGTCTGTTTTACTCATGACAGTGGTGAGATAATGTCCTGCCACATATATTTCTGACATCATTTGCTAAGTTTACTTTTTCCTTAGCAGGACCTAGATCAGTGTTTCCCAAAGTGTGATCTGTTGCTCACAGTTCTTAGAAAAGAAAAGGAAACCCAAATGCTTACTCTCTTTCGTCTCTGTGGAGAACTGCTGGATACAGTCTCCCAAACACTCTGATAGAGAGGGAAAGTGGAAAACTTTTCTCTGAAGTTTCTACCCAGAGTGTTGCTAAGCATTAAAAATTTACTTCACCATGTGCAATAGTCTATTCTCCATGTTACACGTGTGTAAAGAATTTCTTTAAAAAACAAATGCCACAAACAAACAACACTGCAATGAATTTGCTTCCAGATCTAGGTTTACTGAGCTTGCCTTTGGAGTAGAACTGTCTCCCTTATTACAAGAGGGCTTAATCATTTTTATCCATATTGTTACCATACGATTACTGTACACCAGGCACATATGCACATACCTATATGGGAGCCAGTGTAGTAGTTTTGTGGCACTGGGAAGATTGGGATTCAAAGCCATCCTCAGCATAGAAACTAAGGGCCAGTAACACACTCTCAGCAAAAGCTACCTCACAGATTATTCTTGTGCAGATAAAATCTGGAATCCTCCACATTTGACAAAACATAAACAAAATAAACAAGGTAATACTGGGCAAAAAAATGAAGGGTGGTCCCAAGTAAGCTATCTTGAGCTCCAAAAGGGAGAGAGGGTGGAATAGACAGACAGAGAGATAGACAGACGTATACAAGATAGAAGAGAGAAAGAGAGATCAAAGTTATAAAGTAAGCCATCTCACAAGAAGTGAGGTGTATGGGGTACAGCAAAAAGGTATTAAAACAATAAGCATATTAAACACAGTCATGTTTTTTAAAAAAGAGTACACACAAAAGACTTGATCAGTATTTTCAAGTTTATCCAATGCAAGGATTAATATAAGTAGAACTTTAAATGTTTATTTGACTCTTAAATATGTATCTTTCTTTACACCCAGTGTCAGTTGATCTATGCCTCATTCCCTTGGTAGGCTTTCAGTCTTATTAACCACAGAAGCAGCCATAATACCAAGTTTAGAATAACCTCTCACCACACATGTGACCATTTGTTTGTCGATCCTTCTTAGTTAGTTGTGGTAAGTGTATAAATCTATGGCATAGGGCAAGACTTAAGGAAAGTCCAAGACAGCCTACAGTTTGTTTCTTTTGTATGCTTGGCTGAGCTTGAGTTCTTAAGAGGCTTTGTTAAAAACTGAACTTAATCCAATACAACTTGATTCTACTGCATAATATTGCCACTCAGAAGCTAATATTCCGGGGGGGGGGGGACAATTCCTTTATTTCCAGTGCCATAAGATTTAAAATAGTATTACATTTTGCCACAGCAAAATGTAGGAAGCAGGTAAACAGATTCAAAAATGACAGACTCACAAATGAGATAGAAGCTGAGATTTATTTATTTTATTTTATTGATAAAATAGACCAAAAGAATAACTTTAACTGCAACATTTAATATACATGATATATTCATATATAAAGCAAGAAATCAAGAAATAGTAACATTCAATAGAAGAATGTAAATACAGAAATTCAGGTTCCTTCAGCTGTTGGGAGCCCCGTCCCTATCACAGACAATGCTGAATGTTCCTCTATTACATTGGCTAGTATGTAGCACTTTTCCTGGGCAGGCCTGTGTTGAAGGTCATCCCTGTACTTTGAAAAGTTTTTGGTTATTTATAAAGTACATACCATTTCTCTGTTGGTTATCAACAATTTATACAAGATGCTGGTAGCTCATGCTTCAGCCACCACTGAACCTCAAGTTAGCAAAGCTGTTTTAAAAGGAAGAAATGGCTCTTGAAATGGCTACATCAGAAAGGAGAAACAGCTGAAGGCAGGGGCATTGAAGGGAGAATCTTATCAGCTCATTTTTAAAAATCTATGGCCTTCTGGAGAAGCAAATAAATGTTCACAATACCACTACAAATCTAGAGAACATTTGCTACATGCTGATTTTGATAAAGCTTCCAAGTGCTCTTCAGGGGTAGCCTCATATACAGAAATCACAGAAATCAAGCCATTAGATAACTAGATCATGTATGACTGTCTGAAGGACCTTCTATTCTTGAAAAGGGCATAACTGGCACCCCAGATGAAGCTGTGCAAAGGCTTTCCTGGCCACAGTTGCCATTTGCTCAATAGGCAGGAGCTATGAGTCCAAGAAGACCCTCTGAACTGTGCACAACTCTTAAATGGAGAACTGCTATCCTATCCAAGGTTAAAGATGGACTACTACCCAGATCAAGGCAACTCTAATATCCATAACCATACAGACCAGTCAAGTTTGAATGGAAGATGATTCCTTTGCATCTATAAATTGGATTGGAATTATTAATTTATGTTATAGTTTGCAATAATTATACACTTTGAATAATATAATTGGGATAAGCGTATTTTGGGTTTTCTGAATCATTTGAAAATGATTATTTTGGGAAGATTTGTAATATCTTATCTCTCTCCCTCCAGCTTCAATGCTGTGGGAAAGACAGTGACACTCAAGTAAAACCCACCTGTCCAAAAGAAATTGTGTCATCTAAAGTAAGTGCCTCTATTATGTCAGGTCATCCTGATACAGAAGTCAAAAATAACCTAGAAATGGGGTAAGACATGCTGGGAGTATCATCTCCGAAGGCAGAGGAGATGATCTGGACAGGAGCCATTTGGCACCAAAGTAGGATGCCAGCAAGATGATTTCTAAGCAGTTTGTTTGCTTTGTCAATTATACACACATTCATATATCCGAAGAAGACTGCAAAATAAAGCAAACAGTATTTATTGCAGCCAATTGCTTCTTCGGCCCTTCCAATTTGCTTGCAACCTCCTGGGATGTCAGAACTGGTCATTGCCATTTCCTGGTTTTGCTAAAATGAAAAATATCAGCAGGTTTTTTTTTAATTTATTTGTCATGCCATGGCAAGTAGCAGTGTGGATGAATTACCCGCATCAAGTTCATAATGCAGAAGAAAAGGTTAATGTCCCCAGTGCAATCATATATATAGTTTGCTGTTTATTTTTTAAAGAAAATAATTACATACATTCTATTGTTTGGTTAATATGCACCATATATAGATAGTCCTTGACTTATGATTACAACTGAGTTCAACATTTCTGTTAATAGATGTGACAGTTGTTAAGTGAGTTTTGATCCAATTTACAACCTTTCCTGCCACAGTTGTTAAGTGAATCACTGCAGTTGCTAAATTGGGTAACACAATTGTTAAGTGAATCTGGCTTCCCTATTGACTTTGCTTGTCAGAAGGTCACAAAAGGTGATCACATGACCCCAATACACTGCAGCAGTCATAAATATGAGTCAGTTGCCAAGTGTCTGAATTTTGATCACATGACTATGGGGATGCTACAAAGGTCGTAAATATGAAAAATGGTCAAAAGTCACTTTTTACAGAGTCATTGTAACTTGAATGGTCACTGAATGAACTGTTGTAAGTCAAGCACTACCTGTACATGCAAGGACGTCTACATTATCCATGCAACTTGCAGGATTAACAGACCCTGTTGGTTCCCTCACTCTTACTGAGTAGCTTCATGAGAGGTTTAGCTTAATCTGATTTCTTCTCTTGAGTCAAAATTTCTGGCTGACCTTCTCTTAGAGACTAGTTAGAGCTGGGTCCAAATAGAATTACATTGCAGACCTATCCAAATGGACTTAATTTTGGTTGCGTGAACTTTCATAGCTAGTTCAAACAAAATAAACCAGACAAATACATAGTTGACAATCTAATTTTATTTTCAGTGAAAATAGAATGACATTATATGATTGTCATGGATAATGTATGCTATATAGTTCAGTTTCTCTTCACTGATTTTCCTGCCTGCAAATATAAGCTTAACCATGCATGCCACATCATTTTGTGATACAGTGCAATTCTGTATTCCAGTATTTTTATTCATAGACTGACTGGAAGATTGCACTGCATAACTAGAGAGGCAGAAATCCAGGGAAAGAAGAGAATGAAGTTGCAGGCATCTGCATGGGAGGCAAAAGAGGAAGCTTGCATCAGAAACATAAGAGGCATAGTTTGTATCCTGATTGTAACACTTGTGTCATTCTGATAAAATCATCATATTCTGCAGATGCCTATGTATACTATTTCAATGAATCATAACGAAGTTAAATAAAAGCCATTTTGTTATGAATCGTTTTTTTAAAAAATAAAGATTTTAAAAAGATAAAAAAGAAATAATGAACAATAAGATTTTTTAAAAACAAAAAAAATAAAAAGTGTGAAAATACAAATGGAAAAGATATATAAAGAAATGACGTCTGATTTTCTTTACAACAGTAACAAATAAATTTATTATATCTCCTCCCTCATTCAGATTAGTTCATTAAGTCCCTTCTTCCCATATTCAACCCTTTTTAATCAATAAGTCACCAGTTCATTTTTGTTTCATTTTCACCAACTGCATTGATTTAAACAGAGAGTATATATTTAATGAAATTATATATGACATGAAGACCAAGTATTTCTATACACTAGAAGAATGGCATAATATCCTTCATGAACAAAACTGCTAAGTATTTCAGATTCTACACAAATTCAAACATCTTGCAATCATATTTGGGGAAACATGCATCCTTTTAAATGAATCCCTCCTCATATATTTGGCAGCTCGGAGTTTGCTATAGCAAAGATAATAAAGGAAGGATGGAATAGAGGGTACAGCCAGAAACAATTATAGCTGTTCCCAGGGCACTGCTGAAATTATTATTTTTAACATAATATAAAAGAAACTGTAGTAGGAAGGATGTTCTAGCATCTCTTAGGATCAGAGAATAGAGCTGAAAAGAGGAAAAGGAGATAATAAGGTGCTAGATTAAAAAAATATCTGCCCCAGGTAGAGCTGGTTGTTGAGAATTCATATTAGTAGATTTAGGAAAGGATTTAAGGCTTTAATGTCTTTCATGTTTTGAACAGAACTGTCTGACTGAAATAGAGACTCTTGTTAATTCAAATCTTCATTTACTTGGCATTGTTGGGATTACAATTGCTGGAATCACAGTAAGTAATTATCTGATTGTACTGAGTATTGTTGTCATCAACAACAACTCTGTATTTACACAAACCTGAAATCTTTCCAAAACATTGAAATTATAGCAATTACTAAGGAGAACTGAGAATCACTGTAAGTGTCCCTTATATGGACCTCAGCTGGCATGCTGACTGGGGGAATTCTGTGAGATGAAGTCCACACACCTTAAAATTGCTGAGATTTGAAAATTTTGCTCTAGAAGCAATACAAGATGTAAGATTCCTTGTCCACTATAGTCACAATACTGTCACTGAATTATGACTATGGGGCCAAACAACAAACTGTCCAACACATAGTATCAGAGTGCCAAAATAGAACCTATAATGAGACTTTGTTATTTTTTTGGCTGTGACTAATGAAGCAAAAAAAAAAACATCTAGATAGATGTTTATAATATTTAGATCTTTTTTGTATTTTGTATTTTTCCCTTGTGTTTTTATCGAAATGTATGTGAATGTGCCATATAATTAATAAATAAATGCATGTTTTAGGTGAAAAATATGGATGTTAATTGCTTCCACACAACCAAGAACAGGATCTTGGAAGTAAAAGGACTTTCTTCAAATTTTAATGGTCCATATTTATATTACTTCATTACATTATTTCATGTATTTCATCATATTTATATGGCCACTCACCACATAAGTAAGTGACTCTTGGTGGTATACAAAAAACCTAAAAACAATTTAAGCAAACAGGTTTTATTTATTATTTTTAATTTTAAATTATAAAAGACACAACACTAAAAATTTTATATATATATATATATATAAACTTCTTTTAGCTATTTAATTTAAAATAAACGGTCATCTATCTATCTATATCTACATCTATCTATGTAGGTAGGTTATGGGATAGGGACATTAGATCAGGCATTAAAGCAAAATCTCTAGTAGCACTGATGATGTTACCTAGTTTGGTAATGAAATATCTGCAACAAAACAACCAAACTCACAGAGCACCAAGAGCTTCCAGAGTTTTATTTGCCAGTCAGAATAATTCACATAGGTCTGGCTGGGAACATAATACTAATAAAATAGAATCAGGTAGATACCTGGATGAGAAGTGTTTGAATATTAGTAGCTCGGCTTGGTAGTTGGGCTATTGGTTTGATCTCCGAGCTTGGTGATTTGGCTGTAAATATTTCATCTCCATTCAGGAGGGGACATCTTCAGTGTGCTCTGAATTGTGCTTGTCTGTTGGAGCACTGGCCTGATTTGAAGACTATGGCCTAGCAACAACAACCAGCCAATCAACCAGCTCAAAACCAGACCATGATTCAGAAACATCCGGACAAATAACACCCACATCAATTTACATCACACAAAAAGTTATGTAAAGGTCAGTGCTCTGACAGACAAGCACAGTTCAAAGCGCACTGAAGATGTCTTCCCCAAATGGAGATGAAATGTTTACAGCCAAATCACCAAGCTCGGAGATCAAACCAATAGCCCAACTACCAAGCCGAGCTACTAATATTCAAATACTTCTCATCCAGATATCTATCTGATTCTATTTTATTAATTTTATTTATGCAGCCAAATCACCAAGCTCGGAGATCAAACCAACAGCCCAGATACCTGGATATTTGAGTTTTTTTCCTGAAAAATAAGGAGAAAAAAATTTACAAAATACTTATAGTATCATACTGTGATCTTGAAGTAACCAAAATGTCTAGTGAACAGAGATTAATTCCCAAGAAAAACCACTCAAATTCTCTGAATCTTTGCTTATATGTGACAAATGGTACATTATTAAAGTTTAAAATAATGCTCTCATCTTTCAGATCTTTGGCATGGTCTTCAGCATGGTCCTTTGTTGTGCTATCCGAAATACAAGAGACATGCTTTAGAATGTTTCCTGTATCGTGTTATTTCGAACCCAGGACTGAAAGAAAAGCTGCAACACAGTTCTGAAGAAGTGCTTGCCCACTCAACTTAACAACTGTAATCCATTTTAATTAGATGTTAATCAACTGACAGAAAAGAGGGATGTAGATAAGTTCAAGAGCTTCCTGTGATTGCATTTAAAATGTTTAAACAATTAAGATATGAGCAATAAGATAGGCTAACAATCCCTTTTCAAGGCCAACAGTGATATCTAAAACTAAAATTTATTTGAAGTATGACTTTGCACAGGTATGGAGGAATAGGCCCTGTATGTATGTGTGCTTGTTTGGGTGCTGATGCACTTATAGCTGTATATACAGTTCCTTTTATTGTATGTATGTTTTGTGAGTATCTTTATCTGCATGCATATTTCTGTACACTTGGATACTTTTCCTGGTAAAAGGTTTTTCAAAATTGGGTCCTCATTACTAATCATTTCTGGAGAAGCAAATTTCTTTAGGGAAATGAGTAATCTGTCGTATCTTCTTTCAGTCTTTGGAATGTGCCATTTAAGATAATGTCAGGCAGGAAAGACTAGGACCACAGGTGTAAAGTGATTTATTACTACTATTGCCTATGCAAAGAATCTACTCAACTAATGGGTAGCACTGTTTTGACTTTAGATAATAGTCAAAGGAAGTCAAGAGGGGGGGACTTAGTCCAGTTGTGGGTATGTAGAGACTCTAGGTTGATTCCTCTTTTTACTCTGCCTATGGGTTCTGCCTCTTTTCCTGTGGATAACTATATTTAAAGAATGTGTTCTGCTTCTAGGCAGCTCTCCTCTTGGAAGCGTGTGTGTATTTATATATTTAGTTATATGCAGAATTATTTATATGATAGAGATTGATGGGGAATTCTTTGACCTTTTTAAAGAAAAGCAGAGCAAATACTAAGAGATAGTACCAAACCAGGAGAGATCTGTTAAAACCCAAGCGTTTATTGGGACCAAATATCCTGTCCAGTCATGTTTTTATATAGGGTCTATTTAAAACATGACCAGGTACCTCGATTAGAAACTTAATTTCATTCAAAAAACTGTTCCTTGCTTGGGATATTTTTTCCAAATGCTATTTAGTATCTATTGTCTTAATTATTTTTAATATGGACCAGAAAACCTTACCGTAGCATAATCTAAAATTGATGCCCAAATTATTTTATATGTTTACTATTATGATTACACAATGCACACCATATCCTTTCATGCCACTGTAACATATCCCTTAAACTAAGTATGTTGATACAAAATCAATTCCTGTTCATTGGGACTTACGCTTTCATTAATACCCTTAGGAATGCAGCTTAGTTATTTGCCGCAGAGACCATAATAACCATAATGCTATTTGCAACTTTTTATTTGTTATAACAATTGTTTGTTAACCATGTGCTTTCATTGAAATCAATACTTCTCAACCTTGGGTAAAAATTAACTCAATTTGTGCATGAATATTTGTGTGTTTAAAAGAAATGTTCTTAAAATAACATGTCCATCCACAAATACGCAAGGCAGTTATGTGGCATTTTGAAGCTCAAAGCAAACTTCAAAAGCATGAGACAAGTACATCAGAACAGGATTAGGTGTATAGGAGAATATAGACAGTTCCTGAAGATCATGAAGACCATGCATTACATTACAGGAATTGTCATTAATGATTGTCAAAAATAATAACTAGTAATGGTGACAGTTATGCAACCATCCCAGGCATAGAATTCATACTAAGCTTCACTCTAGTTGTTTGAACCATGGGCACTAATACATTTGGAAAAAGCAGAAAGCTTATATTGAAAGATAAATTCTACATGTTTAAATTTGTCCTAAATCCTGTATGTAAAAAAATTATATCAGACAAATTAATCTTCATAGTTCAGTCTTTTGCTTTATCTATGTTCTCAGACTGCTAGAAATCAGTACAGCCAATGAGTGCTCAAAGAAAAACTATTTGTTCCTGCCAGAAATGTGTACAGCACATGCCAAAATCAGTCATAAAATTAAAACCCTGCCTTTAGTGTTCTGGCTATAGAGCTAAAATTAAAACATTGAGAGATGAGCAATTGTACTTTAATACACTCTGTTTTTATTACCTCTGAAAATTTAATTACTGCATGTTATTTTAACTACATCAAACTTTTACCTAGTCATGGCATGGCTATCTAAAACTGGATAAATGTAGAAATGATACAATGCTCTTAAAATACCTCAAGGCTGTTTACAGCTTATAATTGTGCTTTGTCTTGTTTATATTAATTTCTACTAAATTATATATTAAAAATTATTTAGTAAAATTAAGCTAGCCAGAGGAAAATCATTGTGGTGCAGTCTTAATATACTGTATTACAATCAATGGGGTTCTACCAGTGACTTAAATGGAAAGTGCATTGTGGGAACTTTTAAATGTCCCTTTCCAGACTAGCTATAATTTTAGGAATCAGAACTCTAGCAATAATTCAGTCTTTCTGTCTCTTTTTATTTAGTTGTTTAATTTTCTTTTAACTAGAAACAGGCCATCTAAAACAATATGTTAGGAAATTTTCAATTGTTAATAAAACACCCTCTTATATTATGTTTTTCATGCACATTTTTCATCAAAATATATTCAAAGCATATTTGATTTCAGGGGTCTTCATTTGAAATTCAGTGTGCTGAGAACTCTACTTAAGCATCAGGTGGGGCATCCAGCCAGTAAATGCTCAGCTCCATCCAGTTGCCTCAACTCTACCCTGAATTAAGGGATTACAGGGTTGTAAAAAGGGAGTTACTCAAGTGTATGTGTGTATATGTGCGTTGAAGAGTGAAAGTGATAAGTGCCCCAAGTTGTGTGAGTTATTCCCTGTTTTTTCTCAGTCTTTTATTGTGTGTATTCCCCATCTCTCCAACAAATTTCAATTAACTCTACTACTTGGCCCAGATAAGTTATTTGGACCCATTAGAAAATAACTCAAGAGACAGGAAATATACCTAAGGAAAGTATCAAAAGCCTAATTCACTAACTGCCCGTGAGACCAGTTGGATGCTGGCATTTTCCTGAAGTCCAGATATGGGTCTCATAATGGAGAAGATATTACTAGAGGTCTGAGAACCTAAATGAACTGCCTGGTTACTTAGGATGCAGTTTCATCAGTTCTGAAGTAATTCCTATCAGGAATTTCTGTTTAACAGAAACAGAAATAAGTATGTAATAATTTTTCACTTTAAAAAGGTCATTGGTATTAACTGTCATAAAATTAAGAGTCTGGAATCAATTTCTGCTAACTTTCTGTTTTGAAAATGATTTTTGGGAATTTTTATTCCAGAAGAAAAAAAAAGCAGAAGAACTGAAAATGTTATTTCCCCATAAAGTTAGTTTTTCTTTTAAAATACAGGTAGTCCTAGTCTTACAACAGTTCATTTAGTGACCGTTCGAAGTTACAATGGCACTATAAAAAGTGACATATGACCATTTTCACACTTATGACTGTTGTAGCATCCCCAGGGTCATGTGATCAAAATTCAGATGTTTGGCAACTGGTTCATATTTATGACAGTTGCAGTGTCCCAGGGTCATGTGATTTTTGTGACCTTCTGATAAGCAAAGTCAATGGGGAAACCAGATTAACAACTGCAATGATTCACTTAACAACTGTGGCAAGAAATGTCATAAAATGGGGCAAATTCACTTAACAAATGCCTCCTTTAGTAACAGAAATATTGGGCTCAGTTGTAGTCATAAGTCAAGGACTACCTGTAAAATGTCCTTAAGAATAGACATCTCTTTCATTATTATGCCAGCCATTCTCAGATTGGACCAGAACCAATCTAAAAAGGGAAACACCATGTGAAACACTGGAAAAATAAGCAATTTCTGAGTCTCTGTAGAGATTGCCCTGTCCTACAATCCTCAGCTCTGCTTTGTTCCTGCCTCTTCTATTTGCCTTCCTGTGTTTCACGCAGACTCAGGGCTTATTCAGCTGGATCACACATCAGCATAGGGCAATGTTGTTGCCCTACTTCTTGTTCTATGTTCTAGCTTTAGAAGTCTTTGGGAAGCTTTTTCAGGACAGTCCATATAACTGGTATGATAATTTTGGGAAAGACTTTGAAAAATCTTCTGTCTTCCAAATTTTCCACATCAGGAGCAATAGACAAATTCTATTTAATCTGTGCTCCTGTTTTTCATTTTTGATTGTTTTTCTCTTCTCATTTCGGTTTTAGAAGAGCTGGGTGAGCTGTTTAAATAAATGTAGCTTTATTCTGGTAGCTGCATTTTTATGCTGGGAAACTCTGAGCTTGCTTGTTTTCTTGCAGACGTTTCATTACCTGAACTAGGTAACATCATTGGTGCTAGTGATGGCACTGATTATGTTATCTTGTTCAGGTAAGGAAATGTCTGCAAGAAAACAAGCAAGATCAGAGAGCACCAAGGACCCCTTGAGCTTCAAATATTCTTTATTTATCTTTATTATGCTGGGAAAGTACACCAACTCCCAGTACTAGCACCAAAATAGTATCATTGAACAAGTACCAGGTCATAAATGGTTCCAAATTGTCTGCTGGAGACCATTTGTTATTTTTATGAAATGGCTGTCCTTTATAGACCTCAGACCTCCTTGCTAAACAATGCTGATAAATAAGCTGTGGCTTAAACACCAGGATGAGAAGGCAGGGAGGTGAATATGATAGCTATGACAATGGATTGGAAAACACATGCACTGTCTGGTAATGGAAAAACAGGAGCAGAGATCTTCATACATACATATATGCCATTGCTTTAAAAAATGTATTGGAGTGTTGGCAAACTTTGTTGTTACACTCATTGGAGAAACCAGTCTTGCTTCCAAAAAGTTATCTATTATTGCTTGGCTGCTTCTTTATTTTTAAGTGCCTTTTGAAGAACAGGACAAAATACCAATTCTATAAATAGAATTTTGAAATTAAAATCAAACGTGAAGCTTAATGAAGTGAGTTTCCATCTCCTTGCTTGCATCTCATTGTCTTTATTTTTATGAGTATAATTATTAACACTTATTTTAAAATCATCTACTCCTAAAGATGATAAAAGAATATGTGTTTGGATGCAGATTGAAATTAAATATATTCTTTCTGTGTCAAAAAAATCTTACCAGTGCCTTTAAAAACACCATGGCTCTATTCTCCTGATCTTACAATTTCCAGTGTCATTTTGGTAGGTAGTCCCTTACACTGAATTACATCTCTGAAACATCATATCTTGAATGTTGGCAAGGGTTAATTCTTGGACTACATTTTGCTATGACTTAAGAGGACCAAGTCAGATGTGCTAAGAATGGCCCAAAGCCATGATAACTAGTCCACACCTTCTCTTCCAAGTTTATATGATACAGTATAAGATATTCCTGATGACTCACCACTGCGGTACATTGATGCCATTTTGATTTTTGTGAAGTACAAACCCTTCAAATTGTCCTATTATTTCACTGACTGAAATTTGACATCCTCCTTTTCTTCTCAACTGTGTTAAGGAGTACAGTCTTTCTGTATCCTAACAAATGATCATTATAAATATACTAGAGGCAACAGTTTCAAAAAGATGTGGAGGTTGTAGGGTTAGATTCTCCCAAAGGTCTTCAGGAAAAAAAGCATTGATTATACCTACACCTATAGATATATAGGCTACCTCAGCACTATGACATGGCAAATGTGTAAAGCAGTGCCTTATTATAGGAGAAAGAGCAAATACGTTGAGCCTTTAAAAAGCACTTATTAAACCTTCTTTTGAACAGTAGCTCATCCTAGTTTGTTCTTTATAAAGCCATGGGCACATTATGCATCTAATAGATGCTCTGTCTGGCTTAATACAAATTCTCAGTAACTCTGGGAATTATTATACTGAATTCCAGACCTTTCACTGCCTTTAGGGAGTACTGGATTATATCTGCTGGAGAACAGGGCTTCATTTCTCCCAGCAATTATGCATGGATCAAGCAAGACCAGAAAGATCTAGCATCTGAAGATAGCTGTATACTTACTCTGCAGATTCCCTTTGTGAAATCCATTATTTTATTTAAGAATACATTACTTTCTATTGCAGTAGTTGTACATAACTAGTATTTTCACTCCTGGAAATGTGTATTTTGGAATTTGTGCAAAAGACTTCATTAATTCTCCAAATGTTGATAGAAATGTAAATAAACATACTCCTCCTTTCTGATGTTTCTGCTATCTAGCAACATCATGCATCAAGCTATTTTCGTGGGAGACTAAGCATCTTTCCCATGTAATCATTGTGTAAATGTTATTAGCAATTGATGTTATTGAAACATTCTCTGTTTTCTTAATGCATTTTATCACTGTTTCTCTACTGAAGTTGATGCAGAAATCTAATAAAAATAATCTGAATGAAGTGTAATGAGTGGGGGTATTTGTTAGCTTACTTTACAAGATGTATCACATGTGCAGTTTCCTTTCTCAGACATACCCACTGTATTTTGCAATAAAATATAATATTCTGGGGGTGAAAGAACATAGCAATAGCAATAGCACTTAGATTTATATACTGCCCATAGTGCTTTACAGCACTCTCTGGGTGATTTACAATGTCAGCATATTGCCCCCAACAATCTGGGTCCTCATTTTATTGATCTTGGAAGGATGGAAGGCTGAGTCACTCTTGATCCGGTCAGGATCGAACTCCTGGCTGTGGATTGAATTAGCCTGCAATACTGCATTCTAACCACTGCACCACCAGGGCTCATAAGATATGATGTGCTGTACTAAGACAAGTTATGGGAGAGCAGATGTGTTTTGATAACTATCTTATAGAGCTGTGTACAATCCCACATGCATTTCATTTCTTTATTCTGACCATGTCATTTTGATTGCTCTCCTGTAAACTCAAAATGACAATGAGCTGATTGCTTTTTAATTATAGTATTTGGGCAACATTGTTTTAGATTAGTTAAGGTATAGGTGTGCTGCATTTATTACCTTTATTCTTCCAACATAAATTACTGCAATGTTTTGCTTGCTCATTTCTTAAGAAAATTGTGGCACAATTTCCCCTCAAATACACCAATTATTTTAAGAAGTCAAGCTGAATGGTTTCTCAACATACATTATACCTATAAAATGACAAATGTCTAGAGGCTAAAATAAAAACACTCTTATTTATAATCAACAAAAAAGAGAAGTCATAAACTAACTGCACAAGTGCCCATGATTTCTTCCTACTACAATTCGAATATGTATGTAACAGATGCATATAATTGTAGTTGGAATGTTTAATTCACCATGGAAATAAACTTGCATATAGACCCTTCTCTACACTTCCAAGAAGATTGGCAATCATTTTTCATATATATTGTTTGGTATCAATCTGTCCACCTATTAAGATCAGAAATAATGATTCTTTTATCTTGCCTTGCTTATAAGAAGACAGAAAATTCTGTTTGCTGCTATCTACAATACTATTAAAAACTCCTAGGTTAATCAAAAGAAGACAATGAACCTTTTCTACAACTTTGTAATTATAGAATGCCTTATTAAATGGAGCTTGGTAGACAACCCAACTACTAATTTTAAGGTACCCTTAAATATTCTATTCAAATTGTGTAGAAAACAACACCCCTAACTCAGGGCAAGCTACTGTATCTAAACAGCAAACCCCACTCCCTTCTAGCACTGGAGACAATGAGGGTGAAGGTTTGTTCTCTGAGCTTGTGTGTTGGTTTCTGAATGTTTTGTTACCAGGCTAGGTAACATCTTCAGTGGAGTTTAGGGGATGTCAGTGTTCTGTTTATAAGGGCTTCAGGTGTGGATGTGTCAAGTGAGGGTCTTGTGATGGGTCAGTTATCAGTCATTAGTGAGAGTCTTGTGATGGAGAGGTTACATCAGATCAGGATCAATGGGAGATAAACTGGTGGGAGGGGGAGGGGTCAGGTGTGAGTTAGGTATGTGACACTGACATCTCCTAAACTTCGCAGAAGATGTTACCAAGCCTGATAATGAAACATTCAGAAACCAACCCACAAGCTGGGAGAACAAACCGTCACCCTCATCCTACACCTGAGCTACAGATATTCGCCACTGTTGCATTAAAGAAATTACCAAGTTTGATAATGAAACATCTGCAAGCAAACAACCAAGATTATAAAGCACCAAGGACTCCACAGTTCAACTCCTGAGCTAAATATATTTTCTATTTATTTATTTATCAAATTTATTTGCCGCTTGTCCCATGGTTTGACTCTGAGAGGCTTACATCAAAATAAAATAAGCATTCAATGATTATAAATGTAAAAATGGATTAAAATTACAAACATTAAAACAAGCTAAAAAACAAGGGTTTGGAGGAAAGAGGTGGGATACCTTCTCTGTCAGTGTACCAACTACCTGTAGCCAGGGACCCCATGCCAATCAGCATAACCAAGTTTTAAGGTTTTTCCTAGACTCTAAAATGGGTGGAGCGGATCTTAGCAAGATGATCCAAAGGACAGGAGCCATGGCATAGAAGGCTTTTCTCATGGATCCCACCAGCTGAAATTCCTTGGCTAATGGGATCTACAGTCAACCTCTTCTGTCAACACAAGTGGGATGCACCAATCCCATTGAGGAAAGACGATTCCACAGATATCCTGGACCCATGCCATAAAGGGCTTTAAAGGTAATAACCAATACCTTGAATTATACTCAAAAGCAGATTGGTAGCCAATGCAACTTGCATAACAGTGGTGTTTAGGAGCTTCCAAAACTGTCTGCACCACTGCATTTTGGACTAATTGTACCTTCCAAATGTTCTTCAAGGGTAGCCTCATGTAGAATGTATTGCAATAATGCAAGCAGAAAATGATCAGAATGTGAGTGACTGAACACAGATCCACACAATCTAGAAAAGGGCACAGTTGGTGCACCATACAAAGTTGTACGAAGGCTTTCCTAGCCATAACTGCCAACAACTCTTTGAGCAGGAGTTCTGCAAGAAACCCCAAGTTGTCACCCCACCCAGAACTAAAAATAGATCCCAAGGCTCTGCATATCCACAGCCATTTTTATTATTATAGCTAGATTTCCCTTAATGTGTTTCCTATTCCACAATTCACAGTGGAACCAAAAATATACATCCAATTCTCAACTAGCAGAAACTAGTTGAGTATATCAGGCACTGATGAAAACTAGTTGCTGAAATTGGGCTGTTTGAAATTAATAACCTGCTTGAGTATATCATTACTCACAAATGGGTCTTTAATCTTCTGTGTCAGTTTCTGCTCTTTCCTCATCTGACGCTATTGTATATCTCCTTGCTCTGCATGGGCTTTTTGGCTGGAAGTCAAACATTAGTATTTTTAACTTTTGTAGTGTTTTAGATAAATATTGGCTTCAATATTGAGTTTGTTATGAGTACATTTTTTAAAAAAAACTACATTCAAAAGATTTTTTTTCCTTAGAGATTGTAATATGTTACAAAAATTACAGTGTATGATGTAAGATATATTTTGCATTGAGACATCTTGAATGTTTATTTGGAAAGGGAATATTGTTTAGATTATATTTTTCCCCACAAATAAGTTACTTCTTTTGTCATTTTACATCTTTGTATATTTTCTGTTTCCATACTGAAATTACAGTATGTCTTAAAATGAAAGATAATACAGCTATTAAAGCAAGGAAGCACAACCGTTTTTGACTGGGAATCTTGCTTCTACTCCTCTGCCCCACTGAGGCATGACCAGTGCCATAATGAAATCACAGCAGTGGGCAGGGATAATGATTTCCATTTGAAAATATGAGTTTAAAGGATGGAATTTATGGATTTATTTTAACCCTGCTAATATTTGTAATAATTTGAGCTTTGCTGATCATGAAGGCTCTGAGGGTTATAAATAGGAATCTGAGGCAGCAGGTTACCTGTTCCAGTTAAAGCTCAAGGATCCCTACTAGGAAGAAAAAATAGTATTTCTCTGAAAAACAGAAAATTATCGCAAGTTGCCTACATGAAGGCTTAGTCTGAATGATTCATAACATTCGGGGGCTGAGCCATTCATTATATGGCAAGTGGTGGTAGTGGTAGCACAGCAGACTTTCAAAGAAATAATGACTGCTTGAAATAGCAAGGCTGATAGATCTGGTTGTAATTACCAAGATTCTAATTAACTTGGTTTGATTATACAAGGTCTTTATTTAACTTGCTTACTTTATGTATTTATTAAACTTTAAGCCCACAGTCTTGCACAACACAGCAAAATTTACAACCAAGTGACAGCTTCTGAATATACAGCTGTTGGAGCCTATTGTATAAGATTTGCTGTGTCGATCGACTGCTTTTCAGGACTTAAACTCTCATTGGCTCTAACCAAATGGTTAGTGACCAAAAATCATGAAATATGTGATTCAACGTATCTGGGGAGTGCGGAACGACTGAGTAAAAGAAAGAATTACATGGAAGTAAAATCTGTGTTTACAGAGCTTTACTCCTAAGTAAATTTGAGATTGCTTGCAACTGAGACTGCCGGGTGGAGAACGAAAGAAAAAAAACCACGATTATTCAGCGATGATGCAGCCAACAAGCTGGAGTACTGAGATGACCGTGAGGTTTAAACAAAAGGAAAAGTTGCAAGGATTTTTTTTTTTTTTTTTTTTTTTTGTAGTAAAGCAGCCCTGCCTAATAGCCAAAAAGACCTTCCAAAGAATTGGCACTTGGAAAAGATAGAAAAGGATAGAGGGTGAGTCGAAACATAGAATGTCTTCTTATTGGATGAGCTGTAATTGCTGCGGCCAATCGCGATGCGCCTTTGCTATGGTGTGTGGAGGAGAGAACCCACTGGCCGCTTTTTTTAATCCCTTGATCAAATGAGATGCATCCTGGCAGCCGGTGAGTAAATGGGCGCGGGAAGGGAAAGGAATCTTTGTCCGTCATCTGACACGAGGCGACCGACCTGGAATGGGATCTCCTTTTTCACGGGCGCCTGTACGATCACATTTCATTCCCATTACGTTTTTTTGTCTCACAATCCCTCCCAAGTCGACACTAGCATGCAAGGAAAATCGTGTTTTGGGGGAATGAGAGCCTTCCTTCTTGCATTAGAAAAGCCGGAATATTTTTTTTTAGAAGTGGAGTGAAACCTTTCTTAAAACGTACCAAAAGAAGCTTACACTGCGAAAGTTGCATCTTTGACTTCTGTATCTGTCATTCTGTGGTGAAGTAGATGCTTAAATAGATTTTTTTTTTTTAAATCAGAAAAAAAGCATTTGCTAGTGGAGGGCTGTTTCTGTAGGAAAAGTGTAAATATACAGTATACTTGGCCCCAGTTAGGAAGGCTGCATTTTCCGAGGGGTTGACAGCAAGAGAGGAAGAAAAAATTGTCATTGGGAAATATAATGGATTGGTGTCATGTGGCATTTGCAGATGGGTGCTTTGTGACCCAATGGCAATTGGATATTTTTCCTCCTGTTCCCCCCAGGTTTCCCACCCCTTCAGCCAGCAAGGCTTTCAGAAAGGAACAATTGCTAGTATAATAACAATAGAACAAGGTATTTCTAATAGTGAAGCAGCATTTCAACCTTGTTCATAATCTACAAGTGCTGGATCAAAGGACTTGCTTCCAGAGTAGTCCCTACTGCAGTCCAGCAATAAATATAACATAATGTAGTTGCCAACTGCTGTGGCAAATAAAATGCCAAAGTAAATGAGTGCACCTGAATCTGCAGCTTTCCCTGCCATAGTAGTTTTACCATAGGAAATATTTTGGCAGGCATGCAACATTTCAGAAGATCTACCACTTCTGCACACAATTATTGATCAACACTTCAGGAAAGGGAAAAATGGATTAACCTAGTTCTAGCGTTTCAGACACAACCTAGAACTTAGGAGAAATTTTCTGACAGTCAGAACAATTAATCAGTAGAACAATCTTGTCTCCAGAAGTTGTGAACGCTCCAACACTGGAAGTTTTTAAGAAGAGACTGGAGATCCATTTGTCTAAAATGGTTTCCTGCCTGAGCAGGGGGTTGGACTAGATGACCTCCAAGTCCCTCCCAACTATTATTGTTGTTGTTATTATTATTATTATTGATTTCATTTAATTAAGACAGAATGTATTACACATGTCTTAAGATTTGTTTTTAAATTAATTTCTGAGTGACTTGATTCATCAAAGAGCTATTCTATATAATTTCACAGGCATTATATCAAAAGCAATATATTGCATCTTCAGTCGAATTTTCATGGCATAAATAAATCATCTGGATATTAATAATAACTGATGACATTTGGTGTAATAGCAGTTGTGAGCGGGTATTCCAATTTGTCATACTGAATTTGAGATGGTTTGGCATATTTGAAATGCCTCTATGCTCAAACAGCCAATGAGATACATCTGAGTTATTTATAGAATAACTAACGGATTTTAAGGTATGGTTTCAGTTTGCAGAGATTAGACAGAATTGTCTCTTCAAAGAACCAACTTCTGATCGGCAGCTTATATTATTTTTACTGACCAAAGAAAACTTGAAGCATTCTTCCTTTTGAGATGAAGATAGCTGAGAAACAGATTAGGTATGTCTCACTCTGGATTTTAAAGATAGCTTCAATATAAACATCAATAGTTGTGAAATCAAAGATATAAAATGTTGGTTTATAGTACCTAAATTCTGTGTAAAATGCAAGAAGGGGAAAAGTGATGGAAGTAAATAAGGTTTAAGTAATTGCAAGATTGGAGGCTGATATAGTTTAAAAAGTGTTTTTTTTACTGGAGTATTATCTCAAGTTTAGAGGTGAAAGAAAAATATACAGCAAACCTTAAGCAATGACAAGGTATTCCACAGGAATCATGAAATTTAAAAGATGTTATTGCTACTTCCTATTGATTATGCTCTTAAGCAGCAAAACAAAGGACAAAACAGCTGATTTTGTATAGATAGGAATAGGGAAACAACAGGTTAGGGCAGGGGTCTTCAAACTTGGCCCTTTTATGACTTGTGAATTTCCAGAATTCCTCTGCCAGTGTGCCAGGTAAAGTTCACAAGTCATAAAAGGGCCAAGTTTGAAGACGCCTGGGTTAGGGGAAGAGAGAAGCAGTGAACTGTAATTATACATTACACACTTATACTATACTTTTTTCTGTATAGTTTGCCGGCTAAACTCATCAATGGAGGAGCTGCTGGGATCATAGGTGTTACTTGTGTATTTCCAATTGACTTGGTTAAAACTAGGCTACAGAATCAAAGAAGTGGACAACAAGTCTACAAAAACATGTAAGTGATTTTTAGAAAAACATCTCAAACCAATAAAACTTGTTTTGCAGAGAATATTGTTCAAAAGCCCTTTTAAATCTTGTCCATTTCTAAGATAGGAATAACTAGGATTTAAATTGAGTTTTTGTAACTATAGAACTGATATTACTATGTTTATAAATTGTTCAAATAGTCATTTTTATCATAGTGGATGTTCCCATACCCGGCATTAGATTATTCATTGTTGCTAATGCTAATTTCTATTCGTATTTTATTTGGAAGTCATATACGAAAATAACAAAAACATTAGTATAGCGTACAATGACTTATTTATTATATAAAAATATGGATAGATATCATTGGAAAGACTGATAGTTATTAAAACAATAGTTGGAATTATTTCAAACAATGTATGTAAAAACTTATGAATTGTTTTTACTGATGTTCTGATCAGGTTGGATTGTCTAATGAAAACTTTACGTTCAGAAGGCTATTTTGGCATGTATAGAGGTAAGTATGTTTAGTAATATTAGTATTAATTTTGATGCCTAGTTGTATTCATTTTATTAGAATGCACTTCTGAATACATTTCTAATGTAGTAACCCATGTTTCCAGTAGTTCTAAGTAAAAGTGAATAGAATTTTATTATTCGGGGATTAAATACAGAAGTAAAGAAAGGCAAAAAAAAAATCAGTTGCTTTTTAAAAATTTGCTAGGAGTTCTAGAACTTAGCAATGGAGTCCAGTTAATGGGAACAACATATGACTGCAGGGTGTCAATTCAGATATAGCAGGAGTAAGGAATTTGAGCCAACCAGAAACTGTTGAACTACCAGAAAGCCCAGGAATAAGGAAAAGTGGGAAATTTAATTCAGCAATATCTAAATTACTGCCCTCCAGTTGCCTATATAACAGTAACTGGCACTTTCCAAGCATTTGTCTTAGGTCAGACATGTCAAACTTGTGACATTGTGCAACATATCGGAACTTTTTCCCCATTGCTGGCAATGGGGTGGGCACAGTTTCATTGTGATGCGTCCAGCCCACGGGCCGGCAGTTTGACACCCCTGTGGTTCCTAAGCATTCAAGATTCACTCTCTTTTCAAAGAGTGCTGAAATGGCCAAAGCTTTTTTTTTTTTTTCCCCTCACACTCTGAGGTCTTGATTTTCTTTCCAATTTTTCTTCATCTCAAAAGAGAACAATATTTTAGATTTGGTTGATTACAGAGAGGAAGAATAACACATAATTGCTTTGTATACATGCTAATGATGGTGAAGATGGTAGTGGTTGCATACATGGATTTATTAATTTATTACTTTATACTTTTGGAACTATGATTTGTTAACAGAGTGGAGTGACTAGAGCAAGAGAGGGAAGTCAAAAGGAGCTTGTTTAAGGGACCTTCAGAAGAATAATAGTTTATATGAATTCCTTCCTCTCAAGAGAATAAAAATTGGAGAGGCATGACTTCTGTATTATAAAGCAAAGGCAGATATGGTAGACCATGCTTCTCCTGAATTAAAAAAAAGCTAGCTTTCTTTTAAAATTAGAGACAGAACTTTAGGGAAACAAAGAAGTTGCTTTTTCTGAACTGATGTGTAACATCTCCCCAACAACTTTAATAAGCATTACCGGGGGAAGTCTGGGAAAACAACTTTAATAAGAAGCCAGGGAAAGTCCGGGAAAAAGCAAGAGAGAACTTTGGTTTCAGCATTCAGATGATTTTAAGTAATGAATAAATATTTTAGGCAGAATGTATTTTAAATTTACATTTTCTGTCTATATCAGAGTTCAGTCTTCTTTATACTGTATCTCTGTACAAGTTGTATGATTGTATAGTATTCAGTCTTTCATGCATAAATCTAGTTATAGATGAACATTTTTTTTTCAAATCTCTCAGGATGTTAATTTTTCCCTGAGAAATGTTTTGATAAAATTTAGAGTGCTTTAGAACATGAAGAAGAATTGCTAATCTGAAATACAATGAGTTAATTTATTCCCAGTGAATACTGAAGGTTCTTCTTTCTGCAATTATTGCCTTCCTTTTCTTAATTCTAATTTTAATTTTCTTTTCTTTATAATAACAAGAACTCAGCTTTACACTAGACTGGTATAGAATTTTTTTATAGAGTAATATTAATTGTTAACTGAAGAATACAATCACTTTATATCAATTAAACATAAGTATGTTTATTTATAGGTGCAGCAGTGAACCTGACCCTTGTAACACCTGAGAAGGCTATCAAACTGGCTGCTAATGACTATTTTAGACACCTTCTTACCAAGGAAGGGTATGTTATTTCAGATACTTGAGTATCACTTGTATCTTACATCCATTATAGCTAAGTTGAGGTTTTAAAACTAGTTTCAAGTTCTATATTTTTCTAGCGCATGTTTAATATTTTTAACTTATATTTTCCTGGATTAGTTTTTTTTAACCAAGGCATATTTTAAAAATAATAATAATGTAATAACAACGAGTTTAATTATTCTGTAAATGTCACCAATGGGGTTAGTTGTACAATCACATTTGAAAGGGGCAAATAATAATATATTTTGAAACAAGATAATGCAAGCACAAAGTAAATGGAAGTAAAAGAGGAAAGGGAAAATATTATAGTTCTGTCCTATATATCAGAAAAGCAGTTCTTTGGGGTCTGCCAGAGAACTATTAATTGTTAATTAAAAATGTTGGAAATGGGACATTGCTCTTAAAGGGACATTGCTATTCACAGACAAGTGAGAGGACATTTTCAGCACTGTTGATAGAAGCCCCAGTTTTATCCTCAACCATATTCCTTTTGGATACAGAAACATGAAATGCTCTACACAGGAGTGAAGGGAGTCACAAAACATAATGCCAGGACAAGCGTACAGTGAGAACAGATAGGGTCATTCCCTTAGTAGGGACAGCTAGAGAGGCAAACAGAACCACATATACAAGGTGAAGTAAGTAAAGGGCTTAAATGGTGAAGTTTCTTGTATTACTTATTTTTTAATTCTTTTATTTAAAAAAAATTCTTTTCCTTTGGAGAAAATCTGTGCATCTCTGTTACACAGCCCATTCTCACTGCTGTGGTGTTCAAATTAATGTAAAGTAATATGTTTGACAAATCTTCTGATTCTTTTTTTCCTTTCAGGTTAGCTCTTTCTTTATCCAAAGAGATGCTAGCAGGCTGTGGTGCTGGAGTTTGTCAGGTCATTATTACCACTCCTATGGAGATGCTAAAAATCCAGCTGCAGGATGCAGGGAGACTAGGTAATGTTGCCTCTCTTTCCATATAGTACACTGAACTCTGAGAAATAAATTAATCTTGTTATTATGTGGGATTTCACTGTAAAACTGTTACATATTACACCATTTTATTTTAGAAGATAATGCAAAAAATATGCTCTGTACCCATCTCTCAAATTCAGACATAGTTTCAACTATATTGAAACTATCATCTTTGTTGTGGTATCTACAGTGCCACAATACAACCCAGAATGCTATAAAATAGTGACTCAAGTGGCAGGATAGCATTAGAAAATGTAGAAAATCTGCAGTGCCTTTGTATGATTGAGGAGAATAGAAATAGTCAAGACACAAAAGACAAGTTAAAATGAATTAATAAAGAATTAATAAACTGATCACTCCTGGAGAAAAATCTAAATGATTACTAAAGGTTAATATTGACTTGATGAAGTATCATCAAAACAATCACATAAATCAAAGTTTTCTTTGTCAAAACCAAATCCTTTGTCATAATTGCAGTCTAAAACCACAGAATTGCTATAATTGGAAAAGGTTGCATACATTGGTCCCACCCCACCAGCTATATTCTCTTCTTTATGTCTATTGGGAGGAGATTGGAAAAAAGGAGCATGGAATTTGGATAATATTGCAGTGATATGCGAATCTAAATATATTCACAATGCCTCTGCTGTAAGGCAATTAGGGATTATTCTAAAACATAGGTCTTATCTGAGCATTAATTAAAAGTAGTTTAATAGATTCTCAGGAGTCTAATACTCAGATTTAAGTTCAAGTGAGATTTTTCAAAACAACCAGTCTTATGTATTTTCTATTTTCATTTCAGCATCTCAGCAAATTGTTAGCCAAGTTTCTTGTTCCACCTCTGGATGCAATCTTGTAAAAGTCAACCCTATCCTGACTAGAGCATACAATGTAGGACCTGTGGTTATCTCAAGGAAGATATCTGCCACCCAAATAGCAACGGAGCTTCTACAAACTCATGGCATCAAAGGGCTCTATAAGGGTCTTGGAGCCACTTTATTGAGGTAATGATTTTGTTTCCCTAAGTTTTTTTCATTCTCAGATTAATTTTCTGCATTGCTTGAAAAAGGAATACATTTTGTCTTTCAGGGATGTTCCATTCTCTGTCATCTATTTCCCACTGTTTGCCCATTTGAATAGAGCAGGACAAAATTCCTTGGGGCATAGAACAAGCTTCTTTCACTCTTTTCTTGCTGGGTGCATAGCTGGCTCAGTGGCAGCTGTATCTGTGAACCCCTGTGATGGTAAGAATGACTCTAGGTTTGTCTCTGGGCTACTTTGTCATGGGGACATGTTAAAAAAGATTATTCCTATGGATCTATGAAACCTAATTTATATTTTTATCTGTTAAGAGTTTCTTATATAGGGAAGGTTATTGCTTTCATAATACAATAATAGTTCAGTGGAATAGACACATTTTGAACGATCACTTACTCAATTGATTAATTGACCAACATATCTCTTAAACATTTTTTCCAGTAATAAAAACTCGTCTTCAGTCAATGGGCAAAGGAAGAAATGAGGAGAATTACAGTGGAATTATAGATTGTGCAAGGTAAAGCTTATAAAACAGTTCACATTTTTTAATTCTGAAGACAGTGTATTGGCTTCCACGTATTCAGTTGCCCTTAATTTACCCTGACACCTCTGTAGATACAAATCTTATTAAAATAATGAGTAACCAGTTGCCCCAAGTGCACAGTAATAACATGTAAAAGCAACTTTTATATGATTCAATCCAAGCTACATATGGTGCCATACAGCCTATTCATGTGGAATATTACAATTCCAAACTAGTTTTCCATATTAGTTCTGCACAAAAGCATGAACATTTGAATTGGCTTATAAAAAGATGGAATCATACCACTTCTTGGTATGATACCACTTTTTTGTAAGATTTATTTTGTACAATGAACTACATATATGCAAAGTCTTGATAAATGTATATAGAGAAATTGTTGCTAAATATTTAACATGTGCTGAAATATGTTTAGGTAATACACTGCAGAATGTTTTAACCAATTATGTCTTGTTTATTTTTTTTTTTTGTCTCTATAGGAAGATTTGGATAAAAGAAGGTCCTTCAACTTTTCTAAAGGGGGCTAGTTGCAGAGCTCTTGTCATTGCACCTCTCTTTGGTATAGCTCAAGTGGTTTATTTCATTGGGCTTGGAGAATTTCTTATAAATCTATGCCAGAATGGAAGATGATCCCCATAGACTTTCATTCATAGAACCTCCTGGAATATAATCACAAGAACCACCAGTCAAGAAACAATAGCAGCTCACTCTATTGACAATTGTTTTTTTCTGTTATTAAGCATGAAAAAGACAAAGCCATTATAAAGATACCAGTCATAAAACACCATGTAAGATAGCGGTATGTCTGAGTTTAGGAAACAAGAATTCCAAGAGTGGAATGAGAATAACTACCATATTTTTCTGTCTATAAGACGCACCCTTGTATAAGACACTCTGGCATGTTTCTCCACACCAATCAGCTGTTCAGCGGAGTGCCAAATAGCTGAGCTGGCAAATCCGGAGGTTCGGCCAGCTGATGATCTTTCCGCCTCTCCCCTCCCATTAGTGGCAAGCCCAGAAGGGCTTGACACCTGCACCAGGCGGCATGGCAACCCACACAGGCATGCCCTAGGCCAGTGGTGGCGAACCTATGGAATGGGTGCCAGAGGCGGCACTCAGAGCATTCTCTATGGGCACACGCGCCATCGCCCCAGTCCTAGGCCTTCAACTGGGTTTTATAAAACCTTTTCGCTTTAGGCCTCTGCCACAAAAAAAAGGTTCAATCGGTCAATTTGAACTTTGCGTGGGAAAAAAAAGATCTCGCAAAGTTGGAATTGATTGATTGAACTTTTTAGTTCCACCCAGTCTACCATTACCACTGCAGCCACGCCCACCCAATGGGCCACACCCAGGCAATGGGTCACACCCACCCAGCACCCGACGATGCATAAGTGGGTTGTGGGTTGCAGTTTCGGCACTCGATCTCTAAAAGGTTCGCCATCACTGCCCTAGGCTGCAGAGGTTACCATTATTTTTCCATGTATAAGATGCTGCACTTGATTTTTGTGTTTGCAAGAAAAAATAGTATTTTATACACAGAAAAATACGGTACTTTGGATAAATAGACAGTTGAAGAAGTATCTAGGAAAATGTTTTGTATATATGAGTAGAACAGGAAAAGAAAGAACTATCTGTGGGGCCAAATCTTTGCTGAACTGTTGAAAAATGAATTAGGCATTTAGTTTCCTGGAGTTCCATAGATGCTGCTAATTTAACCCATTTGCTGTCTTTCCACTTGCTGCTAATTTAACCCACTTGCTGTATATCTGCTAGTGTCTCACTCACTTAATTGGGAACAAAGATGTATGAATTTTTATAGATTATGTTTTTAACTTTACCTAGTAAAGAATCTGGTTCCTGTGGTAACGTAATTCAAAATAATTTAAGCAATCCAAATATTATCAAAAAAGTAAATTAGTTCCTTAAATTTATTATTTAAAAATTTATAAGCCATTAATAAAAAATGGAAAATGTGCCATTTAAAATCAAGTATAATTTAAGACTTCAGGGAAGAAATGGTGAACCAAAGGCAGCTCCGCTAAGAGCAGAGCTAATGACTGCTGAAGAATGAAGGGCCAGTGAGCGGACCAGCTCTTTGCAATTCCTTTTTGGACAAGGAAGACTTGGGATCATCCACAAGTGCTCTAGGCAGTTGTTCCTTGTGTGGAGACAGCAAGAGCATTATATTGAGAGTTTTGAGCTCGGAGACAAGGAAACACTATCTTAGCCCAAACCGCATTAGACTCTTTTATGAACACAGGATTTGTATAATTTGTTTTCTAATCACTTTTGGAAATAGTTATCTGCTTTTCAGCTATTAGGAACCTTTGAAACAATATGTTTTATAACATCAGGTGAATTTCTTTCAATTCTTAGTGAAAGAATTTTTAAATACAAGTTTAAGGACTTTTTAAAAATTATTTTTTTTTAGTAATCAGCGAAAAGGTGATTAAAACATTGTTTTTTGAAAGTTACAAACATACTAAAGGTCGGGATGGATTTGAAATAAAAGTTTGAAATAAGAATCCTTCCCATGGGAAAATGCTGCTGTTTTGAATTCTTTTACAAAAACTATAGGATTTTGAAGGTTGTACACTAGAGGGAACCAGAAGGAACTGAAGATTACAATTAAAGATTAATATTTAAATATTACAGAATGGAGCCAAATACTTTTACTTTGATCATGTTAAAGGATATTTGTGAGTAATGTACCCAGAAGCTTAGAAGTAGGGGTGCTTGTATTATAGATAGACTTGTTTAAAAGATGTAAGAGGAACAATCTTTACTGGAAAAGACTAAGACTGATTTGAAAGTGGATTTAAAAATGACAGACTACAAGAATTATGTGGAAAAAGATGCCACCCTAGATATACAACTGAAACCAGCTGTTGTCTTTATGATTAAAGAGGATATACAAATAACAAACCCAAATAATGATGTCAATAACTTTCCTATATTGGATTTACAAAAGATTATTGTTAACAGTTTTGAAGACTTGTGAGAAGGGTAAGAAAAAAACCCAAGTTCTAAGACACTATTTGAATGTTAAAGAGCAAGATTGTTAAGTAAAAGGAAAAATATAAAGTTGATTTATTTTATCAAGTTTAAAATAGATAGTTATCAATGGACTTGATCAGGACAAAAAAATGAAGTTTTAAGAATTTGTTTATAAATAAGATATGGGAAGTAGGCATCAGTTATTTCATTTCAAGAGAAGGTAATAAGTTACAAAATTTATATTTGTGATGGAGGAATTCATTTCTTTATCTTTTTCTTTATTTTTTCTTTTCTATTTTTCTATTTTGTTTTTTAGTTTGTATTAGTGTTTATATTTTTAATTATAATATTTAATAAAATTACTATAAAAAGAATCAAGTGTAACTTAACTGGAAGCTGAAAATTTAAAGCCTATTTATATTGTTGATTATACAGTAACCTAAGCATTTTTTTCTTAACAGACTTTACATTCTAGCTGTTATAGATCATTATTATATTTGTACATTATCACTGAGCTTGTCTGAGAAAGCTCAAGAGTGTGGGGGTGTCATTCTTCCTAAAGAACTATATGTTGATTTCAGGACACTATATACATTGCACCAAGGACAATACAAACAGTGTTATGTCCCTGCACTTACTCTACTACAATAAAAATGCTCAAACCAGTGCAACAACAATCTATGTATATGCATTTTGTTCTTCTGAGGATTGCATTGAGCTTTCTGCAGCATGCTAAGGATTACATTTCAAATGGACAGGACTTTTTTTCTTTAAGGATTTTAGTATACGTTATTTTAAAATTTTATTTAAATGTTAAGTTCTTGGTCATTGAAGATCGAGATAGGAAAAGGTTAACTCTAATTTTTCCGGTCAGAAAGCAGAACTTAAGACTTCATTCCATGGAGTCTTTGCTCTGACCTGTAGTAAAGAAAAAGCGGTTGTTTTTATTCTTGAATCTTTTTTGCCTGTGAAACCTAAGAAAAAAGAAAGTCACAAAAATGAGCAGTCTATTATATTTTACTGTTCTGTCATTGAATAATTGGACAGATCAAATTCATGGATATGCTAGCCAACTTATTTATTTTTGCTGTTGCTGCTCTTTAGCTGTTGCTGTGCATGAAAGATACAGAGAACCAAGACCTCAGAGGTTATGTAGCTTCTAAAACATGGGTGTCAAACTTAATCGCATCACATGACATATTATGATGTAGCACGATGTTTTTTGCCATTGTGGAGCTGGGGTGGGCGTGGCCTGCGCGTGACACATCCAGCCCATGGGCTGCCAGTTTGACACCCTTTCTAAAACATTGCACAATAACCAGCGCCACTTGCCTCCTGCACACAGTCACTGTAATCAGTGTTGCATTTTCCACATTTGCAACTCACTGCCACAGGATAGGAATAGTAAGAGACAGCATGGTGTTGACAGCCAGGTATCATCACGGTCCTGTACACCAGGTCCTTGTATGTACACACATCCTGGGATAGGGCACTCGGTCTCCGGGGCAGTAGCTTCTTAACATTACTGTCCTGTAACAAAATGCCAATGGTTACTCTGTCTTCCTAATAAACTTTGTTTAAAATTATCCTGATAAAGTTAGATTCTGCTCTCCACTGTGCTCCTAATCACTATGCAACTGAAATTAGAAGGATCCTTTCATCACTATAAGAGCTTTTCAAACTAAAAGTCAAGCAACAGCAATCTTGCTGAAATGAGAAAACAGTTAAAACTGATCCTGTATAAAAAGATTATGAATTGTTTGAGCTATTAGAAAAGAATGTGCTTAGAATGGGCACTTTGGAAGGGCAATTGCTCATAGATAGCACCTACTGTGCCTGCAGAAAGTCCAAATTCATCTTTGGAGAAGACTTAAGAAGATCCACTGCAGAAACTCTGGAGAAATGACTGTCAGACCAATGTGACTTTGAGCACAAATGGGCTGTAAAAGGAAAAGTCAAGTTTTTTAACTAGACTTATCCCAATCTAAATTTCAAGGGATTCTACTATAGAACCATCAATTAAGATATGTAGTCATTGTTATTTAATTATTTGTGGCTTACTATTTTAAAAAAATAAGAATAATTTAAAAATGAAGCAGATCATAAGTGTCCAGAAGACAAGCTCTATAAACAGTAAAATATATGAGTAAAATTACCACTCTAAAGCATGGTCTGGGAGAAAAATTACATTTTCAGTGACTTTCTGAACATCATCAAACGGAACCATACAGACCTCTGGAGGGGCATGCTGTTTCAGAGGACAAATGCTAAGGCTTGCTTCTAGATTACATTACTTTATCAAACAGACATGTAGTGCATTCACTGTGCTGGACTTCACTGGACAGCTAGTAAGCATCAGAGATAATCAGTTCTTCAAACATGTTTTGATTTTTTTATTGGAAGAATCTTCTTCTAGTTTTTCTACAATTTGCAAACTAATGTCTTAATTAATTAGGATTAGAAGGAATGGCTTTTGATATAATCTGTCTCCCAGAGGAAGGAAGGAAGAAATTTTGGAAGTGTTGGAGAAGGTCAACAATATATTGAAAGAAACACAATTCTCTAATAGCTTAAACATCTGGAAAATTGAAATCCTGGTGTATCCTGCATATTAACTACCTACGTTTTTAGACCCAACTTGAGAAAATAATAAACAACCATGCATGAAGGGGGATGTCATATTAAAAGAAATTTCAAGTTATGTTCTTTTATTATCGAATATAACTTATTGCAAATTATTCTTGTAAATTTCTTCCCACTATTTATTCTCTTAAAGCAGCAGTGAAAAACTGCACCAGGCTTTGTATGACATATTTAGGACTCCATTCTACATCTTAAGACACCCAGTTTAATATGTCACCTTTTCCCCAAATTTAAAAAAAAATGCAGAAAGAAATCAAAGTTTGGGGTGCAATGTCATTAATGGGGAGGCATAAAACGCAGCCATTAGATCACAACAGCCACTTTACACACTTTTTGCATATTTGCTTTAAAGAAAGATAAGCAACTTCAGCCTGTATCCTTTTTTTTTTTTTTTGAAGCTTATAGCACCCCTCCCCTCAAAGCTGATTTTCACTTTCCCACCATTTCCAAGTCAGATATCCATAAAAACTTTGGTGCTATCCTAAATAAATGGAATATGAAAGAACCAGTTCCGAATGTCTAAAGTGCAGAACATAATCCCATTCATTTTCTGTTATCACTTCATATACTGTGGCTCCAGTCAGCCCAAAGCCCCAAATATCCATGTTCAGATATATGCTCAAGAAGAACTATAAGGAAAGACTCAGAAATATCTTACAAGACCATACCCAGGTCATGCAGAATCCTTCACAGATGGTGGTGTTGATAGCTAAGCAGTAGCCGCATTCTCTCTTCTCCACATGGATGACATAGTCAACAGGGATACAAAGAGCCAGACTTTGCCCCAAAGTCAAGGCAAATATTAGGGGCAGAGAGATGGAAAGGACAGGATTCATGCTGGATATAAAGATAAAGCAAAAGAAAATATCACTAGACTAGATAGAGACAAGTAGCATTTTAACAGGAACAGAAATCACACTCATAGCAACACCCTTTATATCTTCCTGGTCTCTCCTCCAATTCCATATTACTAGAAATTAAGGGGGAATTAATCTCATGCTAAATTGAAGGAAGGCACATTGAGATAATTCCCTGCTTAATCACTAAATGCATAGATGAGAAATGTACCATTTGCACTCATGGATGCCTACACACACACACACACACACACACACACACACACACACACACACACACACACACTATCTTCTTTGATCCAAAAGCAGATCCTATTTTTTCCTTTTCCTCCTTATTGTTTTAATGCTGTAACATTGTTGCTTTGACACTACTGTATAATAAGAACGTGAAAGCCAATCTGATTGTAGTTCTTACCTTCCTCTCTAATTCCACAGAAACTTTGCTAACAAGAAAGAACTGATAGTTCATCTTCAGGCAACAAAGGAACAAATATATATTTAAAACAAAGGGAAGGGAACAGAAGTTTTGCATGGAGTGGGAAAGCAAGAGAAGTATGTTTCATTCAGCTTGGACAGAAATCAAAAAGGTGCCCACTGGGATATATAAGATTTTAGTGGAACATGGGCTTCTAGGGTTGAGACAATTCATTGATTTAACAGGCCTTTGAATGAAATGCAACATTATTTTAAAAAATGTGGAGAAAATAGCAGCTTGACAACCCATCAAAATATACCAGTACAGGGCAGCAAACAGCCATTGGAAGAAGGGGAAGGAGGGGTAATGTCAGCCTTTTGCTGGGACAGAATGAAGCACTGGAAACCAGCTGTTTTGAATTAGAGTTGGAAAACATGGATGCAATGTGCAATGGGTTGGAAGTGGGAACAGGATGATGCCATCAGATCCTGTAGTCATTAAGTGGTGAGTGGCTCATACTAGCAATGAGCCAAACAAAAAGTGAAGAATCTGTCCCAACTCTTCTCCAGCACTTCAAATATTGGAAGACAGCAATATTTTCTTCTCTTATTTTTCTCTCTATTCTGTTATTCTGTCATTCTCTCTGTCTCTAATATTTTAAAAGAAAAAGCTGTTTCCTTGCAATAGTTGACTTCCTTGTAATGTTTGATTTCATACTAAGCTGATTTCTCGTGAACATTTTCTAGTTTGTCAAAGTTCTCAGCATGTGACACCTGAATAATTAGTGCTCTAATTTCAGCTTCATAAGCACACACACACTCCAAATGTTGCCAAATAATATCAAGCTCATGCAGGCAATTGTTTATTCAATGTGACCAATATTTATGCCACATACAGTATATCTAGTTCCTAAATGCAGGTATTCATATTTATTTATATTGAATTTCATCTCATTGTTCAAATGTATTGAAACGGTTTCAGATTTTGATATTTTCTGTGCTGTTATACTTTCCACACACACTTTGCTTCATTCAAACATTATTTCCAGAACCTGTAAACTAGTAAAGCCATTGACAGAGAAAAAAGTTTGACTAATGACAGATCAAATACTGATGAATGATGTAAAGAAGCATTGACAGCATAGTGAATACTTTTTGTTAAAAATCCTCTCAAGCAAACAGAATCCTGCTTAAAAAATGCTTCTAAGGGATAATCATGTTATTTTACAGCCAAAATGCACCTATCTTGTGGCACCTCAAAAACAAAGCAGTATGTATCATAAGTTTGTTTTGTTGAACACTACATGTCTACAAACATCATTTTTTTCTAGATTCACAGAGGCATATAAAGCTAGAAATGCATACCTATCAACTCTGCTGAGTTGTCCAATCTCAGAATACCTTAGGAAAAGAGAATCACTCTCTTGGCTGCAGTCTTTTCTTCATGCAGTCACCCTATGTGTCTTTGAGTTTGCTTCTGAGATAATGCCCAGTTCAGGCGCTGGGTGTGCATTTTATATTCTCCAGGTTAATTCCTGGCTGATCTACTGTTTATATAATTGCATTAATTGCTTCTACTAAACTCAGTAATATCTACTGCAGGAATCAAACAGGGCTCATTCCAAGGAAATGGAATTGGAAGAAGTGGAGTTAAAATATCTCTGCCTGCCTGAACTGTAATATTACTTTAAAATTCTTTTATTCTCCATAAAACAGAAATACATATTTCTGAGTCTATGTACATGTTACTATTGGGACTGAAGTATTTTGCCATACCATAGTTGAGCTTATACAACTTAGTTGATCAACTGCAGAACTATGTCAGGTCAAAAGCCACTGTGGAATTCTGGAATTTGACATCAATTGAGGTTGGCAGCTAAGATGATTTATTCTTGGCTCAGCTGTGGTGCAAGCCAAACTGCAAAAGGTCATCTGTATTTTTACATGAGTGACGTTCTGAAAGTTGGTGAAGTCTATTTCTCATTTTTGCTCACCCATACGGCAGGTCTTTTAATGCTGGCTTCTTTAGCAGAGGTGAAAAGCCCCAAATGACAGTGCAGAAGAGCAAGCAGGCTAGCAAACTGTTGGATCTTTATGCATTTCTTTTCCTTTTGTGTGGAATCAATGAGATTTGGTTATTCGAGTATTAAAATGCTCTACAATAAATCCCAGTTCATGAAGTCTAAGAAGCAGCTTGGACAGGACATACTGTAAAATAAATAGCACTGCTTCTAGGTTCATATTGGTCAAGTGAAGGGACAATTTGATTGGCATATTGTTTTCAGTATTCCTTGGTTAAAGAACATAGGAAAATGGAAAAATTGCCCTAGGGAAGTGCCCATAAACTCTTGTACAGACATCATCTCCAATATAATGAAGTTAGTTTCAGTGAGGGATATATATAGAATAAAGGAGTCAAAATTCTGATACACAATGAATACAACTAAAAAAAAATACACGATTTTCTGCACTTTTATTTATTTAGCAAAAAAGTTCATCTGGTCACAGGAAATTAGTTATTTCATTCTTAGAACCTTTAATAATATATATTTGCCTACATGAGAAAAATAGACTGAATGTCTGAGACCAGCACTAATTTATTTCCCATCCTTTCTTGTTGATTGCATAGCAAGCATGCTATGAAGAATATGACTATTACAATTATTTAAACTCAGAAATATAACACAAAAGAAATGGATAGAGTATGAGAAGGAGAGAGGGGGAGGGAGGAAGGTTCTTAGAAAATATTGGTCAACCCTTCTGTTTAGTTCAATAGAACACTCATTAAAATTACATGTAATAACTGTGGGACAGAAAATGTAATTATAAAATCATCCTCCTGACTTATTTTCCAGCATAATTATAGACCATTATTAGGCTGATTTCTGGAAATGTATATGGTATCTAGGAATACTGAAAAGTTTAATAATGGAGGTTATAATATTTAAACTTTTTAAAGTGTTCGTATTGTACACATTTTCTTATTTATTCCCATTAGCATTTATTCCAAGATAATTTGCAAAGTTAAATTGTAATAAAAGAAGCTGGGTATACATTTGAGTGTCCAAAACTTTTGTAAAAAATATTTGAACATTATAAAATTAAATATTCATAATGTCAAATAACTGTTATCTATGTGTCATTTAATATCACTCATATGACATCATTTGAAAATTTCTGGTTTTCTGCACTAAAGAATAATTTCATTTTCTATGATAGATGAATTCTCATGGTTAGCAAAAAGAAGCAAGATTCCAACATATAGCAACATTATCCATGACTGTGACATTACATTTCTGTATATGTAATTTTGCTTTGCTCCAGATATTCTCAGAATTCTCTTCTAGAAAAGTTTTGTCCAGGACCTACACCAATGTATCAGTTTTATATTTAATCTTGCTATGACTGACAAACCTAATTCAAATCTATTGTATTTAATGCTGACTATCTATTAAATTAATGACCGCCAAGAGTCACTAAAATCTGAAAATGCCAACCAATGACAGCTGGTCCTTGCCATTTAACTGTGAATCATTCATTTTTAACCTTTCTTTTAACCAAAACAACCTACTAACTGACATCAATCATTTACACTTTCATGAAATGGAAGCTACCATTTTTATATTGCTATCAAATGAGTAATCCCATCCAATTGAAATAACAAGCACTAGATGTGCTCCAGAGATAAATGCTACAGAAAATGAAAGATTAATATTAAAAATTCAGGCAATTTAAAGATATCACAATGTTGCATAAATGTAAGATTATTACTGAAAAAATAAGCATTTTTGCTTTTGCTTCCTGTAAAGAATTACATTTGAATAGGAAGTGGGAAACATCTGTTGGATCATGTGTTAAGTGGATATAAATCCAGTAAGTTGACAGGAAGCAGAATCTTACCCAGAATGTCTTAAAAGCAGTTTAGAAAGACCAGCTGTCAAAGGACTCTTTATCCACAGTATGTCAGAACTGTGGAAAATACATGAAGACAAAGCCAAGAAAGACAAAAATATTAGGAAAGGACTTAACAAAGAGCAACAGAAACCTGGCAGAATTGAAGATAGAAATGGACATGGGGAAAAAAGGAAAATCTTTCAAAGGAATCAAGTCATTCTAATCTCAAATTGGTATGCTAAAAGATAACATAGACAGATAGTAATTTATTCAAAGATCAAAAGAAAAATTGAAGGGATACACTGAAATATTATAGAGGTGTCAATCTCCAAAGTTCCTGAGAAGATATTCCCTACTTACAAGCTCTAGTAATAGAAGAGGAAGTTAGATCAGCACTCTGGTCAGCACCAAGTTGAAAGACTCCACTACAGGAATTGATGATACAAAATTATGGCAAGCAACAAAAGTGTTTGCTATTTGCTATTTTTGTGACTTTTCCTGCTATTTAGCCACCCATACTCATGTATTTGAGGCTATATAAAATGAATAAATAAACCAGTGGTTCTCAACCTTTCTAATGCCGCGACCCCATAATACAGTTCCCCATGTTGTGGTGACCCTCAACCACTTATACATCACCAGGTGCTAGGGGCGTGGCCAAAGAAAAAGGGGGAAAAATGGTGGACAGCCTTGTTTGGCGACCCCTGTGAAATGGTCGTTTGACCCCAAATGGGGTCCCGATCCACAGGTTGAGAACCACTGAAATAAACGTTTTAGGAAACTTATCTATGGAAATGTAAGAATGTTTAGTGAGGAGCGTTAAAAGTTAAATCTTTTGAGTTAAATGCTGTGCTAACAATCTTGTCTTTTTTGTTCCAGTGCAACTGAGGAAATTGGTACTCATGAAATTATACTATTTCTATAAAATCTGGAATTCTGAAATATTAAATTGATTTTGGTTCAATTTTCTTTTAGTTTTTTATACTTGTAGCAGACAAGCACCATCTTGTGGCTTACTTAGAGCATCTCTTTCATTTTCTTTTGTACTGCCTTTTAGATTTTCTAGTTGCTGACATCAAGCAAGGTAACTCTGCATTTATTAGAATTTCCCTCCCTCCTTCTTCCTAATGAGGATGCTCATTTCTGAAAGAAGAAAGGAACCCCTTAGTCACATAACTTTAAACTACACAATTAGAAGTCATATTAGAAAAGCAGTTTACACTCCTGATTTTTATTTCCAGCAAGGCAACACAAGTAAGATGCTCCCCAAAAGTTAGATAGTGGCAGTGAAAACTACCAAGCCACTAACTCAAAGCAGGGGATGGGACCAAGGTGTGAACATCCAGGCATCCAAGACAAGCTTTCAGACTCACCATACAGGCACAGTGCAAAGATAATATATATGAAAATATGAAAGATCAAAATATGCATTTTAAACAATATCTTATGTAAACTAGCTTTAACATTTAGACTGAAAGAAAATTCAACATTTGTTCTAAAGATTGAGGCCATTTGTTGAATTTTTAAATTAAGTAGCACTGACCTATTACTTCAATGCAGTAGGAACACCTATTTGCCAATTTTATAGAGCACAGAATTCTAAGGTTGTCTTTATATTCTTAATAGAGAAAAGGAAGACATCATAATTGATTATACACATTACAATGCCTTCACTGAACTAGTTAAATGTATTTTAAATCAAATATTCATTTTGGGTAAAGAATGATTTTATTATCAATATTTTAATGTATTGATTTTCTCTTTTTTAAAAATACTGTTATTAACGATTTTAATAGTAAAAAGTAAAACAAACTGAAATCAAAAAGAGGCAGAATAGAGATTAAAAGTGCAGGGAAAAAGGGAAAAAAGAAAAAAGTTAAAGAAATTACTTTCACATAAGTACAAGCAACTTGATATTACATTATAGAAATCACTTCCTCCTGTATCTTAAACTTTATCCATCCACAAATCCAAACATGATTACTATTTCTGTCCAGTTTCAGCAAAAAGTCCAGATTGTAGTATTTGTTTTAACCCTGATCACAGTTCAAATGTATGTTCCTTTCCTTTGCTAACATTCTTCATCTTTGCTTCATTAAGATGCTCCTGTAACATTTGATACTAATCTCATGTACAAAACACATTTATATTTTCATTTTAAAACGTATGGAGTACTGGCTACCTGACCTTTGGAAAATGCCAGGATGAATTTAGGTGTTGTACTGGGAGTAGAAAACATGGGCAACAGCTGGATTCAAATAAAAGTTTCTTTTTACAGTAACATTTTTATTGTTTTGACCACACTTGACTTCTTGTAATCTAGCATGAATATTGATTATTCACTTTGGATATTCTGGATTTAAAATACTTTACTGAATAAAGTCTGTAATTCTTGCTTATTTGTATCTATACTATTTTCCCAATGATATAATTTGCTTAAATCTTTTACAATGAACATTTATGCTGCTTCAGAAGACATATTTGTAGTATCAGAATGCTTTTACTTGTCCAAAACAATGAGATAACTCCCCAAATTATGTGTTGACAATAAAAATGCATAAAAATTTAATTTAATCTTAGCATGAGGTGGCATGAAGATGATGAGCTTCAAAATTATCACTTATACTTTAAAATAACCTGGACAATTTTTTTCCTGGAAAAAAAACCACTTGGATATTAATCCCAATTTATGAAAACATTCAGGATCACTAGGAAGGCTATAAAGGACTGTGTTTTTGGATGTGGCTAAATCCTTGTGCCAATTAGGAATATGACTTAACTCAATATGAGAAAATAAAATAATTTTATTACCACAATGTATTTCCATAACAGTTAATAATATTTTGCTTCCCACTTCGAAAAACTTCAGGTTGTTTCATTGGTGTTACTGTACTTAGGTAAATAACAAACATTTATAATTTTTTAAACTATATTTTCAATAATAATAATGGCAACATTCTTATTTGTTACATTAACTTCAACCTATAGAAAACATGGGAAAACTAACAAAGGGTTAAGGGAAGAAATCTTGCTTTGCTTTTCTACTGAGAAAATATAGGCTATTCTGCTTACTAAAAATTGTTCTTACTTATTCACAGGTCAAATCCTTAAGGGAGGGATGTGCATACTTCTGATATACAATTGTATCTACAAGAAATGGGTTGCTCTATAAGACAAGCTTTTAAGAGATTTGTTCAACATATATTTTCAAAAGAATTGGGATAAATTACTGTAAAAACAAAAGTTATTGAAACAAAATGTGTGAAGTGGAGCTCCTTTGCAGAACTATATTGACTCTGATCATCAGAGTATTTCATTTCAATGCAGGCAATGAGATGGGCTTCTTTGTAAATATCATTCGAAATATGTTGCAAAACAATAAAGACACAGCAGTGGCCTCTTCAACATGCTAGCCCATGCTACACCTGGTATTGGGATAAGATATTGGGATACACTTGGCAAAACAGCTTCAAAGGGCATGTCAATCTATGTGCCCACACAATACGAATAGAAAAATAACATTGAATTTAAATATATTATCTAACTGAACAATTAATTCTTCTAAAAAGAAAAAATATTTGGTTTAAGTAAAGAGCTTTCCAGCTTCTTTCATTTTTTTTCTTCTGTCGATTTTGGAGATTGCAGTCCATCCTGCCTCTCGCATCTTTCTTACAGTGGCAAGTTTCATCGAAGATCCTGGAGTTTTCAGAATAGATGGAGCTTGAATCTATAGATAAAATGCTTGACTTAGTATTTGGTAAGTAGTCATTCTGAAGTCAAATTTGGCTTCCAGGGAATTACTAATACCTGCTTTGGTGTCCGGACGTATAGATGAGAAGATTCTGAGTAATTTTTATTCAGCTTTTTAAACATTTCTTGTTCTGTTACAATACTCTTGGGGGAAAAATAATTGTTAAAAGTAAATATTTCCATCTACCGAATCTCTTCTTTCATGTTTCATTAGATCCCACAAAAACTAAATTATATCTCATTTAGGGTGTTGTATTAGCCACTAAAATGTACTACTCTTTCTCTTTCTCTCTCAGTTCACAAAGAAGGTGATCTAAATTCATAGTATGAATGGAGATCTACTCTTTGCCATCTGTTCCACAGTAATCTTCATTGCCCTCACTGCTTCCGTACATTATAGGACAAGAAAGTATTAGTCAATGGTGGAGAAAAAAGAACTCTTACATTTTTTTTGCTTTCACATGTAATGTAGGGCTTCTGTGTATAGTAAATAAAAATGTGGACATGAAATATATATTACAATGAATAAGTCCCCCAAATCTCTAATCAAAAATAACCTAATCATATTCCAATATTCCTAGAATATACAGTATAATTCAGACAGTTGATAAACGTAACAGTATAATGCAGTTCTCTAAACAATATTTCTGTGGAATCAGTTAATAAAGTCTCAGCAGACTAATTAGATATGGCATTTATAAATGAGAAAAGTAAACAAATACCATTAAATCAAGAACAAATACAATGTAGGTGTATTCTGAAGGAAAACATTGAATGCTTACAGAAAGTCTGGAAGGAATTCCAGATAAATTAATTGGGAATTTTGATAGTATCATAGTGATAGTATCAAATATCAATTCATTAACTGGAATCCTACAGCACTGAAGAATAAAAAATATGCCCAGTTGACCATCCTTTTATTTTACAGATTTCATTTCACTTAATTCAATAATTGTGAATGACATCCTTAGATAATGGAAAAATAATTTCCAAGTGAAGAATCTAATGCATCCTACAAGAAACAGAGCCATGTATAGCATTTTAGGAGGCATATTTACTCCCTATGGCAAAGCCGTTCCTGAGATTCTGGGCTTGAATGGACATTAATGGAAGACACCTGCTTCATGTAATCCTAATACATTACAGTTTGACAATTTATCTGAATACTTTCTAGATAACCAAATATAAGTCAAAGAACACTACTGTCTTCCAGAAGAGCCTTCTCTGCCACAGCATCCACTCTTTGGAACATCCTACTCACCAGGGTAAGACCTGCCCCCAATCTCCTATCATTCTGTAAGAGCCTAAAGACCTGGCTCTGCAAGTTGGCCTATGGACCCAAAGGGGAGTTCAACTGGTAGCTGCTACATTGGTAGCAGATGCCACCTCCCCTCCCCTGTTTTCTGCTCCCCACTTGCACATACTTTTTTACTAATCATATTGATGTATTTTCTTTGTTTTCTTTTTCCTTGGATATTTTATTGTTCTCTTTTACTTTTGCTTTGTTTAAACTTTTTAGGTTTTTTTTGTTTTTTATGATTGTGAACCATCTAGAGTAGCCCCATGGCAAGATAGACGGCAAATAAATGTAATAATAATAATACATATATGTGTGGGATAACCATTTATTTTACAAATCTGGAAAAATTATTTCCAAATTTTGAGAATTTTTGTTAGTTACTCTCTCCACCAAGACCTGCTGGAGGGATTCCAAGGCTACATGTATTTTGTTATCCACCTATAGAAAAAAGAACACTGAACTACGACAGTAATGATGGTTATACTTAGTCTATATCTAAAAGTAATCAGATATTTAGTATCAAGTTAGCTTTAATTTATAAAATACCAAACATTATTTCATAGCTTACACAATTTTTATTCCTAATCAGTTTCTGGAAAGTTTGTAAACTGCAACATAAAAGGAAAAAACTTTAAATATTACTGGGGCATTATAATTCATTATAATAGCATTTGTGCTCTGCTAATCTTGACAATATCAGAAAGATCAAATTAATATACAAATTTATATATAGCAAGCAGTTGAAAAAGGGCATGCTCAATGGTCCCAATTCGCTTATTTTACAATGGCATCACTATTTCATATACAGAATTTTCTTGTATTTCTTCTCTGCAACTATGGAAGGAAAATATTTTAAACACAGCAATGGAAAAGCTTTCAACACTTTGAAGCTTCTAACTGCTGGAATATACTGCTGGTATTATTAAAATTTTCCAATTTTCAGGAACAATTAGAGAAACCTAGTGTTCATAATCATTATTACACCATTGTACAAACTTTTCCATATCAGAAAAAGGTTAACAGGAGAAAGCCTAAGAGTGTTAATTTTCAACATTAATGTTATATTCCATGTAAATTGTAAGCCACGATCAAGGATGAAATGGGCTAGCTGCTGCACAGGAAAATAGGATGACTTTAATTAGTATTTTTGAGGTCACAGATTCAAGTCTGAACTTAAAATAACCATATTCTTGCCTGTGTTTTCATCATGTCTGCATGAAGACATAGAATTGTTTTAGGAATGTATCTTCACATCTGAATCTCTGAGCTTAAAAATTTATCAATCAGGGACCTAAAATATCTTTTTTACTTGAAATGTCTTAAAGGCAGCTGGAATATAATTACTACATGTATATCTCAAGAATTGAAGATTGACAGTTGCAGTTCTCTATGCATGTTGGAAAGAATATATTATATATGTTTTCTTACTATCAGAAAAAAATGCCATTGCCAGATACTTAGATGCCCATCTATTCACCAGATATGTTTAGGTTTTCTGGCAAAAATGTAATTTTAATAGTTTGTGATTAATATCCAATTTCTTTTTACAGAACCAGGACTTTGTTATTTTTCATTCAGTAGATGTTCTAAAATAAATGGCTACATTATCCATGTATAATATGGTATTTATTTCTCTCCTACTTAAGCAGCACTTTCCCCCACAGATTTTCAATTATAGCCTTCAATATTTCTTTGATACACAATAGTTAGATTTTTAAGAATGAACTCAGTATCACTTGTTTGTGTCTACTGACTCACTTTTTTCCTTTGGGAAAGTTTCTATTATACTTGCTTACTTTCATCTATAGCTACCAATTAAGAGCTAAATCCTTTTAATTCCCTTATTAACTTGATTTTGTCTTTTGATCTATTTTTTCACTGACCTTTAGTTAAGTAGTTAATGTGCCACTTTTTATAATTTATTGGGATTAAAGTTTTAAATGATTAATTGGAAATGGCAGCTGTTGTTAATGAGTCCTTCTTATTTCCAATAAATAAAAGATTTATTTTGGTTCAGGTAAGAACAGGTTGATAAAGGTTGGATTGGAAATATTTTTCTCCCTTTCTTCTCATCTCCAGTCTGGCTGTCCTTCCCTTATTTGTTCCAAGGATTCATGCTTAGTTAAATCTGACCTTGAATCTGATTCTTCACACCAGCTTATCTTCTTTGGAAATAGTATATTTGGTGCTCTTTCCAATTGCCATTGTTTCCCTCTGCCTCAAATAGAATACTGCCCCTTTAGCAGAGGATGAATATCAATATAGTTTAAAATCTATACTGGAATAATTTAAACCTTTTCCCCCTTGCCAACTCCCACACCCCAAATATCCATCTTTCCTGCAAGAAGAAAGAGTATTTAAACGTTATATTTGTTTTATATCCAGAATAGATTAGAACCACTAATTGTCCATTAGGTCACTTTGGTTAATCTGTCGTCAAAGAAGTTGGGTGAAAAGAATTTTATCTGCTCCTATTCATCTCACTTGTAGTAATTTGCACCATAATTTTGTCTGGAGGGGGAAAGTTTCTACCCAGGTCATGATAATAACAGTTTCAAAATGATTTATTTTTCCAATCTTTTTCATCTCTATATTGCCAGCCCACTTTCCTTGAGAGGTTGTGTACTGTATTTCTTATTCACATGATACATCAAATCAATATCAACACCAGTGCAAGAAACTTCAACTCTCACATATTCACATCCTCCCTATTTTCTAATTGTATCCCATCCTCAAGAGATACAAGTTCTTCACTTTCCCTGAATAATACTGCAGATTATTAAGAGAGGCATAAAAATTTAAACTGAACTCACTTATCTTGTTGCACTATAGCAAGTCTTCTAGTTTAAGTTGTTGTTCATCTTTGGAATTATTCTGCAAATCCAAGTTCTTTCTACGTTATTTCCTTGTTTTGATCTTACATTTCTTGTGTTCTTCATCATATTTCCCTATTCTATTGATAATGCAACACCCCCTTCTCAAAGAGTGCAATAGGGCTTGCAAAAAAAATTACAATAAAGTGAATCCATCAATGGGAAAAATTTAATAAACCAGAAGCAAAGAAGCTATTATGGAATCTCTGAAGCAAGTTGCTTGTATCTCTTAGTCTTCCTTACTATGTTGGCAATATTGAGAGTCAATAAAAGATTCTCTTGCCCAGACACCATCCTATATATTTACATTTTTCCAGTCATATCATCTACACCCGTAACCTTACAATTTAAAAATATTTTCACTTTATTTATAACTTCCTTTTCATAATTTTTTAATCAAGCCCTGATGAATGCCCTGCTCTTGCTCTAAAAATAATTTCAAAATCATGAATAACTGAAACAGTTGAAGCTATTTAACTTACATTAAATATTATTATTTAAATTAATAAAATAATTCTACTTTTTGTACATGTTTCCAGCCATTTCAATAAAAAGCAAGAGTAATTTTTAAATTAATACCAGGAGGTCAGTATTGTCAGAGCTGTCTGACCGAGAATCCAATTCCAAAATAACTTTTCTTTTCTTTTTTCTTCCTTCTGAAACTAAATTGGTGCTTTCTCTTAGCAGTTTAGATTTTGGTGGTGTCTTTACAGTATATGTCTATGAAAAATAAAATATTAGAAACAAGCTATTATAGCTTTTAAACAGCTAAACCATAAGGGGTTCTTAAAATGTTTTAAGCAACATAATGTTAAATGTCTCACTTGATGCAATTTCTTACAGTTTATGAGGGAAGGTATCTGAAACAATTCCACAAGGTAATAGCACATTAACATTTTCGTTTGTGCATATACAGAGGACTTGAGGGACAGGATATGGAACATCCTAATGAATCAAAATAATAATAATCCCAGTAAGACTGCTCCCCCATGAAAAAAATTCAACTATGTACATTACTATTCCTGTAAATCACAGGTGTCAAACTTGCTGCTTCACATGACGTGTTGCAATGTATCGTGACTTTTTTTGCATTGCTATAGCTGGGGTGGGCGCAGTCTCTGTATGATGCAACGGGCTCGCAGGCCGGCACGGCAGTTTGATACCTCTGCTGTAAACCTTTTGAGGAATAGCTGGCTGATCGGCCGTACTCAGTGTATGGTCCTCAATGGAACTGCATCTACATGGAGGGAAGTGTGTAGTGGGGTGCCCCAGGGCTCTGTTCTAGGCCCAGTGCTCTTCAACATCTTCATCAATGATTTGGATGCGGGGATAGATGGGGAACTCATCAAATTTGCGGATGACACCAAGCTGGCAGGAATAGCCAACACTCCAGAAGACAGGCTTAAGATACAGGAGGACCTGGACAGACTTGAACACTGGGCGCTATCTAACAAAGTGAAATTCAATGATGAAAAAAGTAAGGTTCTATATTTAGGCAAGAAAAACCAAATGTACAGGTATAGTATAGGGGGTACCTTGCTCAATAGTAATAATTGTGAGAGGGATCTCGGAGTCCTAGTAGACAATCACTTAAATATGAGCCAGCAGTGTGCTGCAGCTGCCCAAAAAGCCAATACAGTGCTGGGCTGCATTAACAGAGGGCTAGAATCAAGATCACGTGAAGTATTAATACCACTTTACAATGCCTTGGTAAGGCCACACTTGGAATACTGCATCCAGTTTTGGTCACCACGATGTAAAAAAGATGCTGAGATTCTAGAAAGAGTACAGAGAAGAGCAACAAAGATGATTAGGGGACTGGAGGCTAAAACACATAAGGAACGGTTGCTGGAATTGGGTATGTCTAGTTTAACAAAGAGAAGGATGAGGGGGGACATGATAGCAGTGTTCCAATATCTCAGGGGCTGCCACAAAGAAGAGGGAGTCAAGCTATTCTCCAAGGCGCCTGAAGGCAGGACGAGAAGCAACGGATGGAAACTGATCAAGGAGAGAAGCAACCTAGAACTAAGGAGAAACTTCCTGACAGTTAGAACAATTAACCAATGGAACAACCTGCCTCCAGAAGGTGTAAATGCTCCAACACTGGAAGTTTTTAAGAAGAGACTGGACAGCCATTTGTCTGAAATGGTGTAGGATTCCTGCCTGAGCAGGGGGTTGGACTCGATGACCTCCAAGGTCCCTTCCAACTTTATTGTTATTATTATTATTATTATTAATTATTATTATTATTACTACTACTACTACTACTTAGGGTTATATTACATTACACTATGCAATTTATGCATGCATGTATGTATGTGTGTGTGTGTGTTTATTTAGTATTTAAATTAGTTTTTAATTTCTAATTTAATTAGTATTAAATTATACTATTTAATTAGTATAATTAAAACTTTAATTATACTAATTAAACACACAGATAGTATTAATTAGTAATCTGGTAATATGGTTACTTTTGGAATTCATAATATGATATATGTATGGGCTATATATTTAATTCAGATTAAGAGATTATGATATTATATACTATTGCAATTATTAAGTGATTGTTTAGTATGTATACCTTTATATTTTCAGTTTTGAATCTGTTTTCTTTGGTTAAACTAAAACAAGAGTGTATTTAATTGTATAACTGTATTTGTATTAAAGACAGTTGGAAGTAATCCTTTTTTGTTATTTTTGGTGTTTGTTTTTTTTAATTTTACTTTTTAAACCTGTCCTTGCTATTCCATTCCCATCTTTCCTATTTGGTCATAATTTTGTATTTTATCTCTTTTTTATGAAATTTAATAAAATTCTTTAAAAAAATTGAAATCCCTTGAAAGTCCAACAATTTTACCACTAGCATCATCATCATCTTCAAACATTTTTATCTCAAGGATAATTAAGATAAGAAAGAGATGATTACTTATGCCAATATGATACAAAAGGTATGAAGAGAAAACAAATTAAAAATTGCATGATAAAATGAATGTAAATTTTGAAAGAAATGATAGTGGACTATGGAAAAAAATAGTAAAATTTACACCAAGCCACACAGGAGAGAAAATTGGTATAAAATGTTCTGTAAATGGTATATAATTCTTGCAATAATTACCAAAATAGATAGATCACACAATAAATATTAGAAATGTAACTTTTGCCATATATAGCATTCATGCAAAAAGATTCAAAAGTTTTGGGGGAAAAAACATACCAAAGCCTTTAGAAAATTCTGAAAATAAAATTTTAGTGGAAACCACAAATATTGATCCTAGAGAGCAAAATGAAAAAGTACCACAGCTTATTAAGGTATATGCCAAGAGTGATAAGAATCCAGCCCCCATTGCAAAAGAAAACAAACCTTGCTGACAATACAAGATTTGAAAGTCCAAAATCAAAGAAAATGTGACAATGGAAAGATTGATTGTATATATTCATAACAGAAATCTAACCACATTTAAGCAAGAATGGCGTCCTTATATATAATATATAACACAAGGCAAATTAAGATGGAATTTTTTGGAAAAAAAAGAAAACTAAACATAATTAAAAGAATCTAAATAAATAAGTAATAATTTCAGATGTTTAAAATAATTAAAAAATATGTACCCATTAATACTGATGGAAAAGAGAAAATAACAAAAGGGAGAGTGGCTGCTTAAATGCCTTTTCTTGCAAACACAGTTGTTTTTTATTTTTAAAATTGATTTTTAATTTTTGTTTTCATCGCTGTATTAAATCTCATTTTCTTGAATTCGCACTTGAAACATCACTTCAGTGTAATGTTTATGCAACTGTAATACTACTACTTTTCTTTAAAAAATGATAACATTTATAAGTTAGAGGTTATATTTATATGTATATATTCATATGTAAGTATTTTATTCCACCCCATTTTTATTTCTTTGTTTTCTTGTTGCTTTTCTTTTGTCCTTTGTGTTTTCTTAGAAATATTTTTTAAAATGGTTTGCCGCTATCTCTTTTCTAAGGCAAGAGTTACAGTTCCAAAGTTATTCAGTTAGCTTTGTGCCTAAAATGGAAGTAGAATTCAGAATCTCCTGATTTCTAGTCTGGTGCCTTAATGGTTCTAATGTACCAAAAAGGCTTGAATTAATAAAAATAAATTTAAAACATTTTCTCTAAATATTAAATGGTCAATATTTGAAAACCATCTTCATACTGTCTTTGTAAATCTAAAATAAATGAAAAGGAAACAAAATAATTTGTTAAGAAACAAACCTTGGCAGGTATCCATGAAGACTTTTCTGTATATTCTATGTTCTCATTAACAGGTATAAAATGTTGATATATGTTCTTTTGGGAGTTAACTGACTGAGGGTCTGAATTAGTAGCTTTAGGAACTTCTACAAGTGATGCCTGTAGTTTCTAAAATTAAATATAGTAAGAACAGTACAAAATAATAAAAAGAAACCATAAATTCAACTAACTTGAATTAATCTAATTTATAAGATAAAATTACTTTAGAGTATAAAAAATTCTGACAAAGAAAGTTAATCACTCAATTTTATGTTTTGTATTCTTTTCCAGCCAAACAGAATGTGGGAAAGAAATTACCTTAAGGGACTCTGGACTTTACCTGTCTATTAGTAGGCCTGTGTCTGAAAACTGAATGATCAGCACGATCATACTTTGAAAGCTGAACAGATCAAGACTAAATTTGATTTGGAGGGAAGAAGTCAGCAAAGTTATATTAAGTTTAAAAAATGAGCCAGACCAGGTAGCAGCCAAATCAGAAAAAAAAAATCCTAAATGCTCTCAGCCCCCCCCCCTCCTGGCCACATGATCTTGAACAATACTATTATGAAGGAGTTAGAAAGAATTCTAAAGCTGTGATCTGCATGCTCTCCTCACCTGATTTGCTTCTCTGGCTAGGTTTTCCTGAACATAAAAAAAAAGAAAAACAAATCAAGTAAAAGGATTTTTTCCATAAATGTAACGTGTTTTGATTAAGAAGTCATTTAACTTCAGAAGGGACCTTAACATCTACTCTCAGCTGAAAATTTAGCAAATGAAAATTGATAAATAAGCCATATTAACTTTCTAATTCAGTTGAATGGATACGCTTGTAACCATCAGCATACCTAATTGTGTAAAATTAGTAAAATTAAGCCAGCACAGAATTGGCTTGCCTTGACTCAATCATTGCTCCAAGTTATTGATTATATTGTATAATTTATTTAAAATAGTTGGTGAATGCTATCCACTTCAGATTTTTCCAAATTTGCTAACACTTTAAGTCTTAGCCTTTAATCTGTTTTTTATTCTTCTTCATATTTAAAATATATTTTAAAAATCATAAAAGTTGCTTCATGATTGACAAATAGGGCAAACCACTATACAAATTCTACTTTTACTATAATTTCAATGATATTAATTCACTGAAGATGCTACATTTATCTAAAATATAGCAAAGTTATTCCATAAAACATGCAGTGCTGAATACAGTATGTTTCATAATATATTTTAATAATGTTTGGTTTAGTAACCATGTTAAAAAGTACTGTTAAAACAACATGTTTTATCAATAAAGGAGAATATTTGTAGCTCAGGGTTGAAATAATGGGGGTCCTTGGTTGTCTCTGAACTTGGTTGTTTTCTTAAGATGTTTCATTACCCAAACTAGATAACATCATCAATGTATTGGTGATATTACCTAGTTTCAGTAATGAAACATCTTCAAGAAAACAACCAAGCTCAGACAGCACCGAAGACCCCTCAAACATGTTTTATTTTTTATTAAAAGTAATAAAATGTATTTACTTCTTAACATTTTCTTTCAGTTATGTAATGAGTTTATTAATTAATTTGTAATTAAAAATCAGATAAGGGTTTATTAAATGGATATTTTATACATATTACTGCTGGATGACATCTTTCATTCTAACATAATAAATTAGGATTTATATTTTAGTGTCTAGTCATATGGAAGAAGATTAATAATCCATTATTTGAACAGCAGTGTATCTTTACTGTAAGTTCAGAAGACATACCTTCTCATTAATTTCTCTTTTAAGTTGCTCCTGAAGAGAAAAAACTTCACTTTTCTTACAAGAAAGTTCATTTTTCTGAGAATAACAAATAAAGTTGGGACAGAACCTATGAAATACTCATCAGTTTTTTTAAAGCAGTAAAGAGTAAATATGTCAGAGAAAAAGAACTATTAAAAAGAAACAAAGTTTAACCAAAACTTTAATTTAACTGTAATTTTCACAGCAAAAATACATGATTTATTGTTGTCTTTTGCCAGGAAGTTTTTAAACTTGCAGTTTTGCTCTGAAATTTTTGAGAGTTCTTTCATCCAAGTAGTAAGCAGTATGGCCATGCAAATTCTTCAGAAAAAAAATGGGAAGTTAAAGCACCTACATCATCTGAAAATAACTTACAAGATATTCTTACCAAAGACTCTATTTCTGATGATAGTTCTTGCAGTTTTGTCTTATGAAACTCTAATTCTGTATCTTTCTCATCCACCGTTTTATCATATTGGTGCTGTACAGAACAGATATTTAGTAGTTAAAAATGGATTACATTCCATACTGATTATGTGCCATCAAATCATCATCAACTCTTAGAAACCTCATAAATTTTCTCCATGGTAACATGTGTTCCTAATGTGAGATATCATTAAGAACTGAACTAAAAATAATACTACATTTGGATATAATTATTAAGGGAGTGGGAAATGGCTGTATATTATTTCAATTAAGTACATTACATCATGAGCAAAAAACAATTTATCTTGACCAGCAACTTTTACTACGGAGATTATACCACTTTTGTTTTTCAGTGAAAAGTACTGTGAACTGAAATCAATCTGCCTCAAGCAGATGTCTCTTTTCAAGAAAAGTAATGTCTATTAATGTGCTGCACATGCATGTAAGACCCTTCTGTGGAGCAAAAGGAATGACAAGGCCATTCTTCTGCTCTATTCATCCTGAACAGTGCTCTTTTCATAAGGCCACTTTTATTAATCACTGATCAAAACATATTGGAAACAAAGGACTTCTTTCTGTAAGTTTTGTAAGTCATAGAATTTTCACTATTCAAATATAAGTCAGCTTGATTAAAAGTTTGATATCAGTTATACAGACTCTTTAGTAACTCAACTTGCTGACCACAAATTTCCTGTTTGTTTCCTCTTTAAGCTCATTTATAGTTTAGTTATTGTGGTTTGAAGGTGACACATTTAACATTTGTTGACGACATGTTTTCATAATGGAAACCACCAGCCTGTTGCATGTTTAAATTGGGCAAAGGTGTTCTTATGCCAGCAGAATACTTTCTTTGTGGACATTCTAGGTTGCAAGGAAAAGGAGCCTTCAGAGGTGAATATTCTGCTGCAATAACCTTACTGCAAATGTACCATCACATTTCTGGATAGTAGCTGTATGCCTTCATAGCTAAAACTGTTTAGGTGGCAGAGGCCACCTTACTGAAACTACATATTCCATCTCATGCCGGGACATGGGAATATCAAATATGTGGAAGACCAACTATCAGGTATCTGTACATAAGCAAAAATAAAGAAGAGCACTTTTGACTCACATTGGCAAATGAAATGAGAGAGCAGCTATACTAATGTCTTAGCATGAGCTGTGTGAATGCATGTATGATTATATTGATGTCGGTGTAGAGAAAAAAGAAAGACAGAGATCTGAAATATTTTCACCTCTCCCTATCTAATAAGAACAAGCCATATAGTTCTACTGGCTATATTACTTGACATTTAACTGCCCTGTAAACATACAATCTCAAGATTTGGAAATAAGACCCATATGTTTAATAGGAATATTTTCAAAGAATATGTGCATAGGAACAGCAGTTTGATAGAAAATGAGGTGGGAGAGATTGTGCCATACTAAAACAATGCTTCAATTTTCCAAATAGGAGGGCATATTTAAATTGTGGAAAATGTTGTAAAATAATACAAGGAGTCCCAGAATTATATATTCCTTTTCAAGATGATGGCTCAGAAAACATTCTAAGGTTCTCTTCCTACGGTCAGAGGAATGATTGAAGTAAGAAAAATGACTTCAAAATGCTTAATCCATTTGAGGTACAATTATTCATTAGTGCTAGTGTTTACTATTCAGATATAATCTTTCCCTCATTTTTCTGCAATAACAGTTTGCTTTATAGTAACTACTCACTGGTCCTTGCTTAAATTTCTTCTTTCCAGAAGCTGATATAAATGGCTTTTTCTAACAGAATTACAGACTCACAACAGGGAATTAAAAGTAAGTGAAAAAGATTTGCCTTAAACTCCCTGCCAGAAAGTAATGAGTGCATGTAATAGAAATGAAAAGTGAAGGAGATCTTAAATTTATAAGCCTCCTACAAGATATTGTTTTGCTTAACTTCTGAGAGAAAAGTCAAAATTCATTCTCCAGATTCAGCTTGCAAAGCCAGGTGTAGGGAGAGGTAGTGTACAAGTAGTCTTCAACTTACGACTAGAACTGACCCCTGAATTATGATTGTTGTGTTGTCTTTAAATGGGTCATCATGTGATCATGCCTAGTTTACAACCTTTTTAGTGCCACAGTCCTTCAGTGAGCATCATGGTTGTTAAGCAAGCTCACTGTACCTAAATAAATCAGAAGTAAATGTGGGTTTCTGGCAAAAAAAAGTCATGAATTGCAGTCACATAACCATGAAATGCTGCTAAAATATAAATGTGGACTGGCTGCCAAGTACCCAAAATGGGAGGGAGGGGCTGCCAGAACCTCAAAACTGTGTCATAAGTAATTGTGGGGAGGTTCATTATAATTTCAAATGATCACTATGTGACTGAGGACTACCTATAATATCCTGAGTCATTTGCCAGTGCTATTGTTCTAGAGAGTAAGGTAGAGAAGTGGGTTGCCTGCATTTCAGAGAGAATAAATCACTCCAACTCCATGAAAAAAAGCAAATGAAATGCAGAAGAAAAAAGACTTCCAGTTTCTTGATTGAAAGATATATACTGAAGTTACAAATGATCTTATTTAAGAAAACGAAAGACAGATAAAACAGACACTAAACAGCAACCAACAATTTATTTAGCAGATCAACAGAAATCAGGATCAGTTAAATTACTGATAAAAAAAAACTGGAATCATACAACTACAAAATTAGAAGGGACCTCAGTGGTTATAATCCAATTCTTTGCAATATTTGAGCATTTTATAATAAATATGAAGAGATTAGTTCTATAATTAATATCTATATTTTATATTAGTGGATATCTAAATAATGATTTGTCTGGCAATATCACTATTTACTTTATTTTTCCATTACATGCAGCAAAAGAACACTTAAAATTTCCAATTTTTGCAGTGTCATCCATCCACATGTACCTTTTATTGAACAAAACTTATTTTAAAGGTCAAAATATTTTGGACACATTGGAAATTCTAAAATCAGGTGACGGATAAACTATTTCTTTCTTATAAAATAACTGTTATGATGGCCACGGGACAAATCACTTATTTATTAGAAAGTGAAATAATTGTTAATGTTAATCTACTAATGTAGATTGGTTCCTACCAATTTCAGGGGCTCAAGGGAATTCTTATAAATACATAGGATGCTAGATATTGGTGATTTTTCTTCAAAATACCAGTTTTGAACTTGAATATTGTTAACATGTTTTTAAACAAATGAGATAGGGAGCCTGGTCCGCACCAGTAAAGGTTTATGGGACCACATGGTATTGGTCGGCATTGTATTAACTATCATTTATATGTAAATAAAAGACTATGTTTACCTTATGTTTTTCCATAAGTGCTACCATTTCAGTAATCTTGTGCTGACATCGAATATCCATTTCTTTCTGCATTGCCATTGCTTCATTTGTTAAAGAATTCATTGTTTCTATCTAGTAACAAGACAAAATATATGACTGAAAGTGATTAAATGAGAGGAAATGATTAAATGAATTTAATTAAGCTAGTATACATTGAATTAGCTATATTTTTAATATAATAATTTTCAGTAGTCATATATTCTGGATGCTCAGACAAAACCAATCAATATAAGGCAACCTTAGCTTCAAACAGGCATTTGGAATTTGAATCTATCCTAATTGTATTTGAAATGGAGTTACTACTATACATCCTTAGGAAGGAAACATAACTGAAATATCATTTATTATTCATTAAATTTTTATTCCCTATAAGGTAACTCTGGCCAGAGTCCCATTATTCCAACCATTGTGCCATTCCCATACATACATTTTTACTCATAAAAAACAGTTCTACAAGAATCTACGAACCAAGCCATTAAGGGCTTTAATAGTCAAAACCAATACTGAAGACACTTGGAGATATGATTTAATATGATAGTGTTTATTTTTCAGCACAAGAGTTGCTGTGTCCTGTACCAGTTGTAACTTATATTGAAATGTTCCCCTATGCAGAGTGCTCTACAAAGGTGATGAGGATATGAGTTACCATTACAAACTCCTGCTCCAGATAGGGCTGCAATGGACACACCAAGCAAAGCTGGAGAAAGATTCTCCTGATCATAGCCTCCACCTGCCCATCCACCAATAGCTGGGAGTCACATCACAAAGCTGCTGCTTCAGGAATGGCTCCCCATTCAGACTTAAAAATGGAACAAAGAACTACATGACTTCCAAACAAGTAACAATTTTGTATTGTTTGAGTTCAACCTCCACTTGTTTTATCTTCTCCAGATACTCACTGCCATCAGGGTACAGCCAATCAATACCTTGACAGCTTTTTAGTTCAACTTATAGATGTACAACTGAGTATCATTAATGTACTGGTGATATATCACCCCAAACTGAGATAATGTACTTATCCAGCAGTCTCATACTGATGTTAAACAACAGAGTTGAAAAAATAGATACTTGGGAGAGCCCATAAGGGACTGCCCAAGGAGTAGGCCACTCTTCCCCAATAACTATCTAATGCAGAAGCTAAATTACTTAAAATATGCCTCCATTCCCAACTTCTAGAGATATATCAGTAGGATACATGGCCAAAGAATCAAATGTCATCAACAAATTAAATATGACCTATAAATAGGTCCTACTCAGGCCCAATAAATGTCATCTATCAGAGCAACCAGTCTGCCTCAATCCCATTTTCGGGCCTGAATCCTAAAAATCCAGATAATTCATTTCCTCTGAACATTTTGTAGCTGAAAGTGTCTCAACAACCTTCTCAACAACCAGCCCTAAAGATGAAAGGCTGTGTACAAAGCAAAATTATCCAATGTAACTGCAAGAAAGGCCTCCATTCCAGATATAATAATGATACTTCTGTTCCATTTTATTAGTTTTTTCACTGATACTGCACTAACTTTTTTTTCCTGCTTTTCAATCTGTATCTTTGGTAAACACAAGGGAAAAATAAAAGGAATATTTATTATTTTCAGTAAGAAGTTTTTGTTCTTATTGTTGTTGAAATCAGATTATACAGATGCCTTTTACTTTCCTACTGAAGCCAGGCATCATTCTCTGGGAAGAAAGGGACACTCAACAATGCAACACAGAAATTCAAAAACATCCCAATGTATAACTACAACCAGTGTGGTGTAGTTGTTAAGGTAGGAATATACAGATTCAGATTTAAATCTATCTTTATCTACAGAAGATCACTTGTTGATTTTGGGCCAATCACTTACTTTCAACCCAATTTATCTCACTAGGTTGGTGATGTAGACAAAATTAGAAGGAAGTGTACTCTATCTTCTGGAGGAAAGGTGGGATATAAATACTTTTTTTCTATTTTTTTTCTCTTCTTGAAAATGGGAATGAGATTGGACAGAGAAGTATCTGCAAGGTTAATTTTGTTATCTTGCAATTGTGATCTGTTTGTAATATTACTCCCTTTTCATTTTATGAACTCATTATTTAATATAGTAATATTTTCTTTTGCCTTACACTAGACCTTATTATATTTTATCAGCAATATAAGCTGAAATTTGTACTGAAATTGTCAGATAGTTACCTTTGTTTCCAAAGAGAAGTCTAAAAGAGATTTATTTTGTCCTCTATCAAACTGTAGGTGTGAGGGGAAAGCATTTATTCTTGCTCTCATTATTAAAACTTTGACACTATACAGTGTTTTGATTAAAGTTTAAGACTACAACATCCTAGTTATGGCCATGAATCTATAGGGATAGAAGAGAGACAAAGATTAAAGCTAAGGTTGTTTGCTGTTGTTGGCTTAAAGTAGCATTCATTGTTTCTTTCTCTGGGATGAGTATCATTACATCCTCTCTCTATATACCATTTTGCATGAGTTTCTAAGAACTATCTCAGCTCCCGTCTTTTCCTAAACTTTTAGAAATTTGTTTCTAAAATTAATTCTAAAGATGAGATATAATGCTTCTTCTCTCATCCCATATCAATCTTCTACATCTTATTTCCTGAGAACATTTTGAAGACAAAGCAACATTAACAAATAGTGAACACAAACACAAACCATACAATGAAACACAAACCATACAATAAAATGCTGTATACAAGTATGGCAATGTAAATTGTGCAGTTCTATAAAATACCAAAAACATCAATTCTCACCTCCTTGAGAAGTCTTTTTTCATTTGCCTTAGCCATCTCAATTTCATTTTTATAGTTGTCACTTGTTTCTTTGTGTAACCTATTTATGTTTTCTAACTCTAATTGGAAATTATTCACCTTTGAACAACAAAAACGAAAACAGGTTTATTCCTATTCATAATAACCAAGGGATAGGTATCATTTACTTCCTATCAACTTTTCATACATTTCTATAATATGAATTCTGCTTCTGCATTTTCCTTGCAGCAAACTACAGAAGTGGTACATTCCTAATTGTTTAAGTTTTCTAGATTTTTGCAACCCAAACATGGTAATCTTAACCATTTCCAAATGGGATCCCAATAGTTAAGGAACTGAGATGGACATGAATTAATGGATTAATTAATTAATTATTTTTAAACTTTGTATCCCTGAGAAGGCCATAGTAGTAAAAAAGTAATTTATAATTTTTTTTGTTAAATGTCATCATGTATCATACCTTACAGATCTAATTCCTTAAATTTGTATTATTCTTACAATTTTTTTACTGATGCAAAAAATAAACATGCCTACCTTTCCTTCACTAATATTCAGTTGCTTGCTTTCTGTTCCAAGTTTTTTTTTCAAGCTTTTATTCTAGTAACAATTATTAATGAAAACGTTATTTATACATTTAATTATACACCAATATTTATATAATTATAGCTATAATAAACACCTCCTTAATCCTTAACTGAAATATGTATTTTCAAGTCTGCCCAATATCATGTGAGCCATGAAAAGGTGCAGTTTTTTTAAGAAGCAATCAGCAACCATAGGGAGGTGTTCCTGCTGTATCCTTGCTGTCTTCAGATCCTATTTTTCATTTGTTTATAGAAATCTTTTGGTTAATAATATGGAATCCAGATTAAATCTAGATCAAACATGTTGTCATTGCACTGTAGTAACATAATCATTATATATATGGCCTGAAATATCATTTTTCCCTAGAAGTGGAATAGTTGAAAATGCAAAGGGGAAAAAAGCATTCTTGCATGCATATATAGCACACATATTTTACAGATATTTAATACAAGTATCTACTTCTATTTTGTCTCTAAAAGGGGAAGGGACCTTTTTAGTTACCAGTTCCATACAAAGCCAGTTCCATACAAAGCCAGAATTTATTCAGAGTAAAGTTTAAGCTACTCGTGTGAACTGAGATAACATTTTGAATTACCATATTCCATTGACAATTTAGTAATTTTTCTACTTTTTATTTTTAAAATGTACATCCAGTTAAATTATAATATTTAGTCTACAAACTATTTGTATTTTGATTTGATAGAAACATTTACAGTCTTCAACTTTAATAGGGCAAATTTGAATGAAAAATTTAATAGATACTGTATATGCTACGTTTTATACATGAATTATGTTTATCAGTTCTTACTTCTTGCTGTAGTACTTCAATATTCTTGATTTTCATTTCAATCTGCTTCTTTAAAGTATTAACCTAAAAGTATTTAACACATATTTCAAATAGTAATAATATATCACATAATTATTCTAGATGTAATCCTTTTGTTTGGATAACTGATCTGAAATATTTCTTCTGATTATGGCTTATTCAAAACTTGCTATGATTGCAGCTCTGAAAATTGTTTTATCTTCAATATAAAAACCAAACCATTTGTTGAGATTAAATGCAATTTAAGCATGTGCCCAAATACTTATCTGAAACAAAGGAAGATATATGAGTTGTACACTGAATGCATACGCATTTATTACTTTTGATTACAAGTATTAAATGTATAGAAAAACAAAAGTTGCAATAAACATTCTCAGTGATTAATTAATAATACATTTCTGTTTGATTCAAAGATTGTTTCTGAATCCTGAAAAAAGTAAAAAAAAATGGATTAATATCAAAGTTCCTATAAAGCCTGATAGGTAGATTTTTACATTTTCATACCTTGTTTTCTAACGTTTTCAGTTGTTTTTCCTTTTTTGAAATTTCATTTTCAATATTTCTAACCTAGAAAGATATTATAAATGTTGACAAATATATTATAAAATTAACTACTATTTTCATTAAATTCTATTTTTAAACTATGAGAACCTTTTTTTAACAGATGTGGAGGTATATATATTTTTTTCTAATGGCATTTGAAGGAATAATACATTAATTGTTGGATAAACATTTGCTGCCCATTTGATTCATGAAACTTTAAGTAATAATATTTTTGGTAGTCTCTAAACTATGATGCTTTTTTAAAGTAAATTGTGATCAGAGTGCCACACTTATAATAGACTCTTCTTAATTAAATAAATATAAATATATAACAAATTCAAAATATGTTAATTTTCCATGTTGTTTCCCAGAAACTGCACTAAATATAACTGAACATAGAACCAGTGATTTGGGTTTTTGTTGTACTGATCATTCTTACACCAATTATACAGTCTTGACCCCATCTCTACATGTTTTTCCACACATACTTTTTAATATCCCAGTCCCACTACACCAGATTATTTTTATAATAATGAGGGTCTGGATGGGGGTTAACAGACTCAGGCTCAATCCTGACAAGACCGAGTGGCTTTGGATGTTGCCTCCCAAGGATCATGCCGACTGTCCAGTGTTGACTCTTGCGGGGGAAAATATACCCCCTTCAGAGCGGGTTCGCAACTTGGGTGTCCTCCTTGATCCACAGCTGAATTTGGAACATCATTTGACAGCTGTGGCTGGGAGGACCTTTGCACAAGTTCGTCTGTTGCACCAGTTGCAACCCTACCTGGACCGGGAGGCTCTCCTTACAGTCACTCATGCCCTTGTCACCTCACGTCTGGACTACTGCGCTCTACATGGGGCTACCCTTGAAAAGTATTCGGAGACTACAGTTGGTCCAGAATGCAGCCGCGCAAGTGATAGTGGGTGCTCCTCAATACACTCACGTAACACTTATCCTCTGTGAGCTGCACTGGTTGCCTATTGGTCTCCGGGTCCAATTCAAGGTGTTGGTTATTACCTTTAAAGCCCTATATGGCTCAGGGCCAGGCTATTTGCGAGACCGCCTACTACCTGATAGTTCCCTTCGTCCGGTTAGATCCCACAGGCTGGGCCTCCTTCAGGTCCTGTCGGCCAAGCAGTGCCATTTGGTGGGGCCGCGGAGGAGGGATTTCTCTGTGATGGCACCCACGTCTTGGAACCAGCTCCCCATGGAGATTAGGATCGCTCCTACCCTGTTGGTTTTCCGTAAGCTGCTTAAGACCTGGCTTTTCCAGCAGGCCTGGGGTTTATAAAATCTGACCCCTGGATGACTGTTCTTGTACTGTTTGTTTTGTTATGTTTAATGGTGTTTTTATTGTTAGCCGCCCAGAGTCCTCCGGGAGTGGGGCGGCTTATAAATTTTAAAAATAAATAAATAAATAAATAATTTTCATGATATATTCCTAATTCACATCAATATAATAAAGGGAATTGAAACTTGCCTTTCTGCACAGCAATCTTCATATCTTTACATAAGCATTCATTCTTTTCAAAGAATCACATACTACATACTATGTTTATCATAATTTGCATATATTAACATTTCTATGTTAAATTGTGATATCATACATTTTCTTCATTTTCATCAACTTTCTTTTTTGCTTCTTCATCCTTTTGTTTTAGTTTCTCCTTTACTTCCTCTAATTCATTGCTATGTAACAAAAAATAAATGCAATTACTTCCATGCATCTATAAAATATTTACAATGAAAACATTGCTAAATTCGTGTAGAAATGGAAATATTCATACTTATCTAATATTAGATTATGATATATTGTGTAATCATGCTTGCACAGATCTATATAGGATAATTTTCCTTTTGTTATCTGCCTCCTTATCTATTGCATTTTTGAAGTGAACAATCACTATTAGAGATGCCAGTAAAGACGCACTGCTATATCCAAATTGTGAAGATCTACCCTAATGAAAATTAGAGTTATAAGGAGCAACATCCATCAGGAATATTTACTCCCAAATAAGCTGTAACAGAGAAAGAACCTTCTGATTTAAGTGGTTAATCAAATAAAATACAATCTTCAGGAAAGTAACATTTAGTTCAATAGTTCAAATAAAGTGCTAGAAAAGCTTTTGGCAAGGGAATGATAAAGCATCCCGTATTCCTTTTGTCTGATATCTGGCAATATGTTAGTAAAACTAGGGCAGCAGCTCCCAACCTTTTCTATACCCCACACCCCTAGAACGCTTCTGATATATTCTTGCACCCCTTACAAAAGTTCGAAATAACAAATTATGCATATACACTATAATTTTGAAACTTCTAAACCCACATTTTCACACTCCCTGGAATATCGTTTCGCATCCCAGGGGGTGCGAGTACCCCCAGTTGGGAACCCCTGAACTAGAGTTAGAAAGGACCATAACAAATATAATGGGTTAGGGTTCCAGGCTTCCAAGTTTCCAGGAATTCTCTGGCATTTTTGGATTTTGATTTGTCTAGGAAGGTCACAGTTCTCTAGTTGAAACTATGGTTAAATGTGTCCATGTGTTGTGAATTTAAAGAGTTTTCATCATGTTTTCCGACTCCTAGTTGGTGTTCATGAAAATTCCTTAATTTCACAATACATGGACAGACTTAATCATAGTTTAAACACAGCTTCAACTGGGAAACTGTGACCATTCTAAACCAAGCCAAAACCAGAAATTGCTGAAAGCCTGACAGACAAATCAGCCATCAACAAGACAAAGTCATAAACAACATCTACATATCATTCAAAAGAGACAATGAACAAGCCAAAAAAGGGAACAAAAGACCAAAAAGCCTCCTCATCAGAAATCAAAACCCAAATGAGCAGATATTAACAACAAGAGTAATTTTAGACTAACAATCATGAAGCAAACAATACCATGATCGAGATACTGCCAAATAAGCTAACAGTAAACAATCCATCCAACACACCACCAAGACCCCTCCCACCAACACAGACGGGGCAAGCCACTAGAATAGAAAATGAAAGTAAATCCCACTCCTACTAGCATGGAAGGTGTTACCTAGTTTGGATAATGAAACATCTGTAAGAAAACAATGAAGCTCAGTGAGCATCAATAACCCTTCACTTACTTCTCTGCTAACTTCCCCGTTAACTTTGCTTGTTGGAAGCTGGTAGAGGTTACAAATGTAATCACATGACCATGAGTCACCAAGTGTCTGGATCATGAGAGTGATCGCAGAGATGGTCAGAATTTTGAGGACGGATTATAAGTACTACTCCTTCAGCACTATCATAATTTTGAGTGTTTGCTGAACAAGTGATTGTTAATCAAAGTCTATCAGTGTAGCCAAATAATGCACACAATATACAGTACAAATATGAATTGGGAGTAGTGGTAATACAACTTTTTGTTTCTCTAAAATACGTGGCAACTTAGAATAGGGCAATGATTCTTCAATCTATATCAACAGAATTCAGCTATTTCTCACAATAGCTTTCTCACAATTAAACATGAGCCAATCAATTAAACATCATCAGTTAAACATGAGTCAGCAGTGTGTGGCAGCAGCCCAAAAAGCTAATACAATCTTTTGTTGTATAAATAAAGGCATAGAATCAAAATCACATGAAGTATTAGTACCATTTTATAAATCCTTAGTAATACCACACTTCGAATACTGCAACCAGTTTTGGTCACCACATTACAAAAAAAATGTTGAGAATTTGAAAAAAATGCAAAGAGCAACTAAGATGATTAAGGGCCTATGAAAAACAGTTGCAGGAATTGGGTATGGCCAGTCTAGAAATAGAAGGACTAGGGGTGACATGATAGCAGTATTCCAATATTTGAGGGGCTGCCACAAAGAAGAGGTGGTCAACTTATTTTCCAAAGCACCAAAGGCAAGACAAGAAACATTGGATGGAAACTAATCAAGGAGAGAAGCAACCTGGAATTAAGGAGAAACTTCCTAACAGTGAGGACAATTAACTAGTGGAAAGCTTGCCTTCAGAAGTCGTGGGTGCTTCATCACTGAAGTTTTTAAAGAAAAGACTGGACAGTCATTTGTCTGAAATGGTATGGAGTCTCCTGCTTGAGCAGGAGGTTCCTTCCAGCTCTATTCCGATTAATTAACCATTTATGCAAGATAGATTCAAAGAAGCAATTGTAAACCCTCTGCCACCCTTTCTCTTTTTACCCTTGTCACAGGTAAGAGGGAGAACCAGTTATTAATCACTCTCCTGAAGAAGTGGCAGGATGGGTTGAGAGTTTAAGGATTAATGTTTTTATTACTTATTTGCTCTTAATTTTTATTATGTACTCCATCCTTGTACCACATTCAACAGAAGTATGCCTCCCACAAGAGTCCAAATTATTAAAGGTTGGAATTGGAATTTCTCATAGGACTATAAACCTTTAGGGAGATCAGTCCTATTAGAGAAATAGAAGACAGATATAGAAGACAAGCCTCCTTCACAACAAAATTTGCCTAAGTGATTGGAAGAGCTGTTTTGAAATACAAAGTAAGGAATCTGAACCATAGAGCTATCAAAGCTCTTCTGTTTCTAGATCTTCCTTTCTTTTCTTCCTTTTTAAATTAATCTCCTTCATAACTTGTTTTGAACAGGCAAATTGACTCTTCTCTACCAACTTCACTAGGCCACATTTGTGTGTATATATTATGCACTTTCAATACAAAAAAACCTGAACAATCAGGAATATGGTGTTTCTTTATTAATCTATGTTTAGGAGTGTGTCATCTATGTGTTTCACTTTGAGAGCGGGGAACTAAATTTCATTTTTGATGTGTGCCGTTGTGCCCACAGGAAAAAAAATGACAATAAAAGTTATCTTATCTTATCTTATCTTATCTATGTAAGAAATACATACATATCTGAATAATGGCCATCTTTAGATTGGGAACCAGTTTCCCAGTTTAATACTCAACCAACCTATATAAAATTGATATGTCACTCCAATATATAACATAAGACTGTAACATCTATCCTGTTTTGCATTGGACAATAAAAGGTGTTTTACTTCTAAAGCTATACATATACATACATATACACACATATACACAAAGAGACACACACACGCGCACATATACATACATACATACATACATACATACATTTACTTTAGCAAAAGGCATTAGTATGTACTGTAAGAATAGAAGTATGAAATTAGAATCTATTCTCAAAAAGAACAACATTATATAGTAACTTGAAACTTAACTTTTACTGAACGTACCACAGTAAACATTCTTATTCTGGCTTACCTTAATAGGAGGTTTGTTTGTTTTAAAATGTTAATTTGATTTTTGGCTTCTTCATCTGTATTTTTAACATTCTGAACAAAAAGACAAGCAACTAAATGTAGAAAATGCAAAACTGTTATAAATTAAGTATATATATACTATAACTATTGAGTGGTCACTTATAGAAGTTTCATGATCCAGGTTAAAGCATCAGACTAGAACTTGGGAGACCATGAGTTCTACTCCTTGGGCACAAAAATCAGGTGGGTAACCTTGAGCCAATTATTTTCTCTCAGCCCTAGGAAGAAAGCAATGACAAACCACTTTAAATTATTTTTCTTGCCAAGAAAATTGTACAGACTCATCAAAGCAGTCTCTAAAAATTGATTGAATGGAAGAAAAAAAATAGAAAGTTCACCCAGAGCACCTCCCAGTCTTTTTTTTTTTTATAAAAACAGTTATTTAAGTTCCATTCTTATCCATATTTAGGAAATAGTGAAGGCACAGTAAGATGCATTGGAAGCACACAATTATAATTTAGTTCTGAAATTAAAAGCAATTACTGATACAAAAACAATCTATAGGTAGACGGTTTAGTTAAAAAAGTATAGTCAGGAACTTGCCTTAATATTATCTTTACATTGTTGAAGTTCATCGTCCACCATCTTTTTCTCTGTTATAATTTGTTCTTTCTCAAGTAAAAGTTTGTTCCACTCCATATTTAACTCTTTATTCTTTAGGCTGTTAAAATAATAATACTAGAAACAATTATTTATATTTTCATTTTTTTTGTAAAACTACTCTGAAATAACATTATGGGACAAGATGTACCAAGTAGACCTAACATTATATAAGACCAGCTAAGGAACTCTGATCCCAATAGCAATTTAATGGCACTTAGCATAAAAACCACTACAAATACTTTTCTATAAATTGATAAGTTTCATACTAAGACCACATCTATGTGTACTTCTGAAAGAAATTATTCATCAAACAATGCCATTTTAAAATTGTATGAGTAATAATAGCAAATTTTATTATGGTCACTGACCAATTTAGAAACAAAAAGCAGGCGCATTCTGAGATTGCAACTAAAAACCACTGTAAAACTGATATTGTTGAAGTATGGCATGCTTTACAAATCGCAAAAAACAAAACTGACCTTAGACATGTTCAGTGAAATAAAATCACAATGATCAAGCAGTAGCAATTCTAAATAGAATTAATCTGGCTGACCTCAAAATATAACTAGAGAATAAGCTATCAGCTGCAACCAAACACATTTATAATAAGAGCAATATAAAAAAATGTAGATTAATATTTCAGGAACTCCTTCACTATAGAACCTACAGTATCTTTCTTTAGATAGGAATCCCACAATTTCCCTTCAACAACAGCTTTGGAAGGGCATAAATCTTATCAGGGTTTAGGGCTCTTCTGAAATTTTAAAACCTTTAAGACTGATTCTACAAAAACAAATTAAATAAATATCTATCTTTCTGAGATTGGAAAATCTGGACCTTTATAAAAGGGCACTGGATTTTGGTTTTCGCAAAGTACTATATCATGTAAATATATTATGGAACTCAAAGGGCAATTATTTAAAATCCATCCCAGTATTAATCGTATCAGCATTTTTGAAAAGGCATCTGAGAAAAATGGAAATGCTAGTAATTGTGTGCATTACATTCTTGCATGTTTTCTCATCATTTGAGATATATTATTTTAGTTCAGCATTATGAAAATGTTAGTAATGAAATGCTAAAAAGTTGTAAAAAAAACAAATTCAGTAACTGTTTTCAAAATACAAATTTACTTACATCCAGAAACCACAGCACTATTGGAATTTTAAAAAGTAGTAATAATTTTTATATTCTGGCTTTACTCTTAGTAAATTATTTAACTACCTTCCAAATAATAGCCATGTACAATTATTTTAATAAAAACAATCTTGTAAAATATTATGGGTAGATTCTCCTTCATGTAACAAAATAATATATATTATTTAAGATATTCATATCCTGCATATTGAAAGCATGATCGCCCAGCAGTTAAACAATTAAAGCTGACAATCCAGGTTTGAAACCTAAGCACTGCACGATGGGGTGAGCTCCGGTTATTTGCCCCAGCTCCTGTCCATCCAACAGTTTGAAAACGTGCAAATACGAGTAGATAACTAGGTACCAATTTGGTCAGCATTCCGTGAGCCTTGGCATATAGTCATTGCATTTCCATTTTGTTATGATGGCCACATGATCATGGAAATGTCTTCAGACAATGCTGGCTCCCTTAGCTAAGAAACAGAGATGAGCCTCGCCTCCTGACTATACAAGAGAAATCTCTACACATTATGTTAGTTTATGTTATTGTAATAATAATAGGGGAAACCTTTACCTTATCTTATATCTGGCATGTCCTTTATATATTTTAATGTAAACCAATCATAAAAGTCTTTCATAACTAATAGCATGTTAACCATATATTAATATAACTACGTACATTTCTTTTTCAAGCTCTGCTTTCAGTGTTGCAAGCTGTTGAAAGCAATTTTGTTTATTTTCGAATTCATCGGACAATTGCATTTCCAAATGATGTATTTCTTTCTGCAGGAAACAATGGGTGAATGTACTTTTACAACATACCATTTACAATAACATCATTAGCATACTAAACAATATAACTTTGGAATTTTCTGGTTTAAAAAAGCCCATTGAATAAAACATGTTTGCCTTTATGACCACATGGTTCACTAAAGAACTGATTCACTTAGCAACTGCAGTGACTTGCTTAACAATCATAATAAAACCTGACTAAAATCAAGTCTGATCAGAACCACTGACTTATAGCTAAAATTCCAGTCCCAAATGTGGTCGTTATGTGTTCTAACTGTTCATATTACAAACATAAATGAAATAAGTCTTTAAATTGCCATAAATAGCCACATACAGACACTCCTCACTTAACAACCACAATGCCCCGGCTAGGTGACATACTCAATAAGCAAGACATCATGTCACTGCTAATGACTTCATTCTACTTGCAGTTGTTAAGTGAGATATCATGTTATTGTGATTTGTGGTTTTAATTCTGCCTTTTCCATTTGCTCTGCTTGTTGGAGGCTGATAGTGAAGTGCACAAATTGCAATCATGTGACTGGGGACACTGTAATGATCTTAAATACCTGTCAATTATGAAGTACCCAAATCTTGATCTTGTGACCATGGGAATGCTGCAATGGTTGTAGGTGTGAGAACTGGTCATAAAATTATCTTTTCATCACTGCTATAACCTCAGATGGTTACTAAGGGCTGTCAGAAAGCAAGGACTGCCTGAACACAAGTACTTTATATTTCCTAATAACAATTAACTGCAATTAATTTAGCTATTAAAGCTCTGGAGATGATATGTGTGTCACTAGCTGCTTCCAGATAGATAGTTCCTATATGGAATTGTGCAGTAATTTTTTTCTTTCTGATATATTATTATGAACAGTAATTGGTCATATATGGAAGAACTGTACATTAAAAATTCTGCATACCTTGCCACCTCTAAAACTCTGACAATGACATAAAAGTAATAAAGAAATACCCACTGAGTATATGCAGATAGTCATAAAGAGAGAAATATGCAGCTTCAATTTGAGGCTTACTGCTATTCAAGAGGTTGATGAAGGGTCCAGCATACAATTATTTTAAAGAGGAAGATATTTCAAGATACATTTTTGTAATAATTATATGTAAATATCAAAATCTATCAGAACTTACAATACCTCTCTTGTCTGAAGAGTGTTCTTTAACTCTCTTTCTCTTTCTTGTAATTTCTCAATGGTCTTCTCAAGAATTTGTTTTCCATGTAAAAATTCTTGGACCTGTTCCTATTCAAAAATTAAAGTAAATTAAAAATTGGCACAAAGTGAACAAAGTGATATTTTACTACTGTGACAACCATTCTATTTGTTTATACTGTTTATCTTCTCTTCAGTCTGTTGTTCTTCTTGATCCTCAGTTTTCTTCTGATTTATGTAAAAAATATTTTCCCTTTTCCATATTGTCAGTCCCTTTTCTGGGTTTTCCATTGATTGTATTTGTTGATCAGTTGAATACTCTGTCACAGAATTTAATTGGTCCACTTTTTCTGTCATATTCTGTGTAATTGGTTTTTTAGTTGTAATCAAAATTTGAGTTTGTGTATCTGACATCCCATTCTTTTATGCACCTCTTATTTCATCAGTAGCTTTAGGAATAGTTTGGTGAATTGCTTTCAGCATAAAGAGAATCTGTTCCTGATCTTCCTCCATATTCTCTTAGTAATGTAATAAGTTAAAAGCTTCGCACTCAGAGAATGTAAAAAAAAAGTTTTTCAGTAAATATAGAACACAGCTGGACTTCACAGCTCTATATCTCAAGGTTATAAGTCTTATCTATTTGTCTAGGCCAGGGCTTTTCAACCAGTGGTACGCGTATCACTTGTGGTACTTTGCCACATGGCAAGTGGTACATGATTGCTAGCCAGGTGTAGCAGGGGAGCGGAATGAGCCCAAGTGAGCCAAGCCTGAGGGAGAGGCAGCTGCAGCTGCAGGACTGTCTGGGCTTGGCAGAAACCCCAGGAGCCAGCAGGGCTCCAGCTGATTGACTCCAGCTGATTGGCACTTCCAGAAGCAGCTCAGAGCTGGAGGTGAACTGAAGAAAAAGGGGGGGAGAGGAGAGGCTATAAAAGAATGTGGTTTGGGTGGGGGAAGGGGAAAAAAGACAACAGGAAAGATTTAATCTCTTTAAACGAATGTAATTAGTTTTACCCTCTTTAATTGAGTCTGTCTGTGGCTTTTAGAAAGTTTTCTTTGAAGGTAAACTGCCTTAATTTAGAGCTAAAGCTTTTCACAATTGCCGGAGCCTTTCAGTCTAGAATTGCAACATTGTGACCCGTGACACACCTGAGGCAGCTTAAAGAGAAAAAAAATGGAGTTTGTTTCTTTATTTTCTTGCTTTGCACTTGATTCCTGTGTCTTTAAGGGTACAGGGAAGGGATTGGGGGGGTGCATTCTTACTACACTGTGGAAGAAGGGCCAACCAGCTAGCTCAGGAGTTTACCAACTTAGCAACTTTAAGACCTGTGGATTCAACTCCCAGAATTCCTCAACCAGTCACGAGGGCCGAGGAATTCTGGGAGTTGAAGTCCACATCTTAAAAGTGCCAAGTTTGAAGACCCCTGAACTAGCTAGTAGTGGTGCATACTAATAAACATGGATAAATTCATCATACATTTGTCAGTGCAAAGGGAAAGTGATTCAGCAAAGGAACAGCCACTGAAGAAATTAAAACTGGTACTTTTTTACTTTTTTCTACAGTTAGTAATATTTTATTAGATTATAGAATAAAATACAAAAATACAAAAGCAAATAGTAGGACATAGTGGGGAGGGGAAATGGGGAAAAGTGAGGAGGAGCAGGGAAAAAGAACATACTTCCGCTGTTGCAGTAGAAGGAAGCATTAACATTGAACCTCAACTTTTTACTTTTCCATATTATAAACTAGCCATTTCTATAACAAATGAATCTAATCAGTAACCACCCCTTTTTTAATCATCAAGTTTTTGACACCTTGCTAAGCACTGGTGGTACTCAAATATTGTCATGTCCTAAAAGTGGTACAATCTGTGAAAAGGTAGAAAAGCCCTGGTCTAGGCTGCCAGCCAAGTCTCTTTTGAGCAATAACAGGTTGTAATATCAGGTGTGAACTTAAATGGACTCCAGAAGATGGTAGAGGACAGGAAGACCTGGAGGAACGTTGTCCATGGGGTCGTGATGGGTCGGACACGATTTTGCAATTAACAACAATAACAACAACAATATCAGGTTTAGCCACAGGATGTGGCCCCTATATTTAAAATTTTCCTTTAGGTTGGAGATTTTTATAATCTTTTCAGTTTTACTTCTTCTTTATGAGTAAAAACCCAGATCTTCAGTAAAAGTAGAAAGTCTTTTAGTCCACAAACTTTAAGAAGTAAAATTCCAATTAGGGTCAAGTTATTCTTGCAATGTTTTAAACTCCCCTGGATAGTCAATCACTGCTGTTCTTAGAGGGAGGGGTAAAATCTCCCTTCCCTCTCCACAGGGGGGAAAGTACTTAAGCAGCTTATGCAGGAAAAAAGATAATTAGGATTTAAGAGAGGTAGATCTCATACAATCTCTTCCACGCTGCTTTAAAGTTGCCTGATGGTAAGTGTGACTTCGGCTGTCTGCAACCTAGTGACGAGCCATATTTCTATGGCCGGTCTTTCGTCCACCGGTTTGGAGGGCTGCCCCAGATCAAACAGAAGGGCTACCGCCCTTCCGGGGTCAAGCAGGAATCCCCTCCTTGCTGGTCGCCCCTACAGGACAACTTTTGACCCTTTCCAGGGTCCCCCAGTGATGCGAAACTGGATGTAGAAGACAGAGCTTGCCTTCCAGATGTCCATGGCGGCCGCCTCAGCAAACGGGAAGTCCCCCTTCAATATGATGCTAGTCAAAGTTTATGCTCCGATTATTGATGCAGAAAAGGGTGATAAATTTATGGTCAAATTGAAATTCAAAAAATGTGCAAGCATGTTTGTAATGGAGACTGGAATGTTCAAGTTGGAAATATTGAGGAAAATATAATTGGAATGTATGGTCTAAGGAACTGAAATAAAGCAGGAGAGCAATTTATTATTTTCTACCAATCCAATAATCTTGAAATCACCAAAATAACCCATATATGCCTGCATTTGCTTCTTAGCGCACCCTTCATTACCCAGATCCAGCAAGGCCTTCTGTTGTACGGACTAATATAGTCTTGGCAGGGTACAGCTGTGGACAGACCCTCCTATAGCTTACTCCACTGTATTGTTTTCAAAAACTGAACACGACAGAAAAAAACTATACCACTTGGGACAAGGAACTACCAGCAATTAAAGTTGCCTTTGAAGCATGCAAACATCTGCTAAAAAGGGTCAAACACCCAGTGAGTCTGTATTCATCATTAGAACCTTGAACATTTTCAGATTGCTAAAAAACTGAATCAAAGACAAATCTGGTGGTCTTCGTTCTTTTCTTGCTTTAACTTAAGCCGTCTCCAGGAAACCAGAATATGAATGCTCTGAGACTATCTCCCAAACTGCCACTTTCATATTTCCAGAAAATGTAGATGCTACCAGTGTCCCGATAAATCTACTGAAAGAACTAAAGGAACGGCAATATCTAGACTACTGTGCACAGGTTCATCAGGGGGAAATTGAAGACACGCCCACTAAATGCCCACCACATTGGACATTGCACCACGACCTCTTACTCTATCAAGTCTGGTATTACATCCCCACTTAGTCTTTGCTGGATATGGTCCTGAGAGATGTACCATGATAGCCCACTGGTGGAACATTCTGCATTTGATGAGTTGAGATTTTTGGTGATCGTATCTTCATAAGTAGGTGGAGCAATAAAAAAGAATCTGGCAAGCCATGCCCCTTAATTTCATCACTGAGCTACCTCTGTCAAAAAAAGCAACCACCATATTAGTGAGAACGGAAACTCTCACCAAGATGTTTTATTTCATTCATTGTACCACAGCAAAGGGGATGGCAAGCCTCTTCCTACATATTTTCTACCTACATAGATTGCCTGAGCATCTAATTTCATATCAGGACCCTTTAATATCAGCTCTTAATAGTTTGTGTGCTTTTTAAAAACAAAAACAAAATAGGTTTTAAGACATAATCCTCAATAGATGAAAGACATAATGATGTCAACTAGTGGAATGGAAAAATATTAGAAATCCCTTACTAAGACTGGTTCCAATTCTTCAATTTGTTTTTCTTTATCATTTTTCAGTTTGGTCATCATTTCTGCAATTAATTCAAACATAAAAAATATAAGGTAATATTTTCAATTATGAAATTACATATACTTATTTTTTAAATTTTTATTCATTCTTAGATAGATGTAGAACTATTTCTTTCTTTTCGATCAAGGACCATATTCAGATAAGTATAATGTGCTCAGGATCTCGCATAAACCTGGGTATATCCAAGACAAAATGTGAGCAGGACCAAAACAAAAGAGGCTGAATGGATGGCAATAACAGAAATCTGAATAGTCAGATATTTCCAAGAAACCCAGAAGGCTGAGCTTTCAAAAATCCTTAACCCAATGGTACATTCTCCTACATATTTTTCATATTTCTTTAAAATTTGAAAAAATTCATAGTTGAGTGCATTAACATGCTCAGAAAGCCACAAAAAAAGGCTAAAAAGTAAAAATCAATGGAGAAGCTGGCAGGGAAGGTTGCAGGTTGCTAGGATAAATCTCCCTACCCGTGCAGCCTCCCCTAGCCCCTCTGTGCCACTTCCACACCCTCCCCAAGCCTCTTGAGCAATCCTTTATACTATGCCACTTGTGCACCCCCTTGCACATTTATGCACTTTCCATAACCCATGCCACACCTCTCATGCAATTCCTTACACTCTTCCCAACTCTTCCTCACACCCTCTCATATCATCCTTGCAACTCCATGATCCCTCTTCCACTCAACAGCAGCCACTCACCTGCCTGCCTACCTGCCTGAGACTTGCAACTTCCTGCCAGTTTTCCCACTGATTTGATTGTGGGAAGTTGGCAGGAAATTGCCAACGACTGTGAGATTTGGTTAATAACAACCGAGATTGCAGAGATCGCTGCTACTAAGCAAAGTCATATCACTTTACAACAGCATCATTAGTAACAGAAAGTCTGTTCCTAACTGCCATTGTCACTTGAAGTCTACCTGTGTGCCTCTCCCTTATTTCATCTGCCTGTCCTACCAGATGCAGCAGAGGGGGCATGATAAAGAGTCTGTTCCATAGGTAGCTACACTTGGCAGGCCTAGGAAGTGGGCCTTTTCTGTTGTAGTGCCTCTCACTGGTGGAATCTTCTCCACCCTGAGATGAGTTTGGCCTTGCCATTGTTGAACTTCCGGAGGTTTCCCAAGACCTGGTTTTGCCAGCAGGTCTGGGGAGTCCAAGAAATGGGTGAACTAGTGAAATAGCTCCACTATTTTTAAACTTTTCTTCGTCTATTATTTTTTTATTTAGTTTTTATATACTTTTAAAAGTATTTTAATATATTTATTCATTGTTTTTAGCTCTGTTATATGCCTCCCAGAGTTGTTTGTTTGTGAGATGGGTGGCTATATAAATTGATTTAATGAATAATAAATGCACTGTGACCATGATAGAAGATGAACAATAAAATTTATATATACAAAATTAACACTATCACAATTTCAAGTAGTTCTAAAGAACAGTGTCTCTGTGTTCAGTTCTTCAACATACCTAGTTCAGATGATTTATTTTGGAGTTCCAAAACTAATGCATCTGAGGCATCTCTCAATTCCTTTTTCCTATTAAAATAATTTAAAATGTTCAATGAATTGTTTAAGAAAAAAGAATTATGTGAATAACTTGAGCATGCATTATTACATAACCACTAAAAACCACTGAATTGCAGAAATAAATAAATAAATATGGCTATAAAGCTGAGATACAGCAGACTGGTTAAGTGACCATTCTAATTCTGTATTTAGTAAACTGTTTTTCCTATAACAATCTAAAGTGCAGGTAGTTCTTGAGTTAAGACAGCTCACTTAATGACAGTTCAAAGGTACAACAGAACTTACAACCCAGTCCTGAAGTTACAAATGTTGCAGTATTCCTGCAGTTATTTGAGTTTATGACTGACTGTAGACTCTGCAGCATGCCCTTCCCGCCTATTTCTCCCCCATCCTGTCCCGCTGAGTCCCCTCCACTTGTCACTGATCACTCACTTACTTTTTTTTTTTTATTAAAAAGTTTTATAAATTTTACAAAGAAAAACATAACAATACAATAACAAAAAACCACATATACAAAAAGAAAAAAAAACTAAACATTACACAACAAAACCCCCCTCCCCCCACCCCCACCCAAACACCCCCCCTTCCCCCCCCTGAGCTTCCCAAAGCAGGATATAGGCTTAATTAAAAAAACAGTTAAGAAATTATATTTATAGAAAAAAAGAAAGAAAAAGAAAAAAAATATAGCATTAACATATATATATATATATAAAAATAAAAATTATGAAAAAGCTATATGATATTTTTTTATATCCAATTTAAATTGTATAAATTTTATCCATTTATCCCAAACAGCAAGAAATTTCTCTTGCATTTGTTCCTTTAAAAAAGCCGAAATCTTTGCCATTTCCGCCAAATAAGACACTTTAAGAAACCATTCCTGCAATGTAGGCAAAGATTCCTTCTTCCAATATTGTCCTACTAACAGCCTCGCGGCTGTAATCAAATTTAACATCAATATAACCTCCTTTGTATCACAGTCAGTAACTATACCCAACAAAAATAATTGCGGAGTAAATTTTACCCTCCTTCTAAAAATTCTCTGGATATTCCACCATATCTTAATCCAAAATGCTTTTATCTCTCTACACGACCACCAAATATGATAATAGGTAGCATCCGTACAACCACATCTCCAACATTTAGGTTGTAAGTCAGGGTACATAAGAGACATTTTTTGTGGATCAAGGTGCCATCTATAAAACATTTTATAAAAATTCTCCCTTAAGTTCTGTGCTTGTGTAAATTTGACATTTCTCACCCAAATGGTTTCCCAGGTGTCCAATGGAACTGGCTCACCAAAATTCTGCGCCCATCTGATCATACAATCTTTAATTAGTTCCGTTTCTGAATCCAATTCAACTAAAACCCCATAAATCCTCTTAATGTGGGTTTGTCTTTGATCCTTCACTTGCTTAATAAAATTTTCATCTTCTCTAAGAAGACCCACCTTACAATCCACCTTCCATCTATCTACTAGTTGCCTATATTGGAACCAAGAATAAATAATATTTTCTTGTGCTAACTCTTCCCGTGATTTTAACTGCCAGTTTTGTCCATCCCATCTAAGTAACTGTCTATAAGATACCATATCCATTTTAGCACCTTTTTTTATTCCTTCTCACTCACTTACTTTTTGAAGATCTCCAGAGTTCAGGATGCCAGGGTAGGAAAGGAGAACATGTTACTCACTTGCTAGGGTATGTGGCAGAAAAGCAGTCATCTTTTTCTGAGATGCTGGAAAAACCTGTTTTCCTTTTGTCACTAGACGCTAGCCTTCTATTCCACAGTGAAAGCAAATGGCAAGGGAAATAAATTTTTCCCTTCCTTACCGTTTATCTTTGGTCCTTTGCTAATGGTGGGTGGAGGGAAAACATGGAAGCAGCCAGAAAACTCATCACTTCCCTCCATCGACCATTTGCTGTGCATGTATTAGAAGACCAGCATCTAAGACAGTGGTTCTCAACCTTTCTAATGCCGTGACCCCATAATACAGTTCCCCATGTTGTGGTGACCCCCAAGTGGGTGTGGCCACCAATAAGAGGGAGTAGGACAGCTAGGGAAAAGGGAAAAAAATGGCGGACAGCGTGGTTTGGCGACCCCCGTGAAATGGTCATTTGACCCCAAATGGGGTCCCGACCCACAGGTTGAGAACCACTGATCTAAGAGAAGCTTATTCTAAAGGAAAAGATTTCTGGCTGCTTCCTTGTTTTCCCTCCAACCACCAATAACAAGGGACTAAAGTCAAATGGCAAAAAAGGGAAAAAAGATTTCTCTCCCTCCCCATTTGCTTTTGCTGTAGAATGGAAGGCTAGCATCTAGTGACAAAAAAAAACAAAAAACCCAGGGAGGTTTTTCTAGCATCTCAGAAAGACAGCCACTTTTCTGCCACATAGCCTAGCAATGGAACAGTCTGTCTTCCTTTCCTATCCCAGAATCCTGAGCTCTGGAAATCTTTGAAAGATAAGTGAGCAATCAGTGACAGGGGGGCTGGGTACAGAGAATTCCCAAGCAGCTGTGGGAAGCAGAGCATGGGATATTTCAGTGAGTGAGGGAGGCCTTGGGATGTGGAAGGCAGGGAATTTTGTTCCTGCACCCTGGAGGCATCCCATGCGCACTTCACAACCCATGCATTTACTTACTGAATACATTGTGGTGATCTGGATGGGGGCTAGTTCACTTAACATGATTCACTTAACATCCTCTGGTTTGGAAATGTAATTGGTAGGCTCCAATACATTCATAACTTGAGGATTATCTTATCACACACATATATAATATTAAAAACCAAAACATAAAAACTATAAACCCTACCCAACACCACATGGCAGCAGCAAAACAATCAGATCATTCACTTGATCACCTCCATCTCCACTCAGGGCTCTCAGGGCTCCTGAAACAAACCACATTTTCTGGACTTTTTGGAAAAAATAAAAAGCAACAAGGGCCAATCATATCTCCAGAATGATGTTGCATAGGGAAGGGACCATTTGGGCCATTTGCCTGATTTTGTAGTCTTGCTCTATTATTCGTTGTATGAGGAATTTGGCAAATCTGTGCCTTATGGCTGGGATGACCTGAATACAAAACTGGGGGACCTCTTTCACTATATGCTATAGAGAGCTAAGAGTTAGAGATCACAGCAGAGATTTTTATATACCCAATTGGATTTAACTACTAAAGCAGACTTAACAGTTTGTAATATTCATTCTGATGGGATGATCTATTCTAGATCATCCAAGATCCAATGCAGGATAGAGGTCACATTCTGGATATAATTTTCTTGTCAGAGCCATGGCAATGTGATCTGGTGAAAGATATGTAATTATCCCTTGTCATGGACAGACCAAGCCCTGGTGGCTGTAAGATTTTCCAATGCCCGCTCCCACACAGGGAGGCAGTCCTATTTGAATGGTTCACCCCCAGTGACAAATGGACCTGCTCAGGTTTCAGAAAGAGCTAAGGGATATCTTGGGGGTTCTGCTGCATGGCCCTCTGGAGGCTTTGGCCGCAACCTGGAATCAGAAGGTGGGTGAGACTGTAGATAGTATCAAGCCTATGCATCCTCTCCTGGTCTATTGGTCCTGAAACTCTCTATGGAGGAGCAGAGGGAGCAGACATGAGTCACAGCCTCAATTAAGGCCAACTCAAGGTGGTTAAGAGTGGTGAAACCTCCCTATTTCTCCAGTCTTACTGCATTTGCAGTGTTGCCCAACAGCCCTGTTCAAGATCACTTGGGCCCTCCTTGGGAAGGGGGAAAATCAGACAATAAAATAGGGCTGTGCAGAGGAATTTGTTCAACACCTAATGGTAAATTGCTCAGATCCGTTCTCAATTTGAATCCAACTGTGGAACGGGTCCATTGGACATACCTGGGAAATGGATTTGCTACATTACCTGGGAACTGCTTGATTCTGTTGGACCTGAGAAACTGGAAAGGATCTTTGGGGCTGTTAAGGCAACTACTTATTAGATTCCCATCCCTCCTGGTTGGTAAAAGCCTCCAGGATGGTAACCTGGATTAATGCAGCACTGCTACAGGAGGGGGTGTTTCTGGTATCATTTAAGAAGGCCTTGGTCCACCCAATTTATACCCAATTCCAGCAATTGTTCTTTATGTTTTAGCCTCCAGTCCCCTAATCCTCTATGTTGCTCTTTCTAGAGTCTCAACATCTTTTTTTCGTAGTGGCAACCAAAACCGGATGCAGTATTCCAAGTGTGGTTTTACCAAGGCATTATAAAGTGGTATTGACACTTCACGTGATCTTGATGCTATCCCTGTTAATGCAGCCTAGCACTGGGTTAGGTTCTTGGCAGCTGCATCACACTGCTGGCTCATATTTAAGTGAGTGTCCACTAGGACTCCAAGTTCCCTCTCAGTTTCTATTATTGAGCCAGGTACCACCTATACTATAACTGTGCATTTATGCACTGCCTAAATGTAGAACCTTACTTTCTTCACCACTAAATTACATTTTGTAAGATAGCACCCAATGTTCAAGTTTGTCAAAATCCTTCGGTATCTTAAGCCTGTCTTCTGGAGTGTTGGCTATTCCTGCCAGCTTGGTATTAAATAGTCTGCAAATTTGATGAGTTCCCCATCTATCCACTCACCCAAATCGTTTATGAAGATGTTGAAGTGTATAGGCCTAAAATAAAGTCTCCCTCCATGTAGATGCAGTTCCATTGAGGACTATATGTTGAGTGCAGTTGGTCAGCCAGTTACAAATCCATCTGGTGATGCTGTCTAACCCACATTTTTCTATCTTATAAAGTAGTAGGTTGTGGTTTATCTAATGCCTTATTGAAGTCCAAGTAAATTATATCCACAGCATTCCTCTGATCCACTAATTTTGTCACTTTGTCAAGGAATGCAATAAGATTTGTCTGGCGTGATTTGTTTTTGACAAACCCATGTTGGCTTTTGGTTAACTTTGTTTACCTCTAGGTCAGTGGTTCTCAACCTGTGGGTCGGGACCCCATTTGGGGTCGAACGACCATTTCATGGGGGTCACCAAACAACGCAGTCCGCCATTTTTTCCCTCTTTTTCTTAGCTGTGCTACTCCCTTTTATTCTATTGGCTTTTGAAAGCCAATAGAATAGACTCTCTTGAATAGAGTCTAATTCTATTGGCTTTCAAAAGCCAATAGGAATTGTCCAGGCTGTCTCTGCCCTGCTGAGCCTGCCAAAAGTCCCTTTCTGCAAACGGTGCTGCAAGCTGTCTGCAGCTAAGGCGAGCTGTCTGGAAGTTTCCACCCCTCCCTGCTGAGCAACTACTAAAAATGTAAATAAAAGAGGGCCAGGGGTGGGAGGTGGGAGGCTGGCGGGCGCAGGGAGGGTTGCTGGCACGCATGGGGCCCGGCAAGTACCTTACCTCCCTTGGGCTGGGCCAGCTGGTGGCCCAGCCAGTGGTCGGCCTGCGCTGTCTCTGCCGCTTGCCAGCTACGCCTTGGCCGGCGCAGGGGGTGGCACCACGCATGCGCAGTGCTCCCGGGCAGGGAAAGTCCTCGACTTATGACCGGTTGGGTAGTCCTCGACTTACGACTGGTTGGGGGTCGCGGCATTAAAAAGGTTGAGAACCACTGCTCTAGGTGTTCACTGATTCATTGCTTATCTTTTCCAGAATCTTCCCAGATATTGAGGTCAGAATGATAGGTCTGTAATTTCCTGGATCTATTTTTGAAGATAGGAATTATATCAGCTCTTTTTCACTCCTCTGGTAATTCCCCAGTGCTCCAGATCTTTTAAAGATATAGTTCAGTGGTTCTGAGATCATCTCTGCCACTTTCTTCAGAACCTTGGGGTGTAATCCAGATTTGAACTCCTGGTGATTTGAACTCGTCTAGGGTGGACAAGTGCTCGCTTACCTTTTGCCTATTTTAACTTGTATTCCTAATCTGTTTTTTACTATATTTGATAGGTTGAACTGTTTTTTCCTTTTGTGTAAAGACATGTGCAAAAAAAGAGTTAAACAGTTCTTTCTCCTTGTTGCTTGTCACCTTGCCACTTTCTCCCATTAATGGACCAATTGTTCCCTTGACATTTTTTTTAATAAGTTGAAAGAAACTGTTATTTTTGACTTTTGTCACAAACCTTAGTTCATTTTAAGCCTTAGCTTTTCTCACTTCATCTTTGCAGGGTCGGGCTATTTGCTGATATTCTGCCCTCTTTCCACTTTTTATACTTGTCCTTTTTGTTTTTCAATTTATCAGAGTTCTTTATGCAGCCATGCTGGTTTCTTTTATTTTTCTTCTTCATTGGTATTATGGTAGGCTGGGCTTTTAAAAATTTCCCAAGCTTCTTGGATTGTTTTCCCCTTGAGGATTCTCATCCATGGAATCCTTCCCAAGCTCTAAGTTTATTGAAATTAGTTCTCTTAAAGACCAAGACTCGTTTGACTTTGTTCTATTGCTTGCGCTTACATAATGTTGAATTCCAATACTGCATTATCACTCCCCTCAAGGTTCCTGAAGTTTCAACACCTTCTATCATTTCATCTCTGTTTGTGAGAATTAAGTCGAATATGTCTGATCCCCTTGTTCCTTTCTCTACTTTTTGGGAGACAAATTTGTCTGCTAGGTTTGTCAAGAACCTGTTTGATCTTCCACTTGGTGCAAAGTTTGTCTCCCAGTTGATATCAGGATAGTTAAAGTTCCCATTACTATTGTGATGTGCTTCCTACATATCTTAGTTAAATGACAAGCAAAAAGTTCACCCATTTCCTCTGTTCGATTGGGTGGCCTATAGTATACACGTATGGAAATGTCATTTTCCCCCTTTTATATTGACCCAAATGCATTCAAGAGTTTTCATCATTGTTGTGCTCTATGGACCTCTCAGCGGCTTTTGATACGATTGACAACGGTATCCTTTTGGACTGGCTATGGAGTTTGAGGCACAATATTGCATTGGTTCAGCTTCTTTCTACAAGGCTGATCCCAATCGATGTTAATAGGGAGCAACAGATTTAGCCTGTAGCTTCTTCTTTATGAAATGCCACAGGGCTCAGTACTCTTCTTTTTAACATTTATATGAAATTGCTCGGTGAGATCATCTCACATTATGAGATGAGATACAATCAGTATGCTGATGATACACAGCTTTACATCTCCGTCCAAAGTGATGCTCTGGCTGCCCTTTCTCCGTGCCTAAAAGCTGTAAGGATCTGGATGGTTTCAGTTGAACCCAGGCAAGACAAAGGATGCAAGAGACCTCAGGATTTGGTTATAATCATAAATTCTGGACATAGTTGCACTACCCCTGATCCAGTGTGTAACTTGGGAAACCTTCTGGATTCACAACTCTCATGACTAAGAAAGCCTCTGAACAACTTCACATTATGTACCAGTTGCATCCTTACCTGGATCATGAAGCCCTGTGCATGGTCACTCATGCCCTAGTCATCTCTCAGCTGGATTACTGTAATGCACTATAATGGGCTACCCTTGAAGAGTATTTGAAGATGCAGCTGGCAGAATGCAGTGGCATACAATCCTGGGAGTTCCTAAGGCTGCATTTATAACATTGCTACTACATGAGTTGGTTACCAGTTTGCTTCCAGATCCAATTCAAAGAAGTTGGTTATTACCTTTAAAGCCCTACATGGCATCGGTCCAGAGTTCATGAGGAGCCATCTTCCCTCAATGGGATTAGTCTACCCCACTCAGGCCTTCGGAAGAGGCCTGCTATAGATCCTGTCTGCTAAAGTATTTCAGCAGGTGGGTTCAAGGAAAATAACCTTTTCTGCTCTTGCTCCATCCCTGTGGAACATTCTACCAGCAGAAGTAAGAACTGCTCCCACTCTGTTGGCCTTTCAGAAGGGTATCAATACTTGACTTTGCCAGTTGACCTGGTGCACCAAGGAAGGCACTTCCTGCTAGACGTACTGACAGGATAAGAAGACCTCATCCCTGTCTCATTTCTTGGTTCTGGTTCCACCATTTTAAAATCATAATCTGTGTAGTTTTAATGTTTTAAAATTTTAAAACATTAAATAAATTTTATTTATTTGATAACTTGCAGGCCACCCAGAATCATCTTATAGGGGAGATGAGTGGCATAAAAATTAAATAAATTCATTTTATGAAACTCTCTTTCTATAATTATTCATAATAGTATTATGGTAGAAGCCCTTATAAACAGAAAGATGGAGAGCTGTCTAGCAAATAACAGAAAAGGAACACTGGACTCCCCAAAGTTGTAAAGAACTTGCTGAAGTCTTCAGGAGTCAGAGTTTGTCATTCAAGGTCAGGATCTGAAACAAAAACACTCTGTGGAGCCCAAGTAGTCCATACAAAGAACTCAACATACATTAAAAATAAAATGCCTAACTAAGGAAATAAACTGTTCTGCAGTGGCAGTTTGAAGCCTGCTCTCCTGTTTTTTTATCAACAGTTTCAATAAGCTTTTCAGCCTGGGGGGGGGGGGGAATATAAGCAGCTCTTATTCACGTAGTCTTTGAAGGCTTTTCTTTCCTACTGAGAAAGAGCTAGCAGAAACTGGTCTTTGCTGAATTGAGTCAAGGCCAGAAAATGTAGAAGGGTGGTGGACATTGTATATACAGACCTGTTAAGGGTAATGCAGATGCTTCTTCTCTTTAAGTTTCTCTCTACCATCACCCTTGACCTTCTCCAACCTCCATAACTGCTCCTTTATCAAGTATCCTTTATGCCCAGCAGGCAAAGTCTGAAATACTTCACTGCTGTGTCCTATTTACAGGGAGATTTCTGTTTTCCTTTGTCACAACTATCTTTTAACATTTACACAGAAAACCATTTTACCTATTTTCTTCCTTGATTAGCATCTCCTTCAAATTAGAAACTTCAATCTGGAACCCATCAGTAACAGATGCATGCAGAATTCTAGTTTCTTCAAATTCTCTTATAATCAATTCCTTTTCTTCAGTGACTTCTGCTAATGTTTTTACTGTAATTCGCAACTCAGTTTCTAAATTGTTACAAGTATTCTAAAAAGAATTTAAAAATTACATTTTTCAACTAATATGTAGTGATATGTTTTATAATTAAGATTCTACTAAATGGAAATATTCATAATAATTTAAACTATATCCTGGATTTCTCATTTATATTCAGTATTATTATTGAACTTAAATTATTGTATCAAAGATACCTTTGTATCTTCCAAAGAATGTGTAGTATTTTCCAGTTCTGCCAACAAGATTTGTTGCTTGCTTTCTGATTTTTTTATTATCTCATCTTGTTTTTCTGAATTTTAAATGCAAAAAATAAAATATAAAATATTTTCAGGAAAGTTTACAGGCCAGAGTTATACTATATATTGTGTGTACAAAAAATGTGTGCTTTTAATTAAATAAGCAGTATTAGTCAACATGTACACCAAACATAATAATAACCAAACATATCCCACATTGAGCTCTGCCTAAACCTTCCTTAAATATCAGCTACAGCTATCCTATCCATTGTTAAAATCTTTGTTTTAAAAAGCAATATTTTTATCTGTTTTGATCAGCGGCATGCACATAGCAAAGTTCACTCTGTAGCTGCTTCTTGCTTCCTTGGCAAAACTTTTTTAGATTTAAAGCATTTTTCAAACGAAGGACAGATGCAGTCTAGGACATTGCTGCTTGGAAGGGGGAGGGGGAGGAGGAGGAGGAGGAGAGGTGGGGAGGAGGAAGAGATTATATTGTTATATTGCAAAGAAAGATTATGATCTGTAGGTAGCAACAAAAGTGAGAAAAGTAATTTATAAAAATAGAGGCTGATAAAGCCACTAAAGTGACTTTTGGAAGCTGAACCAGTGGTGGGATTCAAATACATGAACAGCCGGTTCTCTGTGTGGATGCCGCTTCCGGAATCTGGGCCTGGGCAACAAAATTTAGCTACCAGTTCTGCCGAAGTGGTGCAAACTGGCTGAATCCCTCCACTGAGCTGAACTATATGTTCACATAAGCAGGAATCTAACAAAATAACTGAGGGAGGGTTTATAGTTTTAACAGAAAAGAAATTCAAAGAGCACAAGTTCTATGCATTTGTGCCAGGGGCGAAAGGGAAAAGGAAGTGACTTCAGATTAATCTTTAATTTAGACCAAGAACAGTGTTACAAAACAAAGGGAATACACAGAATAAATCTTTAATTCTTTCTCTACATCTTACTGCCCCCTTGTGGACAGTAGATCATGAACGCTGAAGCGTCAGCACCATTAGATTTGGTTCTTCCTCAATGACAACTGCTTTCTTATTCCACCCAATTGATCATCCCAAGCTAATGAAGAAGATAAAATTGTAGTATCAACAAAAACAAAAGCCAGAAAAACCAAGCAGAGTGAGAAAAATGAAGCAAAATATTATATTATAACCTTTTTTGATTCTTGCCTATCTCAAGCTGCCTTTTTTATAATTAATATAGTTCTGTACTTTTGCAGATGTCCGATGCATATTATTTTACACTGGTAGTTAAAACACCAGTAAAATCCAGAGTATTTTAGAAGCGGAAAGGAGTCTTTTGAATTAATTGTGCATACACACACAAGTACAAACTAATAGAGAGGAGGAGGAGAGCAAAAATCAGATAGGTGTTCTCTAATGATTTTCTTGCTTATTTTAATTTTTATTTCTAATCTGTCTTTTACAGTTAGGTTTTTAGTAGGTTGGGTTATAGTTTCTTTTTGAGTGAAGACTGATGCAAAGAATGAGTTAAGCAGAAGCAGTTCTGCTTTCTGTCTGCTTCCAGTTATTTTCTTGCCACTTTTTTTCTTAAGTAGGCCTACTGTTTCCTTGACTTTTTTCTCATTATTTATATGTTGAAAGAAACTTTTGTTATTATCTTTGACTTTTGTTGCAAGTCTTTGTTCATTCTGAGCCTTTGCTTTCCTGATTTCATCTTTGCAGATTCGGGCTATCTGCTGATATTGTGCCTTAGTTATATGTCCCTTTGTCTATTTTTTGTCCTTTTTGTCTTTCAGTTTATCAACCATGTGCAACCATGCTGGTTTCATCTTGGATTTGTTTTTCTTTTTCAGTGGTGTTGTGCTGAACTGGGCTTTTATGATCATATTTTTCAGAATTTCCCATGCTTCTTGATCTATTTTCCCCTTTAGGATTTTCATCCATGGAATTTTTCTTAGGCTCTAATATAGGGTAAATGGTGCAATACTGTGAAAATGTATTTGCCAAGTACTTGCAGAAAACATGATTATACATTGGCTGAGAAATGAGGTGAAAAAGGAAGAAGCAGAATGAAAGCGAAATAGAACAAAGAAGAATGGAGGAGATAAATCAGTTGAAAAATAGATCTATACACTTACACAGAAAAACAAAAAGAGGAGTTGCACAACGTTGTATGATTAGCAATATCATTACTAATTTATAGTATTATCCAAACATTTTTCTCAAATGCCAAATGTATTTATTGGCCTCAAAGAACAAAAACAGATGTTCTGACATCTAGTTTGCTGTAATAATAAAAAAACAAGTAGGATAGCAATTAAAAATACTTACTTCTTATTTCTTCGAATTCAAGTATTAACAATCTTGATTCCTGTAACTGACTGTTTGTCTGCTTTATTTTGTTATCTTTTTTATCACTTTCTTCTTTCAGTATAGAAATCTAATAAAATAAATAATTGACAAATCATGCCTGCAAATTTCCATTTGAGTTTCATATTCTTGTGTTACATAGATTTTCATTTTATATGACAAGATAGAAGAAAAGAGGCAGAGCCAGAATCAGTCTAGAGTCATTATATTGCATAAGCAATGCAGCCCCAAGTTCAACCCCCTCCCCCCCGAATTCAGTTAATTCCTATCTGGCGCCAATTTAGTATGTGTATAGGCTTGAACAATAACTCTTCTGAACTGCAACTTAACATGTAATCCTCACCCTTTGTACCTGACACAAGCAGTGGAATAGAAATTTTCTGAAGTTATACCAGACAAGGACAAGGTGTACACTAAGAATGAAACAACTCACAGTTGATCTCTCCATGACTTATAGAGCTAAGTCCCTCCACATTCAGCAGTAAAAAAAAAAAAATCATTATCCCAGGCTTTTTAAGTACAACAGCAACTTTTATTATGGGGAATTCACAATCTCCCCATTGAACTGAATGCAGTGGAGACTGTGACATAAGAGGAGGACAGAGAGAAATAAAACTTCAACTTCAGCTAGTTATCCTGATTAAGTGGGAAACCAGTGGTTTCAGTCAGGAGATATTTTAGCATCCACTATCAATTTTGATGCAAGAACATAACTCTCTTCCTGCCAATTACAGCTTTAAGAAAATAAAAAAATTGAGATTGTGATATAGTATCTGTGTGTGTGAAAGAACAAATTTAATTTCATTACCAAGCTGGTTTCCTACCTCTCATAGTAATGACATTTGAAATGAAGACTATTAGTGGACTGGAAAAGTTGTTTTTAATCTCTGCTTTCTGATCTGAAGAAAATCAAGTCTTTTTCCACTCCAAGATGGGACAGTTTTTGTATTTTTTGGCACACATGCATATATGTATACATGCATACAATCTTCAGCATACTATTCCAAGATTTAATGTGATCCAAAGAGTTGTAGATATTGCTCATTATAATTTGGAGTTATGTGCAAAATTTTGCTATGGCTTCCCTATTCTGGTATCTATTTCTATTTTGAAGTAATTATAGTTATTATGACACAAGTGATTGACTCCACTTCATTCATCTTCCAGCAAAGAATACACAAGAATCTATCTGGGGTGCTTCAATTGGGATTCATGAACCAAGCAGGGGAATTGAAATTGATGATAAAAATGGATCTTAGAAGTCTATGATTTTTAAGAAAACATATATTTTAAATTCTGCTAGTCTTCTATCCAATTATTGGATGAAAGATTTCAATAATTTAACACCACCTTTTCTTTCTCTCAAATGCATTAACTCATCTATGTTCTTTTTACAACTGATTGTGACCATCTTCTAGGAGAAAACTATAATTTTCTGTCAAGGACTTCCAACTATATATTATTTTTATAAAAACAAAACACTCATAAAATATTTATTCAGAAAAATAATTTAAAATGTTGATTAATATACATTACTTATAACTGATTTAACAAAATATGTAATCATAAAACAAACCTCTTTTTCCATGGAATTTATCTCTCTCTTGTGTCCTTTGTCAAGCTGTTCTATTTTATCAGCTGCTTCTTTTACTTCCAAAATAACAATAATTTACATTATTATAAAGAAATAAGACATTTTATCTATATAGTAAAGTACTTCATTTAAAATGAGAAGATAATTGACATATTTTTGCATGCTAATCATATCTCATACTGATATCACTGCAATCTCAAATAGGTAACCTGCTTCAAAATGTATCGCCAAGTCTTGAAGTGATAGCAGAGCAATACTACTTAAAGATGAGAGCTGATAAAAAGTCATGTCAAGGAACAAGACAGGAGGCTTATGCTGGATAGGATAATCTGTTGCATAAGTCTTTTCCAAGCTATTGCCAAAATTTCTCACTTTGGGCAGGATTTAGAGTAGACTCCTTTTCTCAAGGAATACAATCCAATAGAAACCTCTGATAAATTCTACACATACATTTTGTAATATGTTCCCCATTTTTAATGTCAATTAATGTCTCAACAGAATAAGTCCACTATATGCTTCATAAGTGCTTACAATAAAGAGAACACAACAAAACAGGAGACAATAATTTCAAATCCTCAACCAAAATTACACTTTTGCAACTCTTTTAATTGATCAAGATGACTTACATGGCATTCGTAGAGAATTAAATAAGAAATAAGATTATATAATTCTCCAAATCTTAGTGACTATTTTAGTTTGATAATTTATTATGCATCACAAATATGCCAGATATAATATTCTTACTTTTGTAATACTTTTCCAGCCTGATGTTCTCTGCTTGTACACGAAGTTCTTCAAAAGCCTTTATCATTCTCTAAAAATGTAAATAAAATTGGATAAAAACAAATGTTCCAGAAGAAGTTAATACATTCATATTTTATAATAATATTCAGAGTTAACATTAATATTTATTGAATACAATACTGTCCCATGATATATTATATTCAGTCATTAATATTTGCCTGCAATGCTTTCTCCATCTTCAGGACTAGTCATTGTTCATTTTTTAAATGCTATTCTCTTTAACAATTCATTCATTTTTTTAAATTATTATTTTTTATATTCCATCTGTTCAAGCAATAATGAAGATTCTAGATATGATATGATGGCATACTATTTATTGGGAAATAGTGTGGTATGATAGTAATGATAGATATGATAGATAATAAGAATTGGTCCATGGGTCTCTTTGGACCAGGCTGTTATGTGGGATATAAAGGAAATAAATCAATAAAATCTTTCCATAATGTAAAGCCAGAATAATAAAATAAACATTAGTCAAATATAGCAATTGCAATAGCACCTAGACTTATATACAGCTTCACAGTGCTTTACAGCCCTCTCTAAGCAGTTTACAGAGTTAGCTAGCATATTGCCTCCAACAATCTGGGTCCTCATTTTACCAACCTCAGAAAGATGGAAAGCTGAATCAACCTTGATCCAGTGAGAATCGAACTGCTGGCAGAATTATCCTGCAATACTGCCTTCTAATCTTTGTCCCACCACAGCTCGCTGGTCAATACAGTCAACTATATTTTCACTGAGATTTTCATAACTATATTTTTAAAAAATAAGGGGGAAAGGCTACACTATAGCAACTTAAGTATTGATGCATCACCACAATCACTTTCTGCTTTTTGAGGTAGCATTTCCTCCATCCCTAGCTAAAGGAACATGTAATGGCCTCAGGGTCCAGCTACAGATGCATTATTAAACTACAGGTCTAAACATTTATATTATGAAGTATTTTATCTTCAGTGTATTACCTCAATGTTATTGTTAAGATCCACATACATTTGTTTTGTTTCTTCTCGTTCAAATTCATCTTTAACAAAATTAATGATATGGTAGAATAAAAAATGTTACAGTGTCAAATAAAATATATCAGTAATAATAACAATACATAATTCAAGTTAGAATGAAATTAGGATTAAATGTTGATGAGTGTTTAGGACAGAATATTTTAAAATCTTGTCATAATAAAGCAAGCTTTTCTGATTGTCCTATCAATTTGTCTATACATTTTATTTTAAAAAATGCTTTCCTACCTATGTTCTCGACATTTTTGGACTTTGATGTTGGAGAAGACTTGTGAGAATATCATGGTTAGCCAAGAAACCAAAAAATGATTCTTGAAACAATCAACCAGAGTTTTTCCTTGAGGCACAAATGACCCTGTTCAAATTACCATACTTAAGGACATATTATATGAAGACCTAATTTCTTGAAAAGTTTATAATGCTGTGAAAATTGGAAGAAAAGACAAGACCACTAGCAACAATATGGATACACTCAATTACACTGGAGGATGTGAAGGATTAGATTGGGAACAGATTCTCTTGGAGAAAAATCTATCTATGTGAGAACTAAGAATTAACATTGACTTAAAAGCAAATAACCTATCCATCCACCCATCCTCCCATCCTATGCTGAACCCAGTAAACAATTTTAATTTAAAACACCTTTTTTTTACTTTATAAGTAAACTCCTATTTAGATATTATAGTTCTTGAGGAACTGACCAGCCATGTGGTAGTTCTGAATATAAGGATGACATAATAAAATATGTAATAAAACATTTTGTGAAGAACCTCATATTTTTTATTCACATATAACTAAGTAAAATAGTATTTTTGTTGCAATTTATAGTATGGAAAAGATAAATGCTGCTAAGTATATTTACATTTGTTGCATTTCTCCACTGATTGCATACATTTTTCTTTGAGCAAGTTGCACAAATGTCTTGTAGCATTGCTTCTAAAGAGAAAAGATAATATTAACAACATTATGTTGATAGTTCCTTGCTTTAAAAAGAAATTTCTTTACAGAGCAATTTAAAATTTCTGGGAGTAGTTTCTTGATCAGATTCCAATGAAAGTAAAAGACCTATTGCCTAACAAAGGGGAGGGAAAGATTGGTGTTGCTGGACATAAATTTTTAAGAGTTTGCTTGTTTTAACGAAATGCTTGCTGTGGAAGGAAGCTTGCTTATTCATAACTATCATACAATCTTTCTCCATGGCTGAGAAGAAATGCACATGCTCTTCACCCATTTTTGAGCCAGCAGAAAACACTATTGATATTAAATTTGCTATTCTCTTTATCAACTTGTAGCCAAACCTCTATTGCCTCTTTTCCCAATCGCTGCAAGTTTTCTCACTTCTATCCAATTAAAGGGTGATACAAGAGTAATAAAGGCTGATCAGATGTAGCTTCAAGCTATTCCTGGTAATGTCAGAATTAAGAGAAAATGCTAGTTTAACACCAGAATAGTTAAGATCAGGTAGAGGTTACTTTCCTCATGGGCTATGCTGAGATGAAAACAACATTATTGGGACACATCAAAAAGAATATGCTACCAGGGCATGATTTGATGCCATGGTTTGATGAAACTAGAAAGTAATTGGCTTGTTCAACAATAACAAATTATTTATAAAAAAAATTGAAGTGTTGTGGTTGCTCTATACCAGTGGTTCTCAACCTTTTCTTCACCACAGCCCCCTTTAAATACATTTTAACAACTCCAAGACTTAAGATTTAAATCATAACTTTTTTTCAAGCACAGACCCCCTGTGATATCGCATTCCCCATAGGTCCATGGACCACAGATTGAGAACCACTGTTCTATACCATTCCACCTAGGGTACTCCAGTATAACATTTATATAATTATAGATATATAAATATAGATACACGGAGACCTGTTTACTTAAGTGTGGTCTATAATATCTCTCCCCCCTCAAATCCAATAGAAGGCACACCAAAGTAGAGAAAACCTTGTAGCATGGAATGAGAACATCCCAGTCCAGAAACATTTCCAGCCCTATCTGATCCTATAATGCTTGATGGTTTGAGAAAATGAAACCCATTCCACATGCAAGAATTATTAATCTGAAATTAGAGCAGCCGTTTCTTCTGCTGCAGAAGAAACTTTCTTTTCTTTGCAGAGAAAGTACACTGTGCATACAATGTGGTCAAGAGACAGGGTGCTACTTAAATACAACACAATACAAAATTAATAGTCACAAAAATGTCTCTAAAATAATCATTAAAAATTAGAGGAATCATGCATAACAAATTAAAATCTAAGATAATTAAATTGTTAATTAAAATTAAATTAAACATATTAAGAAAACAAACAATAACCCACTAAATACAACTTTTCACTTTTGGCAGGAGGAAAAAAATATTTAAAAAATAGAAACATTTTATTAAAGATAGCCTTTGAGATAAATGGCAAAATAGCAGAGATTCATTTGTGATTAGAGATGGGTGAGGTAGATGTTGGTCAAGTTGTAGATTTATCACTTCAAAACAGCCTAAATTGGGTTGCTATTAACGAGATGGCAGCATACAAGAATGAATGAATGAATGAATGAATGAATGAATGAATGAATGAATGAAATTGGCAAGATGTATATCAAAAATTACTGCAGGTGTGACTTTTGTGAGCTCTTCATCACTTGAAGTTAAGAAGAGACAGTCACTTGTCTAAAATGATATAGATATAGAGCAGTGGTGGCGAACCTATGGTACATGTGCCAGAGGCAGCACTCAGAGCCCTCTCTGTGGACACACGTGCCATGCCCCGGAGTTAGCAACCATTCCTCTTCAACCAGCCGCCTGCTAACTTGCTGAGGTCCCACGTGGCCATATGCATCTCAGCATGGTTGGTTTCCCTCTCCCCCCTCCCATCCGTCCTGGCCTCGCATGCTCTCCTTTTCCCGGGCACGACCCACTGCATCACCTCCTCAGCTGTTGGCCAGCCCTCCAGCTCAGAGGCGGCTTCTCTGAACTGGCGGTGGGCTGTGGAGCCCCAGAGTGCATTGGTTGAGGGGCCAGCAGGCTGTGGCTGCTGACAGACACTGTCAGCCCCCATGTGCGGGGGCTGATGGTGTCAGGCAGCAGCTGCCCCAGCCCCTGCCTCACCTTGCCCTGTGACAATGGCACCCCTGCCCTGCCTCGCTTTGCCTCACCCCGCAGGATGAGCCTCCTGCCCACCACCCCACCTGCCAGAGACCCCTGGATCTCCTCCAACCCTGCCCTGCCCCCACAGGCGTTCCTCCCCACGAGCATCAAGGTGACCACGCCCACCTTGGCTACACCCACCCAGTCTGCCATGACCACAACCATGCCCACCCAGTGGGCCCTGCCCACCTGGCACCTGGCAATAAATAAGTGGGTTTTGGGTTGCAGTTTGGGCACTCGGTCTCTAAAAGGTTTGCCATTGCTGGTATAGAGTCTCCTGCTTGAGCAGGGGGTTGGACTAGAAAACCTCCAAGGTCCCTTTCAGCTCTATTCTGATTTAACTACAGATAGTCCTTGATTTATGACCATACATTTAGCAATCATTTGAAGTTATGAAAGTGCTGAAAAAAGTATAGTCCTTGCACTTATAATAGTCCTTGCAGTTATGACTATTGCATCATCTCCATCTTAATGTGATTGCAACTTGGACTCTTGGCAACTGGCTCACAATTGCAGTGTGTTGCAATAATGTGATCATGATTTGTGACATTTCGAAGAATGGGTTGCACTTACAACTATACTGTTCCTTTACGACAGTAATTCACTTAATGTTCATCATAAAAATGGTACTAAAATTGGATCAGATTCAACTTACAACCGCAATGACTTAGGACAAAAATTCCAGTCCCAATTGTGGCTTGACGTCAAGGATTATCTTTCATATATTACTTAGCTTTGTTTGAAATCAGCCAATATCAGAAGGATATTGCCATTTGCTACAATATAGTTGTTTAAGTTCCATAAATTATTTTATTAGTAATTTATTTTAGTAATGTTTTACTAATATTACTTACTCTTTTAGAAGTTCATTGTTTTCATGTATTTCATCTTCAAGTTTTAGACTTAATTTTTCATTTTCAAACTAAATTCATAAAGATGCAAAGGATATGTTTTAGTCTGAGTAAATTATGACCGCCAAATATAAAATATATACTTTTCTTCATGACTGTATTAATGTACATTTTTTTCAGTCCTTGAGTTGACAGAAAAGTAGTACAATTTATGCTGCTCTGAAGACAATCTTTATTTCTCCTTCCAACATAACATCCAAAATTGCTTCTTTAATAAGTGGTAGGCCAGATTTTGTTATATGTGTAGAGAGCAAAGACTTTAGACAGCTTAAAAGTTGCCTTAGTGACAGTTGCTGGTTTGGTGTTGTTCCATACCAATAAGTAACCTATCACTTGGACTACTTCTGAATACATCTTCCAAGGAGTAATGGAACATTCCCTTCTGCCTCAGCCTTACTTCTGAGCTATGCCTGTGACTTGTCAATCAGGCTAGAAATAGAAACCAGCAGATTGTTAACACTTTTACTCAGGTTACCAAATATTCCAAATCCATAAGTATTGCTACAGTAGTGAAAGAGAATAACTATGGTTTTCAGCACTGGAACTACCCTTTAAGAATATAAATTACTTTGGGATATAGCACTCCGTTGCTGTGTATACCCCTCATAGGAGAAACAAAGGAAAATCTGTAAGGTATTCTTTTGGGGAAGAACCAGCAAAACATAGCTGGTAGAACCCAGATCTTAGAACCCAATACTAATCTTGTTTGAAATATAGTTCTATTGTTCTTTCAAAGTACCATTAAAGAGCTGTTTAAAAACAGGTCTAATAGTACTTTAGAAAACGCTAATGCCGTGTATATGTGGAACTGAAATCACAGCAAAATACCCACCATCATGTCTCTGTGAAATTCAGATGCCATCTCTCTCTTGCAGACCAAGCCAAAATTACCTTGGAGAGTTGTACTGGGCAATTAGAGGGGGCATGTGTCTTCGTAGCAAATGAAAATGGCTAGCAGGAACACTTGACCAATCAAAATTTTGATGTTCCATTGGGCTTGGGGATCTTGATTATGGTGCCATTTTGTATGTATTAAACTGTATTCTCATTTTATTTTTATATTTTTAAATGTAGCTTTTACTTATTAAAATTGCAAGTAAGATGGGCAGCCATATAAATGTAATAAATAAATAAAATAAATCATTGTCAACATCATCAGTGAGGTGTCAATGAATAAGCATATGACAAAACATGTGGCAAAACAAGAGAAAACATGGATTTAAAACTGAAACAGCTAAAGAGAAATGTAATGTAAACCAACTCCACAGTGGGCTCAGTGTGGTTGTGATGAAGGCTGTGTCATGAGGAAATATCCTCTAAAAAAGATTGGCATAGAGTCTTTATGCCACAGTTAGGCCACAGTTAATAGGTTGTGAAACTCCATGTCAGCTTCTCAACATGCATTTATGTATTTTCAAATTAATTTGAAACTTTAGCTGATAGAAAAAAACTAGAAACTAGAATTCTTGTAACATTTTAATATTTAAAATTAATACATAAATGCATTCATGTCTATCCATCCCATTATTTCTTTTTGGGGTTAATCAGTGCCTGAAAATTATGTATCGTATGATTGACTTCTACAAGTTATTCTGATTCTTAATTTCATTTTAGCAAATATTCTGGGTGAATATAATAAAACATATTCACATTTCTTTTCAAGAAAGCTTATATTCTAAAAGCTCTTCCAGACTGTATGAAAATCGTGGGAAATCCCAAGAATGAAGTGTAATGAACGATCTACTGATTTTGATACTGTAACTGTATACTCATCATTGTATCCAGTTATGGCATCATATAATTAATGGTATTATTGTGTATCAATAGTCTTATCATTATTTGCATCACTGTTGACTTATTCATCAGCACGGAAATTATATTTCAAGCTGCAATTATCATAAAAGCAAAAAGAATTAGGGATGAAGAATGGCCAATTCATTTCACTTACCAGCGTCTAGGATCCCACTGCAATGACATGATAACATGACTTAAAAACTACCTTAATATAGCAGAGAAGCCAGGAAGAATGAAATTATAGCACCATGGTGAAATTAGAAATACAATCTTTTTTTAAAACTGGGTGGGTGGGTAGGGGAGAAATCATTTATGTTTGTGTGAAACTGAGATAGCCCAGCAAACAAATAGATTATTTAATAATTTTCTATGTTCACTCTTGGTAGAGAAGGGTAAGTCTTATTGTCATTTTTCTGTGAATTTTATAGAATCAAAAATATATAAACGTATCCATGATCATAGTGTCTTGACGTGTGCAATCAGTAAAAAGCTTTTGACAAATCTCTGAACTTTTGAATGAGTTGGGAAACAGAAAGATTACCGTAGTTGTCTAAGATTACCCTAACATACAATGGAGAAATGATAAAACTTTCACAGAATGCATCTTAAAATTGCATAATACCTTAAACATTAAGTTTTTAGAATTTTTATGTTATTACTTTCTTTTGAATTCTATTTCAAAATACAATAAACACTTGCCTGTAATTCTTGAATGGCTTTACGCAATGCTTCAATAATCTTTCTATTTTCTTGCAATTTTTTCTCTTTTTCCTTTAATTCATATTGTACACTGACTTTCCATCTCTTGATCTTTTCTGCTTCTTTGTAAAGCCTTGAATAAAGTTCATTCATTGTCTCCATATTCTACAAAAGTAGGTTCCAATGTAATAAACAACAATTAGTTAAGTACATATTATCTACTTTTTGTACTCACATTTGCCATTAAACCTAGCCTTGGATACCCAAAAAAATATGCAACATAAAAAGAAGAGACCATATGATTATCAGTAAAGTAGTTTTCTCATCTCAGAAAAAGTTATTCAAAACTACATAAATTATTAAGGACACTGCACTAGTAACAAAAAAAATGAGATGACAGTAATTTTCTATTTTTTCTTGTAGGTGATTGTTTCTTAATAGTACCTTTCAGGAAATTGTATACTGTATACAACTGTATACCTATACTGTACCACATTAGGGATGCACTGGGGGTGTATAAAGGGAAGCTCTTCAACTGCTTACATAACCAAACTCCCAAATTAATGCAATCCAATTTTAATACAACTTTTTATTATATACTTAACTGACCTCTTGCTCTATGTCAGGAACATGTTTTACTTTCTGTGGAGAAGGATCTATAAAATGAAACATTTTATTCTGACCATTCAATATATATTTTTGTAATAATTTTATTAAAGTTTACTATTACAAAGATAAAAACTATAAACTAAGAAAAATATAAAAGTGTAAAGAAAAAATAGTGTAAAGTATATATATGTGTGTATGTGTGTGTGTGTGTATGTGTGTGTGTGTGTGTGTATGTGTATATGTGTGTGTGTGTGTGTGTGTGTGTGTGTGTGTGTGTGTGTGTGTATATATATATATATATATATATATATATATATATATATATATTCAAAATAAATAAATAAAAGTGAGCACCAGGGAATTCCAAACTGTATAAAAGCTTAATAAAAACGCCAAGCTTTCGTCGGCAACTGCCGATATCATCAGGGCTTGCGCACACACTATTCACAAGAGAAACATCGATAACGGCAATAGTGAGGAACATATGATATGGGGGGAGGAGGGGAGAGAGGTGGAGTAAACACTCTCTCGCGCAGTAAACAGATAGAACAATGGAAGACAGTGGACATAGAGAACACCAGGGTGGGGGATGGGTGTATGGATGCACAAACATATAAAGTCTGCACAAACATTACTCGTAGGAATAAGGAGGAGAGAAAAGAGGACATAGAACAGAGGGAAAACATTGACTCGCAGTCAAAAGAAACACGAAGAAATAACTGGAACCCCAGTGAGATTTATAGCAGTGGTAGAAGAGAACTAAACACCCCCGAAGTAGACAACAGGAAGAGGAATGAGGTGAGAGATAATGCCATTAGAAGAAAGGAGGATGAAAGGGTGTTAACAGATTTGAGTGTTAGTAATGAAGCAGTAGGAGGAGTGATCCGGAAGAACAACAGAAGGAAATGCAAAGGGAGTAACAAAGAAACATCTGGAACATAAATTGACCGGACAGGGCCAGTGACGTGATCCAAGAGCCGGATGCAAATATCAGCCAAACCTATTTGAATCATCGTTGTTTACTGGCTTTTAGCCCTGACGATGTTGGGAGTTCCCAACAAAAGCTTGGCGGTTTTTAGTAAACTATTTTTATACTTAAATTCTCCTGGTGATCGTATTTTATTTATTATATATATATATATATGAAAATAACGTTCCCCTTTATCATGACAAGTACAATTTCAGTAACATCGTTCTAATACTATAAAAGTTCTCTTCCTCCCATATCTCATCTCTTATCTATAAACAAATCTTAAAATCTCATTTAATCCTAATCAGCAAAAACTCAGATTTTATAGAAGGATCTATAAAATGAAACATTTTATTTTGACCATTCAATATATATTTTTGTAATAATTTTATTAAAGTTTACTATTACAAAGATAAAAACTACAAACTAAGAAACATATAAAAGTGTAAAGAAAAAATAGTGTAAAGTGTGTGTATATATATATACAGTTGGCAAAAAAGGGGAGAACAACTGTTACGAAGTGTAACGAGACTGGAAAGGCTGGGAAAATGGTGCATGGGGGAGAGGCATGCAGTGAGAGCACATGCAGAATATCTAGAGTGAGGCTCCGTAGTAATAAACATCACGATGTTAAGGATAGACACCAGGATAGTGTAGGGGGTGAGGGCTCTGAACTCACAGAAAATCCCAAGGATGAGAGAAGGGGGAAACGACTTGGTGGTGGGGATGACATCTCAAGTTGGAATAAGATTGAGGATCCTCCTAGACCACAGATATGGATGAGTGGAGAGTCGGAAGCTTGTTTTAACTTTGATGAGGGACGCGTGATACAAGAAGATGAGTCACTCAATTATGCAGCAATCACAACTAATGCTATGACTGGCCGACCTGGGCCCATTACGCGGTCCAGAAGCCGAGCACAGGCGTTAACCCACATATAAATGTTTACTCCCATTGATTTATGTATGCCCTGATGAAGTTGGCAGGAGCCAACGAAAGCTAGGTTGCTAATTTTTTAAAACTTTTAACGTTTTATACTTAAAACTTTTGTTTTATATTAAAACTTTTAACATTTTAACTTTTCCTGATGATCAAATTTTATTCACAATGTGCACACACCCAGGAATCATGCTTCTATTTTTAGTATTCTTTTATATATGTAGGTCTTTGGTTATTCGGGTTTTCTCCCACGTAAAATTGGAAGTGTCTTGGCGACGTTTCGACGAAGTCTCATTCGTCATCTTCAGGCTGGTGCTTTCAGCTTCGTGCTTCGAGGAGCAATGTGTGGTCTTAGCTGTTTCTTCCTTTTAACTGCCAGTGGGGTATGAACTGATTGGGTGGGAGCTTGGCTGTGTTCTGATTGGGTGGAGGTGTGTTCTGATTGGTTAGGGGCTTGGCTGTGCTCTGATTGGCTGGGGGGTTGGCTGTGCTCTGATTGGCTGGGGGAGTGTTCTGTTTGGTTGTGCTCAGGTTAGTCTGAGTTGCAGGGGGTTTAAGATTTTGGGCTGCCTTGCTATTTTTTGGCTTCGCGTTCGTGGTCGTGCCTCATCTTCATGGAGGGTGTCAGTTTGCTTCATGTATGGATTGGAGGGGTTTAAAGTGGCTAATGATGCAGCTGTGGTCTGGCTTCTGGTTTGTGGTCGTGCCTCATCATCGGTGTGGCTTTGGGTTTGCTTTTTGCGTGGATGTGTGGTGGTGACATCCTGTGTGGTTTTTGTGAGTGTGGGTCTGGTATCATTTTTTGTGTTAGGGAGTCGTTTGTCAATAAGGGCGGGTTTCCAAATGGCTGGTAGGCGGGAGGGATCATCTCGCTTGTTCATGCTGTGTGGGCGTTTTTCTATCTCGATGGCTTCTCTGATTATTCTGTTATTAAAATGTTCACTTTTGGCAATGGTTCTGGTATTTTTAAAGTCAATTTCATGTCCTAAGAACTCAGTCAAAAAAGAGGAACCAACATCTTCCCTGGTCCAACACCTTAAAGCCACAGGACATGAAATTGACTTTAATTCGTGCTCGAGGCACGAAGCTGAAAGCACCAGCCTGAAGATGACGAATGGGACTTCGTCGAAACGTCGCCAAGACACTTCCAATTTTACGTGGGAGAAAACCCGAACAACCAAAGACTACATATAATATATATATATATATATATATATATATATATATATATATATATTATTTGTTTTCTGAGGTTTTCGCGGGTATTTGTATATAGGTCTTTGGTTGTTCGGGTTTTCTCCCGCGTAAAATTGGAAGTGTCTTGGCAACGTTTCGACGAAGTCACATTCGTCATCTTCAGGCTGGTGTTTTTAGCTTCTTGCTTTGAGCAGCAATGTGTGGTTTTAGCTGTTTCTTCCTTTTAACTGCCAGTGAGGGTATGAACTGATTGGATGGGAGCTTGGCTGTGTTCTGATTGGGTGGAGGTGTGTTCTGAATGGTTAGGGGCTTGGCTGTGCTCTGATTGGCTGGGGGAGTGTTCTGTTTGGTTGTGCTCAGGTTAGTCTGAGTTGCAGAGGGGTTTAAGATTTTGGGGTTAGGGAGTCGTTTGTCAATAAGGGCAGGTTTCCAAATGGCTGGTAGGCGGGAGGTATCATCTCGCTTGTTCATGCTGTGTGGGCGTTTTTCTATCTCGATGGCTTCTCTGATTATTCTGTTATTAAAATGTTCACTTTTGGCAATGGTTCTGGTATTTTTAAAGTCAATTTCGTGTCCTGTGGCTTTAAGGTCCAACACCTTAAAGCCACAGGACACGAAATTGACTTTAAAAATACCAGAACCATTGCCAAAAGTGAACATTTTAATAACAGAATAATCAGAGAAGCCATCGAGATAGAAAAACGCCCACACAGCATGAACAAGCGAGATGATACCTCCCGCCTACCAGCCATTTGGAAACCTGCCCTTATTGACAAACGACTCCCTAACCCCAAAATCTTAAACCCCTCTGCAACTCAGACTAACCTGAGCACAACCAAACAGAACACTCCCCCAGCCAATCAGAGCACAGCCAAGCCCCTAACCATTCAGAACACACCTCCACCCAATCAGAACACAGCCAAGCTCCCACCCAATCAGTTCATACCCTCACTGGCAGTTAAAAGGAAGAAACAGCTAAAGACCACACATTGCTGCTCAAAGCACGAAGCTGAAAACACCAGCCTGAAGATGACGAATGGGACTTCGTCGAAACGTCGCCAAGACACTTCCAATTTTACGCGGGAGAAAACCTGAACAACCAAAGACCTACATATATATATATATATATATATATATATATATATATATATATATGTAAGAAAATAACTTTTCCCTTTATCATGACAAGTACAATTTCAGTAACATCGTTCTCTCTAATACTATAAAAGTTCTCTTCCTCCCATATCTCATCTCTTATCTATAAACAAATCTTAAAATCTCATTTAATCCTAATCAGCAAAAATTCAGATTTTTTTTACAAATGTTATAATAAATAAAAATTACCAGAGATAATAGCATAACTATTTTAACCTTAATCTAATGACTTAGTTTATATTTTTACTTGTAGCACAGTAACTTATCACTTATCTCTAAAAATACAGATTTCTTCTTTCTCATCCAATCTACAAACAATATTTAAAACCTTGCCATTTTGTCCTGTTCAGCAGAAATCCATTAAAAGTTTACCACAAACAAAAACATATATACTTTAAGCTTGATCATATAAACCAACTTTATTTTCCTTCCTTTGCTTTTAAAATCTTATTTTAAATTTTTTTAATTAGTGTCCCAGAATTCTATTTTTCTGTCTCCTTTCAAAACTTTTGTAAATCCAAAATGAAAAAGTTATCTAAGTCATTCTTTGTTTTTGTTATTTGTATATCAATTTTAATTATAAGCATCTGGCAGATTCATGTGTACGTACGAGAGTAATTCAGAAATAAACCTGTTTGGTTATAATTGACAGACACTCACAGATACAAAACTTTTATTATACACATTAGAAAACTACAATATTACATTATTTTTCAACATAATCACCATTCAAATTGAGACACTTGTCATAACATCTTACAAGGTTAGAAATTCCTTAGTAGTAGTCGCTTGCTGCCAAATCTGGGCTATGGGGGGGGGGAGGTGATCAAAAATATCCCAACGGAACTGCTTCAAAAGTTCTTGGGTGTGTCTAGCAGTGTGCGGGCAACCATTATCGTGAACCAACACAACAGCAGAAGTGGTGCCATAGAAAATCCCACCAAATGTGAAGATGCCAAAGGAGTACTGCTAGTGAAGTTCATGGAGCATGGTTCGACCATCAATTCAGAAGTCTACTGTGAAACATTACAAAAACTCAGACGAGCCATCTATAACAAGCATTGGGCATGCTGACTCCCAATTTGGTTCTGTTTATTGCTCCAAATGGTCCATGGTCTGAAAGATCAGGTTCATGATTTTGGAGTTTCCATTGGCATGCCTCCTGCTAGAACAGCAAATGAAAGCAACAACCAAGGAAGTCTTTTCCCAATTTAGACGGATGCACCAGATAGCAACAGCAATAGCTCTTAGACTTATATACCACTCCACAGTGCTTTATAGCCCTCTGAGCAGTTTACAAATATCAGCATATTGCTTCCAACAATCTGGATCTTCATTTACTGGCCTCAGAAGGATGGAAGGCTGTGTCAACCTTGAACCAGTCAGTACTGAACTCTTGGCTATGGGCAATTAGCCTGCAATACTGCATTCTAACCACTGTGCCACTGTGGCTATGTAGGTGTAGGTTTCCTGAGCCAGTGACTCATATCCTTAACTACATATATTTACATTACTATAATATAGTGATGAGGCTATCTTTGAGAATCACTTGAAAATCACTGTTGGTATAAAATACTAGTTAGACATTTACTGTGGGAGAAACATTATTGCAACATAAAACCTATATTCCCATCAGTGTATTGTCAATAGCTTTTCAAATCCAATTCAAAAAGCTAGTTTTAAATATATAAAGTCTTACATAGCTCAGCCTTGGGTTACTTTAGAAACTTTCTTATACAGATAGATTGTCTGTACTCTACAATTACCAAAGAAGAGATGCTTAAAATCATGGCCCCACCAAAAATTAGGGGATGTGGGCCTGAAGGCAAATATTTATATCCCTTCAAATTTTGGAATATCTTGTTCTCACTTTAGCCTTTTTGCTATTGGTCTTTCTTATTTAAGATAAAATATGATTTTTAATGGTAATGTAGGGCTACCATTTTTATTTGGAATTTTATTTGTCAATAGTATTGTCAGATTTGATATAGTGGATTTTGTTTATATTCTATGTTTCATGGGTTTTATCAGCTTTATGTTTGTAAACTCTCAGAATCATGATAAAAGGGAAACATATGTATATCTAGTGTATGTAATAAATTAATGAAAATACTATTGAAGATATTAATTATACTATAGTATGTGTACACTATAGTACATACTACACACTACAGTATATATTTCCTGCTGGGCACATGTTCATCTAATTACCATAAACTATAAATGAAAAATAAAATGTAATACAGAAAATAGAAATGCAATAGAAAAACTATCAATTACATATATAAAACAATGCAATTTTAAATCCAGCAATCCATCCTTTAACGTACCAATGGCTTCTATATGTTTTGAAATATTTTTCATTCCATAAGATGAATTATAATATTCTTCTGTTCCATTACTAAAATTCTGAAAAAAATATGAAAATAGTAATTAATATAATATAACATAGTAACTCACAGGCATACTGCTTTGATATATATAAAGATGAAAACAATAGGACTTGCTATTAAATTATGATTCAGAATGAAAAAGTCAGTTAAAATGAATTATTCATTCACAGTTTAGAACTATTAAAAGTCTCAGAAAATGTAATAATAAATCTGGATCCAATCTAATATTAAGTGCATTTAAGTCCATTGAAATAGTATGCATACTAACTTTTCCACACCTCTGATACATAACTCTCTACTGATCAACAAAACTCAGCAAACAGGATCTTTCTGAAACATAAGATTTTCCAGCCTTTCCACCTTTCAGAATGATTGCCAGAAAGCTGGCGAAAGCAGCATTTCTAAAGACTAGAAAGACTAGCTCACAGAGGAGAAGACTGGCACTGGAAAAGGAAGTTTGGATTTTTGGGATCCAAGCTTCCTTTTTCCAACCCAGTGTGTTAAGTCTTTCTGATAAGCAATTTCAGGTTATAAAGAAAAACTTTTGGGAACTGATTTAAAACTTCTGTTTAGGGCCAAATATTTAGTAATTGAGTATGTTAATTTTTAAATTCAAAACACTTTATTTCATTTCCAAAGTTTTCATACACTGACTATTGAATAAGTGTTGAATTTTTTTAAAAAAAGCTTTTTTCTATTCAAATATATTTCAATTTTTATAAGATAAACTAACATTTTTCTGCATCTACTTAGAAAAAAGGATATTTTCATATTTACCTGAAAGAAACCCTCATCCCGTGTACTTGTTTGTGGTTTGACTGCAGATACCTGGGTGTTACTCAGTCTTGGTGGTACAAACAATTTAAATTTAAAAGATTTCTCTTCTTCTTTCTCATTCTAAAAAGACACCAGGCTCAAATCTCAAAATAACATTTAGCAATGTTTTATGCTTTATTGCATATATTGTATCAGGTTGCTTCTCTTTGCACTTTTCATACTCTGCAGATCAGTATGAGCTCTTATACAATCAACTATTAGATAGTAGACTAATATTGCACAGTAGGCTAGAATTATTGCTACTTAATAGTTGGGATAAAAAATTAAGAAAATATATATTGCTTATGTTTAACAGGAAAAAAGCCAATTTCAATTAAACAAACATCCATGAGGCAATGACATAGACTAGGATCAAACATATACATAGGGATCTTAGAACATAAGATCATAGTAAGCCACTTTTCTATGAGATACATACATTTAGTTATACTATCTCCTTAGTTAAGAACCTCCGTTTAGACACTTTTGAATTGCCTAAATATGTTCTTTTAATTTTTTAATACAAAACATTTTTATTTCTAATCTAGTGTTTTATTATACTGAATTTTTATTATTATAATTCAAGTTAAGAAAAATGTTGTTTTACCATGGATGTTTTCATTGTTGATTTATTTTTGTAAACCACTGGAGTCTCTGGCAGATTCAAAAGCATACAAATGCAATAAATTAACAAACATAGAAATAAATGATAAAATGTTTAGCTGGTGGTGTTAAAGCTATTTAGAAAGTATTTTTCTGGATAAAGTTGATTTAATTTTGCATAGGTTTCATTAGTATATATGAAAAGTCTCCACGGGATTGCTATTTTTTTCTGGATATTTTAATGAAGGATATTATGGTGCCAATAAAATAGAAAAGTAGAAGTCCAAGGTTTTCAAATTCAACAAAACTGACTTCTGGTGAAACAAACAAAAAGGATATAAGACCACAAAGTCTAAGCATTATCTAGAGGGGAAGAAGCAAGTACAAAAACCTATTTTAAATCAAAATATAATAATAAAACTGTCAAGAAATGATGAATTTATAAAGTGTTTATTTAAAGTATAGTAACAGGACAGTAACTAACCATAGTTATTTACCTGTAAATGGCTCCCAATAAATTCAGAAACTTTTGTATCAATATGTTTAGGAATACGTGTAATGTAAACAAATGTACTTCTTTTCTACTTATCTACATTTCTCTCCTCTTGCTTTACTCTCTTCTAGGACATGGGTTTCTAGATCAATTATCAATCTCTCATCATTTTGAAAAGCTCATTAGCATAAAAATAATGTTTAGGTAATACTTTAGTCTGAAACAGTGTGTCATTTGTCAACATTATTGATGAAACCAAATGTACATTTTACATTCCAACGACAATGAATGCAAATACCAAATAGTACTTTACTAATATCAAGTTTAACTTGATAGTTTATGCATTTCGCTATTAATTGGCATATTCAAGTTACAATAGCGATCAAATATTTTTATTGTTAAACATTTCTTTTATAGTGCTATAACATCTATAACCTAAAAGCTCTAAAAATACTCTAAAATCATGCATAAAGATCACGGGTATAGGATCCCGTTGTCAGCCACGATAAAATGTTACTCTCGAATACATCACACGTTAAGCCAAGTGACCAACGGAGGTTGCGAGGCGCTGAGAAAGGGAGATGGAAATACAGCTCTTAGGCCAGCTCAGGAGAGCCGTGCGTGAATGGATTATTACCTCAAACAGCAGCACCGAGAGCAACGACCCAAGCACTGAAGGAAATCAAGAGGAAAAAGGCGGGAAATAAATCGATCCAGAGTCGTGTGCAAAAGCGCGAGCCGCAGATCTACGGTTTAACGCCTTTTGCTTGAAGTTAATTCAGGGGGGAGAGAAGGGGGCAGGGCGTCTGCCTAAAGATAAAGAATGGTCGGTATCTCGTTAATCAGAAGATCATTTGGCCGCCTCGTAGGTTTATTATCCTCCCGCGATCCTTTCCGAACAGTTGGCCCCGGTCTTGTTGATGAAGACAACCCGAAGTCTTCACAAAAACCTAAACTGAGAGCGATGTAGCGAATTGGACTCAACATTGTGATAAGAACTGGGGGAAAATACGTTAGACAGAAGAAAGAACTGTGGCTTCGCAAACAGATGGCCGTCCCAAATTCAGTTCTGAAAAGCCGCCGATAGCTAGTCAGAATTAACTACCTTTCAGATGAGTAAGGCTACTCAGCATTCGCAAATGGTGTAAAGAAATTAATCAAGGTCTCGCCACCACTTGCATCTAGAAACGGAGCAAGCCGATTTCATTGACGCCGAATTGGGAAGCATTAGAGAATCTGCGCGCAGCCAAATCAGACAAGATAACGAAGATATGCAGTGAATGTTTTTTCTACCAACAAAAAGAGTAATTAGGTGGTATTTATTCGCAAAAATTTCAACTGGGGACTAACGGAACCTCAAAGTACCATCCAGCAGCAGTTTTCTGTGAAAGTAGAATCACAAAATGTTCTGCCCTTGGTCTGTTTTATTTCTTCCAGATTTTGAAATAATACACTTTAAATTAGAGGACTACTATTTTAAACGTGTATTTTAGAAATAAAGATTTCTGACCCAATTAAGCATATAAAATCAATTCATTTGCTGCAGAAAATCAGACCGATAGTGCATTTATTAGACTTAAATATATACCTGAAAAATATTGCACTAAACAAAATTAAAAATATTAGATTTATATTCAGATGTCATTTACACAATATTTTAAATATGAATAATAATTTTTACATGCAAATATATCTCCAATATAAAACAGCAACATTTTAAGATATATTGAAAGTTACAATAATAGAAATTATCAGGAAACTTCAATTGAGTAATTATATAAAATGAAAAGTTAGGGAAAAATTAATCACAATATTAATATAAATCATTAATACTAGTCAGAATTACCCTCCAGTATAAAATCCACACAGATGGCAGTGTCTAGCCCAGTGGTGGCAAACCTATGGCACAGGTGGGAGAGGCGGCACTCAGAGCCCTCTGTGGGCATGCACACTATCGCCCCAGTCCTAGGCGTTCAGCTGGGTTTTATAAAACCTTTTCGCTTTAGGCCTCTGCCGCCGTGTGCAAAAAAAAAAAGATTCAATCAGTCAATTTCAACTCGCGGGAAAAAAAGATCTTGCAAAGTTGGAATTGATTGATTGAACTTTTTAGTCCCACCAAGTCTGCCTTACCACTTCAGCCACACCCACCCAATGGGCCACACCCATTCGGCACTCCATGATGCATAAGTGGGTTTTGGGTTGCAGTTTGGGCACTCAGTCTCTAAAAGGTTCGCCATCACCGGTCTAGCCAAACATGACTGATGTTAATAAAGCGTAAGCAGGATGGAACCTGCTTAGTTCTTGGATGGGAGACCAGAAAAGCCCCAGTGAAAATAACATCCCAGAAGAATGCAGTAACTGAAAACAAATCCCAAAGGAATTTAGTGACAAGACACTTCCATTTACTGCTGAGAAAGAAATATTGTGGTCCACAATAGTCTCCAGGAGTTAAGTTCAACTCAATATTTTTTTTTAATTTTATATACAGTATCCTTTTCAAATTCACTGGAAATCTTGGTTGTATTGAAATGAAGTTGTATTTAAACTTTCAGTGGAATACACAAAAGTTGGCATTTCAGTTATAAAATATTCTTCTAAAATGGTCCATCTACAGCATGACTTCACACAGGTGAAATAATGTTAATAAATGTTAATATTTAATTATTATAAATATTCACTTTGGCAAATAAGATTAATTATAATGGATGTGAATGACATGGCTTGGGGACATGCATATATATAAAATGGGAAATTTAATCAACATTTATGCAGTGTATTCAGATAAGTTACAGATTGTAATATTTGCAAGGTCAATACATTTGCAGTGTCCATGTATGCTGGACTACAGTATAAAACATTCTATCTATAACCACATTTTATTTCTTTATTTCATGAAATAGAATAATGTAAGTACTAAATTAAGGGCTAATCTATATCCATATGGAAAATCAACCCACCTGTTACTAGAGGTCTGAATGGCTCATATAAAGAACTGAATGCATTATGACAACTAACAATTTAAACAGTTTTTTTTACATATGTCCTTCAGATATGGCAATAACACTGTCAATAAATCATACACATTTTAATATTTTTGCTTATCCAAAAAAGTATGTGGGTGCTTTCACAATACAAGCTAATATTTTGAATAGTCATCATAACCGATTTATGAACTATAAGCCATTTAACATAAATGATTTCTTAAAATAAAAGTGTAAGAATTAAGGAACAGCATGTCTGAGAAAAACTTCCTTGTAACAATTCATATAATTAGCAATTTTTTAGTGCAAGTCCCACATTTCACAAAGTAAAGAAGTCAACTTAGGATCCCTTGTTCTCCAAGTTACTAGTACTTCTGAGTGGTTATGATTAAGTGTTCTGAGTTCAGTGAGCCGCCCTATGAGACGGGCAAAATGTTGCGGTTCTTCAGGATGATAGATTTTTGAATATTTGTACAGAATTCCTAAAAAAGGTTCCTGGAGTTTTTCTACATGTTGCTTGTTTTTTAGGAGTGGACGATCTGAAAAATATGAACATGATTTTTACATAAAAATACATATGATTTTGTGTAAAATAAATAACGTGTATTATTTTGTATTACTATTTTGTGTAAAATAATAACCACTTGAACTGTGGTTAGGATATTTCAAAATTACAGAGCAGCTAAACCCAACATCAGCTTGCCTATCTTTATGACAGAATGCCAGCTACCAGGCAATATCAGAAGACAGCTACCAGAAGACATGTTGGATTCTTTAGTAGAAATCATGTTTTGTATGAGAATACTACTGTATATATTCTTGTGCTATTGGCTATAGATTTCCCAGAAATCTCTTAGGCCCATTCAGGTTTTTACACTAATGTTTCTGCTAATTTCAGCAGAATAGGGATAATATGGTATTGTACCTTTAAAAAAATAAATCCTTAATTTGGAAGAAATCTTATCAAATGTGTATTAAAATATGGAAAAACTATAGTAGTCCTAAAAGGGAAAAATAAAACTTCTGTTCTCATTTTTAAAATTTGAACTTTAAGTAATTGCTAAAATTACCTGAAAAATACACAGTAGTTGCAACAAGTAATGCATATTCTGTTGCGGTCACATTAAGTTCTCCCATGCTTCTGTAGAAATAAAATAATGCAGTGATAAACTCCTCAGTTATACCTATAAAAACAACAGAAAATATCAGATGATAGCTAAATAATATATCATTGATTCATTTTTAAAACAAATATTGGGTTAAATATAAATGGGTAAAATTCATTCAGAAACGTTTTTGTGAGGAAGTTTATTGGCATTTTAAATGTTAATTGTGGTAGACACAATGGGTGTAAGAAAGAATAGTGTTAGAGGAATCAGAATGGTGGATAAATTAATCAGGGAAAATTAGTATATTGAGAGAAAAAAAGGCAAAAGTAAGACTTTTAAAACTTAAATAAAAAGCTTAAATGAAAAATGAATAAGCAAACTATTTTTAAAAATGTAAAACACAATGGGTTCTCCAGATAGTGAATAAGAAGAAAAATATTCCAAAGTTAAACTTGAGAAAAAGTAATGGAGATTCTTCGAAGTTATATGAACATAAAATAATAACAGCCATACTGTCCCCTCATCCACTATCATGGGAAGAACAATAAAAAAACTACTAAATAGTTTATTAATTACATAATGATAAGAACAAGAAAAAATATTAAATAGTTTATTAATTGTATAACAATAATTTTGTCAGTAAAAAAGAGTAGATCATGGAACATATTAACACAGTGATGGCAAACCTTTTAGAGACTGAGTGCCCAAACTGCAACCCAAAACCCACTTATGCATCGTCGAGTGCTGGGTGGGTGTGGCCCATTGGGTGGGCGTGGCCCATTGGGTGGGCGTGGCTGCCATGGTAACGGCAGACTGGGTGGGACTAAAAAGTTCAATCAATCAATTCCAACTTTGCAAGATCTTTTTTTTTCCTGCGAGAAGTTGAAATTGACTGATTGAACTTTTTTTTTTTTTTTTTGCACACGACGGCAGAGGCCTAAAGCGAAAAGGTTTTATAAAACCCAGCTGAAGGCTTAGGACTGGGGCGACAGCGCACATGCCGACAGAGAGGGTTCTGAGTGCTGCCTCTGGCACCCATGCCATAGGTTTGCCACCACTGTATTAACAATTGGGGTGATGAACTATATGAGAAACAAGGGTGTGAAATAAAAAGGAAACATTTTACAAAGCAAAATAGGCACTAGAAAAAAAGGCAAATAAAGATTGAAGTGGCTAAAGATGATTCCAGGCTTCAAAAAAGTAAAAATGTACATGGTGGTATCAAAATACTAAATCCAAATAGTGAATTGGATGAAATCAAAAACATGACAGGGAGCTAGATACTTCACTATTAAAAATTCAGTAGAAGAATTTTCAAGATATTTTTGTTACTTTTCTGAAACTAGATATATTTAAATTAAATAATTATTTAGTCATTTATTAAATATATCACAAGGCCCAGTTACCTGTTGTACTAGTAGATGTTGGACTTTCTTCTGTATGAGACATTTCTGTGGGATAAGCACTTTTATTTTGGCCACATAGAGTATGATCAGAAAATTTTATATGATCTACAGTAAAGAACAAAATAACCAAATATTCTTTTTAAAATATTTTTAACAGAATAAGTTGGATTACAAAAATATTGCTTAATACAATGTTAGAGCAAAGGGTTATTCAAAAGAAAGGGCACTGATGGGACAAGCTTTATAGCAAGCATTGGGCCACTTCATTATATACATAAAATAAAAATGCTATTATTAAAACTTACTTTCATTAAATGGTATCTGATATTCAATCCCTTGTTCATTGTATAATTGTGCTGAGCGTAAAAACATGGCTTCAATTGTAGAACCTTTTAATAGTGCAATCTGATCATCATTGGCTAAGCTTTCAAATCCTATAGTATAAAAAAAAGGTAAATTTAAACTAAGGATAATTTACCATTTACTTACCTTTTCTGAAAAAAGTTTTTTTATTTAAAAAATGAATCAGATTTGAAGACTCTAATTCTATGGTCTGGAAAGATATCTCAAGGATTTTTTTAGATTCCATCTCTTAAGTTTTTACAGCCTCAGGTATGAAAATTGTTGCTGGAAATGTTCTGCTTTCCCATCATAAAAGTTCTATGTTGGAGAGATCAAAGGGGAGGGGTGTCCATGAACTTTCCAGAGCCCAGCAATATTCTTCACTTGTAATTGAAAGAAGGAAAAAAGAATAGAAATTACTTCTCAGTCCCACTTAGCCAATAGGAATCATCCAGGGCTGTAGTAATCTTAGAAGCTCTGATACTGAATGCTGTGACAATCTAAATAGGATCATTGCAGATATTTCAAATATTTTTAAAATTATTGTGCATTGAAAAAATGTAAAATGGCAAGTTGCCTATGTAATTTTATATTGTAGCTACCGTGTTTTCCCGAAAATAAGACCTACCCCAAAAATAAGCTCTAGCCTGATTTTTGAGGTGGGCTTACGAATGGGAGGCTTACAACCCAAGCAATTCGCTCCGTCTCCAAGCACTCTATTTATAAGCAGATGAAGGTTCCAGCCGTAGAAGTGGGCCAACAGTGATGCGGGCTCCTGCTGTATGGGGCTGTTGGTGCTGCCGCCGCAAGGCAAAGCAGGTATCGGGAAAAAAATAAGACATCCCCTGAAAATAAGACCTGCCTCTTTTGGAGGCAAAAAAAATATGACCAGGTCTTATTTTCGGGGCAACATGGTACTACATAAACTTTAAATGTAGAGTTGAAAGGAATTCCAAATACTTAAGAAGTTTATGAATATGCCAGGGGCTACTGATTTGCACAAAGTGGAAAAGTAGACAGTATCACTGCCATGATCAAAGCACCAGAAGAACATGCAGATTCAGCAGTAGGTTAAAGTTGGCCAGGCTCATTGAAATGGATAGGGATGGCACATATTTAAACTCATTTTGATATCTTTGTCTACTTTGGGCCCCATCAAATATCTTTGACCAGAAATATTGTTTTGCAATATATCCTGGGCCAATAATTATAAAAAGCATAATCCATAAAATATCAAAAAATGGGGAATGCTAATTAGATCAATTAATGGTGCTTTCAGTTGGGTCCAAACTTATTCTTGCAATAGAGCAGTAGTGTCCAGAAAAAGTGTTGAAAAGTCAAGACAGCAGCACAATTGAAACTTTTTAAAATGCATTGATACTGCATATATATATATATATATATATATATATATATATATATATATATATGTATGTATGTATGTATATGTATATGTATATGTATACTGTATATATAAAGGGATGTGGCCTTGTTTACATTGCCATAAGCACTATCTCGACTTTTTTGAATGCCCTATCAATGCCAGTAGAGCAGATGCATGGTATCAGTGACAATTTAAGATCTAATGGCCAAAATGTAGATAGGCATTTTAATTCCATAGTATTAGTAGTGGCAATTTGCAGGAACAAAAATAAGTGGAAGACAGGACAAACAGCTAGAATGAATACAGAACACGATGGTAAACACATGGGCAGAAAAGAGTTTGGATAAGATGTTCAAATTGATTTGGAAAAAAGTCTTTACATGTTTTCAGATTTTTGATGCAAATTGTTTATGCAGGCAGAAAACATATTTTTTTCAAATAAAACAAATGTGCATGAAGTAAGTAGTTTGCCACTGTGCTTTAGGACGTTTTGGTAATTTCTCTCCTTCCAAATCCAGTTATCCAAGTGCTGCCACCAGGGCCATAGAGATTAAATTGGTATAAAGTAATATACCCGGTTAGAACATATTTTGAGTCAGCTAAATAGATTGATCAGAATTAGTTTGTAAAATGATGTATTAAAAAGTATTTACCTGGGAGTCTTTTTGTAAAATCTACTAGGATATGCACATGAACCATTGCTGTTTCCGAAAGACGTAGAAAATTCTCTTCAGGATTAGCACTTTCCTGTAACTAATTAAAATATTTAAAATGAGCCTATATGCCATTTAAACTTGGAATACCACATTTCTCAAAAAATAAAGGTAAAGGTTTCCCCTTTCCACTTGAGTCCAACTCTAAAGGGCTGTGCTCATCTCCATTCCTTAGTCAAAGGAGCCAACATTGTCAAAAGACATTTCCATGGTTATATGGCTGGGGGGCTTAGAACACTGTTATCTTTACTTTCCCACTGAAGTTGTATCTATTTATTTTCTTGCATTTCCATGCCTTCAAACTGCTAGGTGGGCAAGAGCTGGGGCAAATAACAGGAGCTCACCCCATTGCTTGGTGGTTGGGTCTCAAACCCAGGCTATCAGCTTGCCAACTGACGAGCTCAGAGTCTTTAACTGCTGAGCTATCATGCCCTTCTCAAAAAAAAATCTTGGTAATATTAATTTATAAGCACATACAAACTTTTTTGCTTCCTCCATTGGAATTGTGCATTTTTGGTGAGCAGCCAATATATGATCAATGAGTTCATGTTCTGCAGGAGTAAATTCCATTCTCTCCTGGACCTTTGAAAAAAAAGTAGGCTTTACTTCAATGCCAAATACTATAATTAAATTCAATAATAAAAATATGAAATATGACTCTACTTTTAAAGGTTTGGTTGTAGAAGATACATGCTTGCTGTCCATTCCCTCGTCTTCCATTTTGATGTTGCAAAGGAAACTACTTTTTTTTCTAAGTCGTTTTGATTTACATTGGACTTCAGTTAGCAAACCTATAAGATTTTATACCAAAATTCATAAGCATATTTAAGAACTATGTTGATATTTAAGTTAAGTTGTAAAATATGTGGCACTTTTGTAAACCACATAAATTGAAATTGTATTAAAAATTACTGCATTTGATTAATTTATTCTATTCCATGATATACAACTTATCAGAAATGTTCTTAAGTAGCACATCAGAAACAAGAGAAAAGTAGTTTTGGCACTCACATTCAGCCAGCATTCCCATAGCTTTACATTTCTTTAGGCGACATTCCTGACACTTCCTCCTCATATACATATCCATTTCACAATGACCTCCACTCTTGCATCTGTATATTGCATTTTTGGTGATGCTCCGTCGAAAAAATCCTTGCAACAATTATTTCAGATTATGACAAATAATAAAGAAACTATACATCATCAACTTACTGTACTTCAATTTGTAGTGTTCAATATACTAAGGTAATATATTGCAAAAAAAATAGCATGTTAACAAATAAGATAACACTTTTTTTACAAATCTAAAACATAATTTCTTAAAAGCAAATGAGTTCCATTGAACTCAAGGGGTCTTACTTTTGAATTACATGGATATTATAAGTAAGATATGATAATATTGTCATTAAGGTAATTATTTACAATTATGCTATATAGCTTACAATGATTTATAACAAGTTAGATTTTAAATAGCTTAGAAAGGCCTACCTATCCCCTCACCATCACCACATGAGTAGATTAGGCTGAATTTCTGAGAATGTTTATTAAAAACATAATCTGAAAATTATCTGATATTTCCCTCTCAGTACAAATGTTCACACACACCCCTTGAAGTTCAGTAAAAAAAATTGCTTATTGAACTTCAAAGGTGATGTAAATTTGAACACTTGCATGTCAATACTAGGTCTGATCAGCACAACTGGCAGGGACCAGATTGCTGAAGATTGTATCAAGGGGGAAATATCAGAAACCTCCAGATTAATGTTTATTTATCTTCAATATGCTCATTTATTTTCTGAATAGCCGCCAAATTCCTGTTTTTGATTTTTTACTCCTGCAGCTCTAATACCATTAAACTGTCTAAAGGCTTCTACTTTCACCAATTATGTCATTTCCAATTGAATAGAACATAATTTACTTCCTATAACATACTTACAATTCCAGCACCAATTTCTGCCCATTATCTTCTTAACTCATCTCCAATATTTTGAATAATAAATATTTGGCACCACATTCTTAAGCCTTTCATATGCCAGTCCCACTTAAGATACAATATTATTTTCTTATTACCTTTACAGCCTTCACAGGTGAGCGCATTGTAATGATATCCTGAAGCCTTGTCTCCACAGACTACACAGAGCTCTTCTTGCCCTTTTATTCGTAAGGCAGAATGATTAAGCCTAGGTCGTTTCTGTCCAAGGTGTCCTGCCCCATCATGATGGGCACCCATGCAGGTGGGTTTACTGAATTCACAATTATTGATGATGTATTGGCCATCACTGAACTGAGAGTCCAAACTATATGAATTGTAATGAGTCTGTGGAGATGGTGTCTGTAATACTGGAGGGAACTGAACAGTTGAATATTGGCAGTAAGGAGCAGCTTGGAAATCAAGATCTTGCACTGGATAACTGATATGGTCTGGTAAGACATCTGGTTTATTTTGAAAAAAATCACAATTTAGAATTTGACATGTTTAATTGTAAACTATTGTAATATTTCTATATCTAATTAAAATTTTGCCATTTGATTAAAAAAAAACCTCTGCATCGGAGTTACATATGAGCAGTGAAAACATAAGTTTATTTATTTATTTATTATCAAATTTATTTGCCACCCATCTTGTATCCAATGACTCTCATAGTTGAAGTTAACAATATAGAAAACACATTCCAAGAGGAAAGTTTTTTTTAAAAAAGGAAGAAACTGAATGAATGAAATTTCATTTTATAATGACCAACTGGAAATTAAGCATATTGCTAGAATTATTTTCAGATTTGGAATGTGCTTTTAGAAACTACTGTAAACAATACATCCTTTTCTGAAGAATTCATTTTTATTATTATTTTTAATTAAAGTAAGCTGAATTTTACAGTACAACCATTAATATATTTACTCTAAAACACTTGCCCCTTCGTAACCATTCTTGTGGTTGTATAATCAATTTTCCCAGGAACACTGTTCTATTGAAGGGCTATGGGAAGAGAATCTTCTGTTTAAAGGTGTCCTATACTTGAAGGAGTCCCCAGTGACTTAAAGAATATAATCCAGGAAGGACCTTGATATTGATATTGAATAAGATCTGGAGGATAATGCAGCATTTTAAGTACAAAAAATGACATTCATAAAAGATTTTAAGAAGAATTAATGCCTTAAAATATTCACTGAATTCATCATTTGAAGAACTTTCATGATCTTTGAATCTTTCTTTGAATTGAATGTGTATTGGGAGGAAGGGGGAATTTATTTTTGACTCCCTCAAATCTAAAATGGCATCCCAAATAACATTTCAATATTCTTCTTATATGACCCAGAACATGTATTTAACAATTGCAGAAATTCTTGTTTTTACTAACACACATATTTTATTGGTAATTTCTCTTTTTTACTCACCATAATACTGTATTGGCTCACTAAGGCAGTATCCATCAGATACTGTTACAAAGGTATTTGCCATGTTCCCACTGCTTCATTCAATATGGATATAATTGTCCTTTCAAAAAAAAAAAAAATCAGACCTGAGGAAAAGGATTGCATTTAATTATTTTAAAGTTCAAGAGCCAATGTTTGCTGCAAAAATGAAAGCTTTCTAAAGCAATTTATAGAGATAAAATATGCTGAAAAAAGAAATGGAAAAAGCAATCCTTTGAAGGGCTCTAAAGGAAAACAAGAAAGTCCAGTTGCCTCATGAAAAAGCATCTTTGAGGTTCTAAAGTATAATTTAGTCAACCAAATACATTTGATTAAAATCTTTATCAGGCCTCCATTGAAAACTGTTCTGTGTAAATTTTGTGTGTGTGTAGATGAACTATAAGAACATCATTTCATTGCAAAGTAAGCATACAGCACACACAGCATGTTGTTTTGTTACATGTTGCCTGTAAAAGTTTAAACCAAGTATGTTAGAAATATAATTTATGTAATATAACTTATTCTTGTTCTTCAAGAAGACCTCTTTCCACACAATCCCTTTCTAATAAATTCCCTTCTCAAGTCATGCTTATAGGTTTGGTATTTTATGATTAAGGGTTTGGTATTTTATGATTCTTGGAAACCTCTATCCCAGAAATTCTGCTGCTAAAATTTGGTAATAAACTTACTAATACTGACATGGGTCATAAGGGTCTCGAATGGAATTGATATTTTATAGCGTAATGTGCCTAGTTTCCTTAAAAAAAAACAAAAACAACAGACCACTCATGGCAGTGGTAGCAGATAAACAATTCTACCTCCTCCCATTCTGGTGATGTTATCCAATCTTTAGATGCCTGATATTAGCTATCAGAGAGAAAGAAAAAGAGAGAAAATTAAACACCCTGGTCACAATAATTTTTAAAACTGCCACAGGAAATGGAAAAGGCCAACATAAGTTTAATTTGGAAGTTAAGAAAATATCCTGGTTAACATTCCTATACTTAGAAAAAAATCACCATAAAGCCTGAAAGAAACAAAAATGCTAATTATATATACAGAATATAAAAGTAAGACTTATAAAGGATAAGAACTTGAAAATAATTTTGAGAAGGACTGAGAAGTAGAAAATTAGATTTCCTGGCAGCACAGCAGATTCTCTCTGTTCAAAGAAAGGTAATTCTCAAATTGCTATCCAAAGTTCTCTAAGTTCTAAACAATTTGAAACTTACTATATCATGTAATGCAAAATAATAGCTGCTACATCTTAAAAATAATTACAGCAAAAGTTTGGATTTTATTCTTTGTATTATTTATTCAACTAATCATTAAGGTCTTCAATGTTAGATTTCAACTGACCAGATTAGAATCTGAAATTAAAGAAAATGTGTTGTTTTGTGTCAGTATATCAACTCTGTTGTTTGTAAGGAAATAGAGGGTGAGATTTTAAATGTAGCATATAATTCTTTATTTGCTTACTAGTTCTTTTTATTAAAATATTATAATTTGACCACTATCAGAAATATTTCATAGTTGGTTACAGTTCAAAAGAAACATAGAATAAAATACTAAAGTAAAATACAAATAAATAACACTTTAAAAGCTTGAAGCAACTATAATCATTATACATATAGCAACAGACATTTTAGAACCTCTAAAATGTTCCAGAAAGTAGACTCATTGGCACATACCAGAACCAGATTTCAAATTGTCTTCAAGGGCAAAGCCACACAAAATTGCAGCAGTTGAACTTGGCATTAACAAAGTATTGATTACTGTGTTTGGACATCCCTGTCCAGAAAAGCTTGCAGCACCTATAAGGAAGACTTATGTGACTCTAATTTGCTAAATTAATGTGGCTGCACAAAATAATATAATTTGGTATAACTGCTCAAGTAATTCTAGACGTCTATAGTCTGACTTTTGTAAGAAAGGAAGACTTATATATTTGATGGAAATTAGAGGAACAAACTGAAAAACTGGGAAATTTTATCTTAGGAAAATTAATAGATAAAAGGCCCAAAGGACAGAGAATAATAAAAAAAGTTGGGAATAACTGAGAAAAAAAAATCTGAAAAAAGAGTCAGGTAATAGTAAGAACAACTTCACAAGCTTAAATCAGGAGAGGCTATATGCTATGAAGAAAGGAGATGGATGCTGGTGTATTTTTATTGTTTGGATCACAGAATCGTATTGGATCACAGAATCGTACAGTAAAATGCTGTTACTTTTGCTATGTTTTTTTAAAGATTCGATTGAAGATTAACAAAATATCAGATTTTTTGAGTTTCCAGAGGTTTTCTTTTCCATCAAACAAAATGGATAAGGTAAAGAAACAAATAGAAAGGAGGAAGAAACTAGCTGATGTTCAAATAGTATAATTGTTTCTTCAAATCGATCAATTCTTTTCTCCATAAGATTCTACTATAGGATTCATGGCTTGCAGCTCAGAGGTTAGATGTGATTACCACCTTCAGTGCAAACACCAAAGGCTCTCCAATAGTTGCCATAAATTATACTTTTAGTGTGACTGGAGGAAAATACATAAATATGCAGAGATTCATCAGATTAGCCATAGTTAATGTAATTATATTTTCAATTATGTATAAGTTGAATCAAATTTAGGTTTTATCCTAGCTCAGTGGTGGCGAACCTATGGCACGAGTGCCAGAGGCGGCACTTGGAGCCCTCTCTGTGAGCACACGCACCGTCTCCCCAGCCCCGCCTCCTCCCACAGCTCCCTCACCAGCAGCCTCCCCCGGAGGAGAGTTGCCCCTGGGTGTGGCCCACACAAAGCAGCAGAGCCAAGGACATGGTAGCTGGGCAGCGGGGTTGCACGCAGATGCTGCAGGGCACAGGCGGAGGGCATGGCTGCCATTGCACTGCTGTGCTGCCCAGATGATCTGTGGCATGCTGTGGAGGTGATGGGTGGGCAGGGTGGAGCGGGGACGGGGGTGGGGGGGCAGTTTTTGGGCACTCAGTCTCTAAAAGGTTCACCATCACTGTCCTAGCTCAATTTATTTTCATGGGCCCATATTTTTTTGAAATGTGAAGCTTGACAAATTACTCAAAGGCCACTTTTATTTTTCAGACTAAAAGGAAAAAAAATGAGAAGTGGACGAGGAACAAAGAAATTTTTTGTCTTGGTTCATTGTGACCTTAAAAAGAAGCCCAGAATCTTGTTTCCATTATCAACAAACTTTCCATTATCCATTATCAACAAACTTTCTGCGATGTATTTATTACAAAATTGGACAAATTGTCTTTTTAACAAGTTTTTACTTTGGATTTGGCCTGCCTAAAACAAGGAATATTATATAGGAACTTTTTTTAATGTTTCACTAGCAGTTCCATTTTTAAAAATCAAAATATCATTTATGACAGGCTGAAATGATGGAATAAGAGCACAGTGTTTCAAATGGAGACTATCTAGAAGATGAGACTATCTGGAAGATGACTATGTTGTTGGTTTTTAGAGAATTTTTTAATTCTACTTTAGGCCTTAAATTTGAATCCCTAATTAAAAATAATCACAGTTCTGGGTTTATATATAGTAATAAATGGTTGTTAATTTAAAACAGAAGCAAGTTTACAAATACAACTAATAGCTGTGCCAGAAGAGAAAGAGATTAATTAATTGATTGGTTTGGTGTGTAATTGTAAACCATAGCTGACCATTGTTTTTAAGTTTGTGTTTAATTACCAATCTTGTCTATGCATTTGTGGCAAAACCGAAGTAAATATAAGCATCCTTTTTCTGAATATCTGGGAGTAGAATGGATGGGTGGAAAGTAAGGAGCTACTTTGTAATTCTTCCACAATCCAAATACTTTGCAGTAAGTAGCAGGGACAGCCTTCAAAATACTGAATTTTAGATCAATATTTTGCCAGTTAAGAAATTTATGCTGTGTTTGTAATGGCAATTTGAACAGTTGGCATAATTGACATTGTATCAGTTAACAACTATTTTAAAATAGATTCCTCTGGTCCATGAAACAGCATAAAAGTGTGCTACAATAATGTACTCTATTACAACAGCTGAGCTCTAATCTTGACGAATAACAAGCCAGTGAGTAGTGCTCCTCTTACAAATTTAATGTAAAACAAGTCAAAGCAAATTGTTGATTTCCTGCCAGTAGGAAAAAAAAAAAACATTGCCCTGTTGCTGTCTCTGTTGGTGGGCTTAATCTGAGACAGGAGGTGAGTTTTGATAGATTGTTCAACTCATGGCTTTAACATTCTGTCAAATTATGATCCATGGAATTGATAGAGGAAAATAGGACAGGTCCTTTACCAAAGCCATTGCTTACCCCATACATCACTTGAACAGTCTACTTTACAGTATTGGGCAACTTCCATATACTCAACCCAACGGATCACGTCCCAAGAAATAAACAATTTCCCAGTAAATCACACTGGGTTATTATCTGTGTCATCCAACTCTCATGGACCATGGGATGGTTGACCGGGAAGGTTCATCTTTTCCCCTACTTCTTTTTCTACCATCATGGTTTCAAGCCCCGAAAGGAGTAGGGGAAGGAATAGGAAAGAGAAATGAAAGGGTACAAAAAAAGCTAGGAAAGGAGAAAGAAAATTGTCATCTTGAAAAACACCTTGAAAGAAAGCAAATTGCAAGGCACCGTAGCACTGTCTTAAACGGAGAGAAGTTATCTAATGTTTATGAAGAATTCCCTCAGACACTAATACTTACTGTACAAACTGCCTGTCAGGGGCTTTTCTTTCTGCATGTATCTAGCTGTCATACATGGGACCATTAGATCCATGTAATTATATAGCCTGTATAATTCTTGATTGTTGCTCTGTGAACCATATTCATCACACAGGCAAGGAACTGGATACCTGACACTTCCTGCTGCCCAAGCCAAAATAGCTTTTCTTTGGAAATTGATTCTCCAAGTAATATTTCCATTCTGCATAATCTTCTTAATAAATTTTTATCTAACTTTCCTACATTGTTTCTGAGTCCATGAAAGATTTACTTTTGATTTTGATTTAAAGGCAATTAAAGCTACCACTAAACCTGTAGTGGCTAAATGGAGAGATCTCATGCATGAGGAGAACAAGTGCCACAGAGTCTCTCTTCCTACTCCACCCCTTATTCTCCTGTAATATAAGTCCCAGAAATCAATACTAGAGCCAGGTGGCAAAGCTGATATGGGGAACTAAACTGGGACAGGGAAAATTGTGAAAAGTTATCTCTTGCTTTGCCATCAAAGGAAACATTTACTGGCATTTCTGCATTTGTAAGTAGGGTTCACAAAACAATGGCTTTAAATTTGCTTTAAGTCAGTGGTTCTCAACCTGTGGGTCGGGACCCCATTTGGGGTCGAACGACCATTTCACGGGGGTCGCCAAACCACGCTGTCCGCCATTTTTTTGCCTTTTCCCTAGCTGTCCTACTCCCTCTTATTGGTGGCCACACCCACTTGGGGGTCACCACAACATAGGGAACTGTATTATGGGGTCACAACATTAGAAAGGTTGAGAACCACTGCTTTAAGTAAAGATGGATATAGTTGTGATAGGGGTATAGGGTGCAATTGGACATATTCAAGTAGGAAGCTTACAAAATAAAGTCTCTTACAGGTTAAATAGCAGGATCCATTCATTTTCATACAAAGGAAGTCAAATAAAAGAAATTTATTCTACACTAGTCTTAATATTTTAGCATTCAATAGTAATGAATGTTACTAAAAATTTCATGACAAAAATTATTTAATTTTTTGCAAAGATACTGTGCAGCTGTTAACTATTATAAATGGCAATAAAAATGTAATGCTTGCTTTATTACACAATGTAGAGCATAGGCCTCACAGGGGACCCCCCAGGGAGTATTTCAGAATGTTTGAACTGATAGTACATTAACATCTATCGTAAATATTTTGACAGTAGTGTCAAAAGGGAAATTTCTTGACCAGAGAGAATTTTAGGAATTTGAGCTGAAAGTCTTCCTGCATGTCTGTTGTGTACTTATTTCCTGGGAAGAAAAAACTAAGGTTGCAAAACCATCAGATTTGGGCAAAAGATTCAAATCTTGATTTGGAACCTGTCCTAACTCTTTCTTCAGATTGTGATGTACAAAAATAACTGAAACTGTTGCCATTATGTAAACATTTAATTTTACATAGACAACTTTGATTATTTCTAACAGAGTTTAAGTTTTTTTGTGCTTTAGCATTAAAGCTTCATAATGACAACAGAAATATGAAGAATTGATCAATATGTCATCAATAATGTTTTAAGAACTTGTTGTTTTGCATTGTTTAATTACTTTGCTATATTTTCCTTACATGCTATTAAGACTTTTAAAACTTTAAAATATACTAAAATTAAGATTGCTATTATAAAGACACATATTTGGAATGAATTCCTCTGAAGATTTGAGTAATTTGAAATGAAGGAAAATCTACATAGAGAATTATCTGTAGAAATAAAATAAATCTATGTGACCTGTTCTACATGGCAACTACTTTCTCATACATACACACACACACACACACACACACACACACACACACACTTCTTGTATGTAACAGTTTGTAGTGATGAACATTACATACATGCATAAAGTACATCAGCATACACATTTTCTCAAACTTTTGTACATTTAAAAGAGTGCTCAGCAAACTTTGCTTTAAAGCAAATATGTTAACAATAAGGAGTAAATTAACTGAACACATCCACAACTGTTTGTATTCATGACTATACTGCAATACATGTCACATATGAGATTTCTCTTGCTTTCTCTCCATCTAATAATTCCCCAATAATTTTAGTAAAATAGAAACATTATTGCATCCATTTTATATACTCTAAGGATGCTTTCCAGCATACTGAATGTGCTGATAAATAATAGCTATCAAAACCACAGTGGTTAATATGGTCATTATGGTGCCAAATTTTCATATAGGTACTTTTTAACCATTTTTTAAAGTGTTGTCACTGTGGAGAAAAGTAATTATCATAAGTTACCTTTAGAGATGGAAATTATAAGCAAATGAAATGAAAGTGAAATGTTCCAGTGAGAATAAATGGTTGTTTTTCTATTTTGACATTCCAATCATAATTTAGTTTAGATTTTATATTAGGAAGAACATCCCAAAATATTTCCATTGTAACAGATGTTAGTGTTTTCTAAAAATATCTATTTAAAATAGAAATATAAATATTGCCGCCATTTTATTTAATATCACAAAATGTGAGTGTCTACAAGTTGTAATCCCATGTTGTATCTAATAATTCTATTTACCAAAATTAGTTTGCGTATTTCATTGTTGATTTAGAATGGAAAGATGCACAAATTTTCTTTTCAGTGTGTTTAATGAATTATTATTTATTATTAAACATAATATTACTATGGTTAATTTACTAATTCACTCTGTTCCAGAAAATGGAACAGGACAAGCAGAGTAACTTAAAAAATAACTAAATATCTTGTCATTAAAAGACTAGAATGTTCATTATGTCAATGTAATATACCTCAATATCCAATTCTCAAATAATAGGAGACAAGGCAAGTAATTCATATGTGGGTGAAAATTAAATATGTTCCAGGAGTCTTTTCATCCAATGACAACATAGATGATGTGCCCATTAAGTAAAGTTGAAAGCCGTGCTTCTGTAGATAGATAGATAGATAGATAGATAGATAGATAGATAGATAGATAGATAGATAGATGTAGATTCTCACATTCCCATGCTATTTCTAACCAAGAAAATAATGAAAATGAAAAGAAAGTAAAAGCAAATGAATAGCTGAATCTTTCATCATAATTAAGTTCTGCATTTTGAAAGTCACATGACAAACTTGACATAATGACTCTAAAGCATAGCATTTTTTTTAAAAATGGACAATTCTCAGGCATAAGTGAATAAAATTACTTACACCACTTTGTTCCAGGGAACTGTTCTCTTATCGTCCCTCTTTTCAGTCCATCTGGAGCAAAGAGGGTTTTTTCTGTATTTATCTGTTTCTTTGCACTCACTTTGGCTCCAAATGCATTACAGAGCGGCACTTCACTCTATCTTAGAGACACAAGCTTCCCACACAGCCATCCCCAGGGTCAAAGCAAGGGCAGCTGCAAGATCACATAAATCAAACAATAACTGAATCATCAGGGACAGAGGCCATCGGGATCCACACGTCACATTTTCCCAGCAATCTCTGGAGCCAGCTCTCTCAACTTTTCTGTTGTCCTGATTCAAAGTTTGACATATGCTCGTTTTGATTGCTTCACACTGTTAACACTGCACGTTACCAGCACAGACTGACTGTACCTTCTCATGGAAAGGCAAACAGCAAGCAGCATGCAATATAGTGGACAGAATTTAAGGCTAGAAATAGACAAGGCAGGATTCTGACTTCTATTCAGATAACATTGGGCTAATTGTTATTTATTTCACAGTATCATTCAGAGTTGAAGGAGGTGGGGAAATCATCTGTTTCTTTACAATGAACAGAGGATTAAAAATGTAATAAATAACAAAATACTTATTCCTGCCATGCTTTTTTTATAATTATCCTGTCCCATTCATAGATTTTCCTTATACATGTTTGCTTAAACATGGCTTGTTTAATAAGCCACAGTGGGCTAGTTTACACCACACACTAACTTAACATATATTTAAGTCAAACTTAAACATCTTCAAAATGGTTTAGTATGGTATTTTTCCATTTATAGAGTTCTAGAAATAATGTTATCTCCATTTTTAACCCTTCTCTTATTTCTTCTTCTACTTATTTTCTTTTCATACAACTTTCCATCAAAAGATCTTGTTGAAGATAGAATAGATGATTTTCAGTTGGGAGTGTTAGAAACTATATATCTGAAAAAAAATACCTGGTGATATCCATACTAGTTATAGTCACTTCAATGGAGCTGAAATTCCTGACAATACATAACATGTAATGTTCTAGATTTGAGAGAGAGAGAAAGAGAGAGAGAGAGAGATTATTGCATCAATTCTTCATCAAGATGGTCAGCTGTCAACTTATTTTGTGACCCTCATTTAAACTGTTGTTTTAAAACTTAATAATTTAAAATGTTTTGGGGTCAAATACTTTAAAGGACCACTACATAGATATTTATCTCTCTGAACAGTAAAAATTTTCATGGAGTTCCAGGAGGCATGGAGAGATGAAGTAATATAGACTTATCAAGGTGACAGAACTTCTAAGTTAAGATGACACAGAGTCAAAGGTGATGGGTAGAAGTGTGGGTATCTCAATATAGAGAATATATAAGCACTCCCAGCAGAAACAGTATTTCATAATCCAGCAGAAACAGTATTTCATAATTCCTCAAACCATCTCGGTTTGTCTCAAGGTAAGGTCATCTCTGCAAGTGATTCATGTTTCTTCAAATTAATCTCTGTATGTGCTGTAGCTTAGTAATACTGTAGGCAGTGGAGCACCTAGATTTGAAAATGAAACCACTACTGGGTTTGTTATTTGGCATCATGTTTTGTGGTATCATAACTGTTGTCCTACAACTCTGATAGTAAACAGAAATTTATTGCAGTGTTAACTGTGAGCACGCATCATATACTGAAGTTTGATATATGTTTTTGAAAAAATTACTGTCACAGAAATGTCACAATCCTCCTGTATTTCTATAAAAAAATTGAATCTTGGTGAGCATCCACTAAGAGTGGTATGTTCTTAACATTGGTCAACATTCTGAAAAACAGACAAGTCAGGCTGATCATTCAACTGTTTCCGGACACCCTACTGCAGTGTGAATTAATCTGGTACATAGTTGGAAACAAGGCTTTCAATGTACATTTTTGGTGAGAAGAGGAATGTTACATGTGTGCAGAGATGTCCAAACATTTTACAGATGTTTCCATCTGTAAATTGGAGTTTAAATAATTACTTTCAAAATTCCTCTAAGTTAATTATTTTAACATTTAATAGTGCAATAACTTCATTAGTTTTGTGTGTGTGTATATGTCATTTATTATAATGCAAGATTTTCAAATATTTTGTTAAATCAGATTATTATCCCATTTTATTCCTTAATAATTACAAAAGAATAACAATAGGGTGCCAGAGTTAAATCTTATCCAGGTAGATAGATAATCGGAAGCTGAGACTTTATGACATGTTCACCAAAGAAGGGGACTGTTTAAAGAGGGGCAGGAATAAAAATATTCAGTGATTATTTTTTTTGCACATAACACGGGGTCCCTAACCCTTGGGCCACAGCCCACTACTGGGACATGGCCTATTTGGAACTGGCCCATGTAGTGGCATTCCAGCATGCACTTGCGCACACGCAATTTGACTTACATGAGTAGCGGGCCAGCAGCGAGCCACACATGAGCGCATCTCATTGTGCAAATTGAGCCCACTTCTCAGGTGGCACGCTTCTTCTCTCCCCCCCCCCCCACTGGGCCGCCAAGCCACAAAGGTGGAGACCGCTGCTCTAATATATTTCATATTATTACAAACTATAAAGTCACTTCACATTTTCCTTTGTACTATGATTAAAATAGACTGCATCTTTCCATGAAACCTTAACTAGTTCTTTTTTATTCCTCTATGTTTATTTATGTTTCTTGAACTACAGAACATTTTATCTATACTCCATGTAGTTCTGGTATTTTTCATTAATATTATGATAAAAAGAATCAATGGAAAAAAATAATAGCAAAACAATTGAAAACTAGCAATTTCATGTATTTTGTACTAGACATAGGACTTAAAATAATGATAACTGACGTTGTAATTTATAATCTTAGGAGGAAGGCCCACTAACCTCAACAGACTTTATTTTAGTACCGATATCCTTACCAAAATGCTTGAAATCCCATAATTCAACATTATATGGAAATAGTAAATTACAAAGTAATGTGAGGATGCTTTTTCCATAACAAATTAAAAATATTATTTTTTTCAACTTGAGTGTTTCACTCTGAAACTGTATCTTTTTCTTTTTGGAAGTTGTAATCATCCCTTTTGCTCTGAAGCCAGCTGTTAAGGGAGTGAGAGCAACAGTATTGCCCCGCTCTAAGTGGTGTTCCTATAGAGAGGGAATTTGTGGAATAATTGCACTAGGATACAATTATGTGACTAATGGTACAATTATGTGACTAATGGCCTTAAGGTTCTTTTTGGGTGACACACCATATTGCAAGCTAGCTAGTCATATTTTGTCCTGGCATGTTACATAAATTGAGCCCCCTGTGGCTAGTTTATGGTTTGGTATATGGTGTAAACCAAGAACATTGAGGAAATAAAACAATGCTAATTCAACCATATTAACAGAATTCACAAACATGGTGTTTTCCTTAAATTTGGAACACACAGTTGAAACATCAGTATGTGACAGTGAGGTAAATTTCTACTATCTGATAAGTTACACACTAGTCTTCATCTCCTAATAACTATTCAGACTTTAGGGTCTTTATAATCCACATCTATATGGAGATGAGAAGCTCTTTTTAAGAGTAGAACTATCTATCAGGTTGGCTCTATTAGAGGTATGTATTTTCTATATTTCAGGCAAAAACAATCTGAACATCTACCTGATATTTTGTTTGTTTGTTTGAAGTCCGAGTACTTGGAAAGAATATCCACAAGACATAGAAAATTAATCTGCAACCTCTCTTTAGGTAAAAGAACCCTTTCTTATTACCTAAGTTAATTTTCCTTTCCCAGATAGATAGATAGACACATACAATTATAAGAAATTGTATTATTATGCATCTATTTACAGACATGTCAAACTCGCGATGTCATGTGATGTTGTGCAACATATTGGGTCTGTTTTGCCATTGTTGGCAATGGGGTGGGCATGGCTTTTGTCTGATGCGTCCGGCCCTTGGGCCGGCAGTTTGACACCCCTGATCTATTATAAACACTCTCCTCTCCTTGTTTTGGGTAATATGACACTAAATGACAGCCATCTGAAACCTCAACATACATAACTGCTTAGCTACACAATCTTGATTACTATGAACTCTGATTTACTAGCCTCTTTTTTTTCTGAAAAAGTCAGATACAGGTAGTCCTTAACTTACAACAGTTCACTTAGTGACTGTTTGAAGTTACAATGGCATTGAAAAAAGTGACTTATAACCATTTTTCACACTTATGACCGTTGCAGCATCCCCATAGTCATATGATTTACATTCAGATGCTTGACAACTGACTCACATTTATGACGGTTGCAGTGTCCTGGGGTCATGTGATCCCCTTTTGCAACCTTCTGACAAGCAAAGTCAATAGGGAAACAGATTCACTAAACAACCATGTTCCTAATTTAACAACTTCAGTGATTTACTTAACACATGTGGCAAGAAAAGTTATAAAATGGGGCAAAACTCACTTAACAAATTTCTCACTTAACAATATAAAATTTTGGGGTCATATGCTGTGGTCATACGTTGAGATTACTTGTATTTGTTTTTTATTGTCCTCTATATAGGTTTCTTTGGTGAGTTGAAATTTGTTTCTAGGCTCAGAGAAAAGTGTTTTCTTTTCAACTTCTAAATAGAGACCTAACCATTTCTTCTTCTCCATTATGAATTTTCATGATACCTGCATTGAGTTCTGAAGCTTTTCTTTATTATCTTTTTGCTAGAAGAAGGATTTATGAGGACAAGAGAACTGGCTTTTTCAGTGGAGGTACCTAAACAATAAAATAGCTTCCTTTGCCTGTTTTAAAGAGGTTCTCAAAGCTATTTTATTTTTGCAATTGTTTTAAAGTTGAGTGTTTTATCTTTTTGTTTCAGTTTTTATGATTTTTTTATTTATATGATACTTTGAATTTATGTTAATGAAGTATAATGAAAGAGAAACATTTTGAGTAGTGGCAGTGAATTTATTGCCCATTTTCAGTGAGGCATGAAAATGTAACCTATTATAGAACCTATTGTAGCAGAATAGAAATATAATGGGCTGAGATCTCAATTCAAAATAATTTAGTTAGTTCATAAATAAATAAATAAATAAACCCTCTTTCTCTGAAAAAGGGAAATGTAAACTCCAGGCTACCTCATCTCAGAGATTTGATCTGAGGGCTCCTTGCTGCTCTCTGAGCTTGGTTGTTTTCTTGCAGATGTCTCATTACCCAAACTAGGTAATATCATCAGGGCTAGTTTTGACTGATTTTTCACAAATTT